CTGCTACCGACCTTTTGATCTATTTTAATTTACTTATGCTTTGTCCGATATCTCCCAATATTAAAACATGCGCCAGCGTGTTTTTCAGCCTTAGTTTCTGGTCCACTCATTCTCCACAAGAGGACTCCTCGGTCATGGCGAAGAGAAGACTTGCAAGTTTATGCTTGCATGTGGCCCCACCTCAAATGATCGATTCATGTTATCAGGTATATTGTTCAACAGTAAAAACCACCATCTGCGTAGTTAATTTATCGTCTTAGTTGAATGTGGTCGCTAATTAGGGCGCCTTTTACCAATAATTAGATTACTGTACATCAGGACTCCCGCATCGTTTACCTGTCATTCTTTCTGATATGTCCCTAATACGCACAATCTGTCGGAAACGGCCGAACACCGAGCCCAAAACACTCGCGACAATCATGTCCGTACATGAACTCAGATTGCCAGAGGCTGCTGCAGCGGCGAAGACCGCCTTGGAATCCAGCAGGTGCATCTTCACATTCCGCGGTGAATTGCTAGGCGTGTCCCTTCTGGTACCACTCATCCCGACGGTTCATTTCCGCAGCATCGCTCAGGATATATCAATAAGCGCCGTCCTCGGGATGGTGGACTGATCCGAAGAGTGAGCATCGATCTGCATCCGTCTTTGCTATGTTTCTGAAAGTTTCCAGCTTTTCCCTGGGGTTGCCTGCATTGTGGTGGTGCCTTGTATTGCTTTATGCTTGCGGTACTGAGGCAAAGGCGACTGCATATCCATACACCGTCTATCGCGGTACATTTATCCATCTTCCTCGGCTTAATTCGAGTTTGACGAAGCCGGAACTGGTCCGAAATCAAGGTGTCCTCTGGGTCTCTTCTGAAGATGGCCGTATCAAGGGCTACGATTGGCAAGTTCGCGACGATATGAGCTTCCAGTCTTTCGTATCTCGCCACGGATGGACTGACGCCGATGTCACAACCAACGACAATACCAATACACGCACCAAAGTCAAAGTTGTGCAGTCAGTCGATGAACGTAACGAGTTCTTCTTTCCTGGATTTATCGGTATGTCCATCTACTTCGCTGACCATTTACCAGTACTGACCGTATAGACACCCACATTCACGCGCCGCAGTTCCCCAACATTGGGCTGTTCGGATCAGCAGGCCTCCTGGATTGGCTGAATGAATACACCTTCCCGCTAGAAGCTAGCTTCGGCTCCAAGTCAGACCCAAACAATCAAAAGACTGATCCCAAAGACGCGCCCACCGAGGCCCTGCGCGTTTATGATCAAGTCGTCGCTCGCACTCTTGCCCATGGAACAACATGCGCATCTTACTTCGGCACCATCCACGTCCCGGCCACCAACGCCCTGGCTGCACTCTGTCACTCCCGCGGCCAACGCGCCTTCATCGGCCGCGTCTGCATGGACAACCGCGATCAATGCCCGCCGTACTATGTAGACCAATCCGCCGACAAGGGCTTGAACGCAACAAAGTCAACAATTGACTACGTGCGGGCCCTTGACCCGAAAGGAGCACTGATCACCCCGATCATCACTCCCAGATTCGCCCCAAGCTGCTCAATGCACTCCCTCGCTGGCCTCGGCAAACTGGCCGCATCCTACAACCCGCCGCTCCACATCCAAACACATATCTCCGAGACCACCGATGAGGTTAACCTCGTCCACCAACTGTTCCCGGGGGCAACCAGCTACGCCGACGTCTATGACAAGGCTCACCTGCTTACCTCCCGCACCATCCTCGCGCATGGGGTGCACCTCACCCGCAACGAGCGCACTCTCATCCGCGAGCGTGGCTCCAAGATATCGCATTGCCCAGCGTCAAACTCCGCCCTCGGCTCTGGACTTGCTCCTGTCCGCATCATGCTCGATGAAGGCCTCACAGTTGGTCTGGGCACGGATGTGAGTGGCGGGTACAGCCCTAGCATTCTTGAAGCGGCCCGACAGGCTTGCCTGGTGTCTAGGTTGCTAGTATATAGCACCGAATTCCAAGAGATGAGGGGTAACTCAACATCGGCTGGACATGAGAAACTTTCTGTCGAGGAGAGTCTTTATCTAGCCACGCGCGGCGGCGCAGCAGTCGTCGATATGGCTGATGACATTGGCGGCTTCGATAAGGGGTTGATTTGGGATGCGCAACTGATTGAGCTCGGTGCGGTGAATAGAAACACTGTGAGTTGGTTTGATGCGGCGGGTGTGAATGGCTCCGCTGGTCAGATCCTTATCAAGTCTGGCCCTGTGGGCAATGCTAACTTGTTCGGAAATGAGACTTGGCAGGAACAGATTCAGAAATGGATGTGGAGTGGTGACGATCGGAATGTGAAGAATGTATGGGTTCAAGGAAAGCTGGTGCATACCAGAAACTAAACGATGAGTGGCCTTGCGTTGGATGCGTATATTGTCTTGATGCCGAGAAGTTGCTTCCTCCATACTATTAGGCTCGTCTCAGATAATTATGATCAACTTGAGCTGCTCACGAATGCGTAGGCTTAGGAATCATCCACTACTCTGCTTTGTATACTGGAATACCGACCTGAAGAGAAGCCAGAGTGCGGTGCTTATAGTTCTTCGCATCATCACGCCACAGCAGCCACGCCAGACGCTTAGCTGATCAAGGCCAGTCCTCTGTAATTGAACAATGTATACCTTATAGCATTTATTGCAAGCTAGTAGTCACGACGCCGTAGTCTTCTGGTTGGATTTCGAGGCCGATTGGACACTGCATTTGAGACCAGCGTAGCATTAAAATCCTGCAGTAGATCAACAGAGTAGAAGGTGCTAGGAAGCTCCCAGAAGGGCCATTTTCATACTCGTGTAGGGCAGATCATGATATGCCGTTCGAAAGTGGCTAGAATATTTTATGCCGCCACTCAAGTGCAAACAGATTAGTTACTATACTTGCTGGTTATATAATCACTCAATTTCCCATTTCGTACGGGAAGCGGCTTTGGTACAAAGAGCTTCAAAATGCGCGAAATGATGATGTCTCTGTGGAATCTGTCATTCTACTTCAGCCAGTACTGCCAGACCATCTTCGTCTTTCCATTTCCAGAGTTTTTATAGAACGAGTTACTCTGCCAGAAATCGAAAAACTTTACCCGTGGCGAGCATGCATATACATAGTGATGAGAGATTGCATCCGGCTTGATGACGACTCTCCTCCATATTGTCGTCAGTCATGGTATACATGTACTAGAGCCAGCTTCTCTGGAGATTTCGGATGTCAATTATGTTCTACCACTACTGCGGAGCCCAATCGGCGCCGCTGCGCTAAGCGAAGCTCATACAGAAATAAAACTGCACGGGGCAATCATTTGGAATTAGCCTGGGTCGCAATGTGGGGAACAGGGAGAGCCGGAAAGCTTATTTTGCTGTGACAGTATTGTGGGGAAATATGGATACATTTGAGGCCAGTTTCAGGTTGGGAAACAGACAAGCTCTTCGTTCAGAGCTATACTTTAGTGTAAAAGGTAAAACTGCATTTCTCTTTTTCCCTTAGTGCAATAACTGTTCAAGCGAGAACCTTTGGCGGGAGCAAAGGGTCTAACCACAGGGCCGCACATCAAAGACGCCGTCAGTGACCCTGTTTCTCATCGTTGAGAAATCCATGGTCCAAGCGAAGGATCTAAGGCGGGTGGCAGTTTCCAACAGGATCTAACACCACCCGCAGTTGACCCTCTCAAAGGATCATTCGGTGGTCCGTATCTCCATAGTGCATTATCTGATGGTCGGAACCGAATTGAGTCGATTGATTTGACCAACTATTCGGGAAACGTAGTTGAGAGCGTCTCATAGTCTGAGGGGCTAGTATTGGCACGGTACAAAACGGTCATTCCAAATTGATCAGATGTAGATCAGATTTGCCAAACAAGAGGCATGTGGTGGAAGTTCTCGGACCTCGAATCATCCTTTCCTTAGCTAACATCACTCAGAACAACAGCCACGGCAGAAGCCAAGTATCGAACCAGAGCGGCACGCGTAAACAACGTCACCGCATGTTCTCAGCCGCCTCCGGCTCATGAACAACACAAAAGTATAACTGGAAGAGGCGGCTGCCCGCCGACTTAAAGGGGCAAATGAGCGCAGTATGATACGTTTTAAACGCACGTTTGAACTTTGTTTATCACACGGTTAATACCCAACCCGAGGACACGCAATACGGGGGAGTGAGCCGCAGAGCATATTCGATCTTCCAAATTGGACATCGAGATGCTTACGCCTGACCACGAGCATCCTGTTCGACAATGCGGGTAAACAATGATCTATTGCTGGGAGTTGTGCTGGAAATGACTTTGTCAGCCAATCCAGGCTAGTTAACCGTTCTAGTATGGTAAACGCATATATACGGAATTTCAAAGGATGAAGGTCTGATTCTTCTAAGCAACTATCTCGTACTGGACCACGAATCGGATTCTAATCCGCGAGTTGAATCGTATATAGTATATTTCTCGTGATCTGATTGGTCAAATCAGAATGCCATAGAATTCGGCAATTCCTTACTGTCAACGGCAATTCTGGCTGACAGACTCAGATTTACTCAGATAAGTACTAATAGAAGGCATAGTGGCTAGAACTGATCCTTGCTAGTATGATCCATCTCTGACATGACTAATGCTTCGAACTGTTAACTAACTAGCCATCCACTGCCCTACCCGTGTGCTTGGGCGGGCTTTGGCGAGGTCTACCCATATGGGTTAGATGCTATCAACCCATACCCATGCGGGTTGGTTCAGGGTCGGCCCTAAACCACCCATATTGCGGATTGGGTCAGCCAGACTAATTATGCATACAGAGACTCTCAATCGACGCGCCAATTTCCCATATCTGTTAGTGCCAGCTAGGATACATATATGAAAGCTAGGCAAGATTGACCATAGGAGTCAATCATAGTAGGTCTTCTGCCTCAGTGGTTGACCTTGCAGCCCAGTGCAAGGTTTTCACAATATCCGTGTAACGACTGGGTGATATTTACCCTGGCCTAACAGCCGCAATTCTTGTTCAACATGCGCTGTATCCTCCATCCACAGTCCAATGTGCTGAATGTTTTCGTCAGTTAAACCTCGAAGATTCAATGAAATGGGCAACCTTGAGACTATAGCGCGCAATATACATACCTCCTGTTACGTACGAGGCATCATCAGAAAGTAGGAAGCACAAAACGTTCGCTATCTCGTGTGCCTGGCCCATACGCCCCAGGCATGTGGCTTTACTCAAAATCTGCGAGTCAAATAGGCCCCTAGCTTCTCCATCACGAAAGATCGCGGTATCGACAGGCCCCCTGAGTAATTAGAAGTGTGGTCATTAGTAGAAACACGCAGCAAGCATCTGGCATCTGACCTACGGCAGCAAAGAATTGATGCGGATCCCAAGCGGCCCAAACTCCCCGGCAGCCGACGCGCTCAAGCCGATTACGCCAAATTTGCTAGATGAGTATGCCGCATTGTGAGGAAGACCGCGGAGCCCCGAAGTGCTCGAGACATTGACTATCACACCCCCGGGCCGAGGAAGGTGAGGAAGTTGGGCGCGCATGCAAAGCATGACTCCTTTAAGGTTCACATCCATCAGTCTGTCCCAGCTCTCAGGACTCTACCGTCAAAGATCAACCAGTCAGGACGACCCAGTATGAATTAAAATCCGCCAGGGATTGACGAGAAGTAGTGGGGTGAGTGAGGTGGAAAAGAGGTCACTGACGATAGTTTCGCAGTTCGTAGTTCCATCTCCCATTGCAATTCCAGCAATGTTTGCTGCACCATCCAAGCGCCCAAACTGCTGTACAGTCTCGCTTGCCCAGCGTGTGACTTGGTCATTCCGACTGACGTCAACCCGTGTGACAGTGACGTTCGATTCATATCTTGAGCCTATTCCGCTGCGTCAACGCCCATCCTGCGTCACGGGGGTTATGAAACACGCAGTCCAAAGAACGTCTGGTCTTCAGACTGCTTATAGAGGGATAACGGGGTGACAGGATGCCTTACATTCATCCTTAGTCTTCTGAAGGCCTTCAACATTTACATCACTAAGTGCAAGACCAGCGGCCCCTAACTTTGCGAGCTTAACTGCAGTAGCCTGGCCAATGCCAGAGGAGGCTCCGGTGACCGTATAGACTCGGCCTGCGATAGAGGAGGGCATGATGGATAGAACGTAAAAGCAAGCAAAAGCGTGAGTCGATGTTCCCACCAGTTGGAGTTTTGCGACCGTCCCACGATTGCGAGATTGTACTTAATATAGAGAGCGGACCCCGGCAGTCTGATATAATTGGGCCGAAGTTATTCCGTTGCTACTGGACAGGCATTGATGGCATAATTTATTCGCTTCAAAAAGATCTTCCCACCAGGCAAGAGACACTACAGGCTTTCGAGACGATTCGTTGTGTGCAATAGTTGGTACAGCCAGTAAAATCGCGCAAGCATGTAACTTCAGTCAACCAACCTAAAAACATCAATTATATACCATTTTTAACCGGGAAATGCCAACCTAACGCGGTTTTGAAGAGGATCCGACAGCCTAAACATAAATACAAGCCTGAAGCTCCGGCAGGGCATAAATCGTTACCGAACCCGCCAGCGAGCTCACGCCCGTTTCCACCTAGACCTCGCCAAAACCCGCAAACGGGTTATAAGTCGTGCCTGAAACCTGACCCTCATAAACCTGCGGCTTGTCTCTATCAACCTGGACCCGACCCGTAGGCCCACAAATCAGCGGGTTTCAGGTAACCCGCAACAGGTAAACCGCGGGTTATGGCGAGGTCTAATTCCACCACCCTCGCTCGATTATCAACAACTCATTCTTGTGGCCTCCGATCAGAACAAATTGCTTCAATAATTCGACTCCTGCTGCTCGGAGGAGCTGTAGGTCAGCGAGGGAACTGCATATAATCTTCAACACGACTTCGCCACTTACGGGGTTCAGAAACCTGCCTCCCGGGCTTTGGGGGCTCCCGGGCTTTGGGGAGAGCTCACAAGCTCTCTAAAGCTGATGAAAATGAACTCCTTGATGATCCTCTGCATGGAGATCGGAGGCAGCAGGCATAGATGGCTTGACGGCTTTATCATGACAGGAGAGTTGTCGTCAAGTGGTCTACAGTGTCGCGAGTGTTGAAACTGCAAACTTGGCCATGTAAGGCCTTAGGAGGATCAGTTGCAGCCAAATAAAGCTTTACGGCGCTCACGCTTTCATAATGTGCGTAGATTAACAACGTAGGATCTGGTATTCCATGACGAGTCGATTTTCAACCAGAAAACTGGCCAGAGGCACCACGGCTAACATTACGGTACGATAGGTAAACTAAGCTCGCTATTCTCCATATCTACGACGAAGCAGCACGTGAATTGTTTGCTGCACGGTCACCTTAGATGGTTAGCCTTCTTGTACGGAAATGAAGCAGGTCAGCGCCGATGGTTTTTTCGATTGTCTTCAGGATCACCTGATTTCAACAGTGCAAGCCAGTGGCACAGTCCCATGATTGTAATCCTTGGTAATGTCTCTACGCACATTAGCGAGCACGTCAGGGAGCTGTAGAGGGCCTAGGAGCTGGAAACCGAAGAGGCGGGGCCGGTTCCTTCTTAGGGATTGGAAGGCCACGTATTTTGGCATTGTTTCTGATCGGGCTGAACTCTTGCTGAGAGCTTCGGGGCGTATTATTCATCCTGTTCTCGTTGCCCAGGGACTGGAGGTGTTTCCACACGAGGAATGCAAGTACGGAGCAGATCGTATGGTATGGTGCGGGCCGGCTCTTAGGGTTGGCACATCGTTGAGGTATATTTACGCTTTGAACAGCTACAATTCCCAGCAATTGGTCAGAAAACGCGTCTTTTATGGGCGCCTAAGTCAAAACACCGGAAGTTTGATTTGTGAGGCGGAAGTTATAACTTAAACTTGCGCGAACTGAATGTCTTGTACACCACGGATCAAACACAGTTTAAAATAGGTCTCAGAACTGTGCCTGATTAGTCACACCAGGCGCGTTTAGATGAATAAATTGGGGGTTAAATTCTATTGTGCTTCATCAGTTGAATCTCATCCAAACTAGGCTGTCTGCTGGTTTGGCTTTAAATCTAAGTGACCATTAAAGGCCTGTGATCGATGAATTTGTGTCTTCCTTAAGACAGGCTTCAGCTGTGCAAGGAGAGACTGGAATTGTACCGAAGAATACAGACAATGGAAGTCATCCGATGTTCGCAGCCTGCATAACATATTGAAACAAATTAGTCTTTGAGCGTCACAAAGAGCAGAGAAAATAAGGCGTCTGAAAACATACCGCAGCCACATAGTCACCATTGTCTTGTCTCTGCACTCCTTAAGTAACCCACAACTCTGCAGCATTACCGGTGATTTTTCCTGTGCGCGATTATCATCCGCGAATTCTGCCAGTGCCCCCAGGAGCTCTCCGCGAGAAGTTTTATCAACCGCCCAGAAATGATAGATCACTATATAGCTTGTCTTACTGTCTCGATTGGGGTCATCTGGCCGCTTCAGCCAGCCTCCTGCCCAGTCGTAGTGGTGAAGATCATAGTCCCGACTGGCGAGTCCTTGTTCATGGCGGAGTAGTTGGTCTGCATCAACAAGGGCCATTTCTCGTTTGAAGATATCGGTCGAGACATGGTCCAAGAAAAATCCCACCGGGTGAGTGTACCCTTCTAGACCCCAAAGCGTGTCCGGTTCGCCGTCAAGATCATGGCCCCAGTAATAACTGTCTCCATGCGGCTCTGTTGCTGAAACTTCGCACAGGGCAACTAGTCGGCGCTGCCACTACTTGCAGTTTATTCAGTTGTCAGTTTCACCCTTGTATTGGTGGTTGAAGAGCTGGAAGAGAAGAGAAGAACGGTACCAAAGACAGGGCTCCATCTCGCCCAACAACACGGGCGACGACAAAAAATTTTGGATTCTTCATTTTCATTGAGTGAACCTGTGCAAGTCGGGCTGTGTACGATTGATCTCAGCTCTTTCTCCTTTCTGGAGATGCTACGGGGTTCAAGAACTTACTGGACATATAAATACTCAGGAACCGCCCTTATTATGTGAGTGCGGGGAAAATTGACCTTCAATCCAACATCTGTGAAAATCAATCCATTGAAAAAGGCGGACAAACATGTTAGGATCTTCCTGGGAGAAGTAGCAAGGGCAATGTCAGCGGGAGAGGACCAACTTCGGCAGATTGTAGGATAAGATATTCCTCCGGAGAAGGCCGATCACACAGATGCTGAAGATGATGAAAATCCCTGCGATATTTGGCTGTCATTCATCGTCATAGTTACACAGAAAAAGACTAATGATGTTTCTACCAACTCAGTGCTGATCAGGTCTGCTAGGAACTACACCCTTCTGGAATCCCAGCATGGCCACGATGAAAGGTTAACTGAATGTCGATTGCGAGTTTGCGGCTACACGCACTGCCATAAAAAGGATATAGCGCAGTGCATAGGGATTCCTTTTATGAGTAACGCCACCTAAAGGAGCGAGACTATGGGATTCTATACAAAGTCCAGCATACATGGTGCAACTAAGCAATATCAGTACTCGAGTTTCCCCAAGGAAAGTTTCTTCTACGCTGCTACGCCCAACTGAGTATCACCTGTTAGGGGATCAAACGATCAGAATTATGGAACAAGGACGGACAAAATCAAGTCATGCTTGAGCGGCTCCGGCCTATCTTCGGGTGGGTTGGCCCCATGAGCTAACAACCTCCATGCGTTCCCATGTGCATGCTGTTCCGGTATGTTTGGTCCTGGCTTTATACGTCCGAGAGGGTCGCTGCATACCTGGTCCGTGTCTTTGCAGACCAAGCAGTGCGGAAACTTGCGATAGCTATCCGTTGTAAGGAGATCACTGCGTGGCTACACTGGCACCTAACTGGCCATCAGGGAAGAGGAGAGGACACGCCATTTCACCTTCATTACTACAGGACATGGGGCATGAGTCAGGCACCTCTCCTTTCCCATATCTGCGCGTCCGAGCAAGGAATGTGAAGAGAAAGGGAACGGGGGCAAACCTGCGACAATGGCACGCCAGCGCCGATTTTCGCATAATTCTCTGAATCTCTTGTGTGTGCGTTCAGGATTGGTTTTTGAACAATCGGAGATAGGTCCTTGTCAGGTGAACCCTCGTTTAAGGGTGCTGGCGATAATTTCAAATTTTCAATCCACTCCTCCTCGTAGCCGACTGTAGGGGTGGCCGGAGCGGATGGAGTATGGATATTGAATCAAATCTCTTGGATTTGATGACCTAAGGTAATTCAATATTGTGGCCTAAAATGCATGACCAGCCATGCATAATTACTCTTTCTAACCCAATCCTGTAGCTTCAACGGAGCCTTCCGCAAGATCTGAGCTCTGCCACTGACCCGTCTCACCTGTCTGGAAATAGGACTAACTGTTTCTGGTCGATTATGGTCGAATCTGGATAGCCCGAACCAATAACTGGGTGAACTGATCTCACCGGACGGACTATGTTCGGACCAACACTTGAACTCGTCCTTGGCGCCGATGTGGGTCAATGACGATATTTTTTAGTCCATCTGCCAGGTTGAGATTCTGAGCACTGAAGAAGCTCTGACAGAAGCCCAGACCATCTGCTCTAACAAAACTTTATGGCTTGATGGATCTAGACTAGAGAATGGTAGGGCAGAAGCAGGTGTTGCATGGCAGGACCTACAGGGGATCTAGAAAACCCAGTGCTTCCTAATGGGAAAGGAAAAAGGGAAAAGAAAAAGAAGACTTCGATGCTAAACTCGAAGTCATGGGGGTCCTCTCAACTCTGTAGCTATATAGCCAAGGAAAGAATAGGTAAAAGTCCTACAGTAGTACTGCCTCGATCCCCTCGCGGCAATTGCAAGGATTTAGCACACCTCAGCAGGACAAGGCCAGGTCATGGCGGTTTAGATTCATGCAGCAGCCCAAGACCAAGTGCAGGGCGGCCTAGAGCCTACAATACTTAAAATTGTGATGACCCTGCGCTCAGCATATACCACGATACTCAGGGTGGTTACATAACCGTATTAGGAAGATCAGGGCTCAGGATTTAGGGCGAGGGCTGAGCGAGCTTTACATCGATCCCCTCACCTTCTTTATTTCCCTCTTCACCTTTACTCTTCTCGTGATAGGACTCAAATAGAATTGATTACGGTTATCATTTCTATCAGATCTGCCGATAATCACAAAAATAAACTTCAAATGCACAGCAAGAGGAATAAGCTAGTTAAGGTAGTACTCAGGGTACCCAAGGGTCACCGTGGTCATGATGCGCTTGATATAGTCCGTCAAGCCTCCGAGATAGTTGAGCATCTCCTTGGGCTTCCCCGGTATGTTAGTGCCCATGTACTCCGACGAGGTTTCTGGTAGCAAAGTGGCATCCCCGATCTGGTTAACTAGAGCCCTCCAAGCTTCCTCGGCCTCTGCTTTGGGCTCAATCTGGCGATGACCATGAGCACGCAGATATGTCAGTGTCTGCACAATCCAGTCACCCTGGACTTCCGCGCACGTTGGACCGTTGCAGAAGGATGTCGGACCCTGTGGTCCATAGAGGAAAAGCATGTTGGGGAACCCGGATGTCATAAGTCCTTGATACGTCCAGGTCCCCTTCGTCCACTTCTCTCGCAAGGATGCACCGTTACGGCCATGGATATCGATATTCAGAATACCGCCTGTGACCGAGTCAAATCCAGTGGCAAGAATGAGCATATCCAGCTCGTGAAACTTCCCGTCCTTGGTGATGATCCCATTCGGTTTGACCTCCACAATTGGATTGTTTCTAGCGTCTACCAGGGACACATTGTCCTGGTTGTAGGCTTCGTAGTACCGCTGCTCCAGAGTCGCCCTCTTAGTACCGAAATAGTATGGAGGCACGTCTGGTGCCAGCAGCTCAGCTTTCTTAGGATCCTTGATTCGCGGCAAGACCTTGCAGCGCCAGAAATGGTAAGCTTCCCGATTGATATCTTTGTTCATAATGACATCGCGATATGTTCCCAGCCAGAATGCCAGCCCGCCATCCTTCCAGATCTCCTCAAAAAATGCCTGGCGTTGTTCATACGAGAGCTGGGCGCTTGCTTCCATATTGAACTCCTTGTCGAGGCCGGCAAATGTATGCTTCCGGAGTTCGTAGAGAGCCGGATAACGACTTTTGTCTTGTTCAGACACGGTCAATGGCCGCTGTCGCATCGGCAGTGCATACGTCGGGCTTCGCTGGAATACCGTCATCTCCTTCACCAATGGGGCAATTTCCTGAATGACCTGCAAGCCACTTGATCCGTTACCCACAATCCCCACCCGTTTCCCTCGGCAGCTGGCGGTGTCGACGTTCTGCGGCCATCGGGACGTGTGAAAACTCAGCCCTGCAAAAGTTTCCAAATTCTTAAAGGTGGGTATAAACGGTTTCGCAGCAAACCCGGTGGCGAGGATGAAATAACGAGCAGTGCGCTTCTTTCCGTCATTATCTGTCACGGTCCACAGGCTGCCAGCATCATCGTAATCGGCCGCAGTCACGCGGGTGTTGAACTGGATGTCCTTCTTCAGGTGCAGCTTCGACTCGACATGTTCAAAGTATCTGCGAATCTCGTCCACTCCAGGATACTTCTCCGTCCAGAGCCAATCACTCCATATGCTGTCATTTGAGAACTCGTACAATGGAACCTTGGTGTCTACACGAGCGCCTGGATACCGGTTCCAATACCAAACCCCTCCGATATCCGCAGCCTCATCAATGACAACACAATTGAAGTTCCTTTTGCGCAGTTCATGCAACAAGTATAAACCCCCGAAACCGCTCCCGACGATAATAGCGTCGTATTGAGGTTGGTCCTGAAGCGAACCCATGTTTGCAGCTGCTGAATGTTGTTTGTGTAAATCTGTTTACTGTACTGCTCTGGGATGGTCTTCATGGTGAATGGCAAACGCTGATATATGAATTGATCACTAGGTATGGATAGAACACACCTCACCCTACAACAGCTGGAAACCTCAACGAATTCCCTGATAAACTTCGGGGAAACTACATGGCAGCTCATTCGTCCGGTCAGTTTCTTTGTTCTCATCATTTTATTGCTCCTTTGAGATATGTGTAGACCTCGGGCAAAGTTCGGACTCCACGGTCGGACTAATATGTCTACGCCGGATTATTATAACTGGCCGTTATTATGGAACTCGGAGATAAGGTGACTCCGGTGTTTCGATGTCTAGCCGTGTTTGGTGTTCAGTCAGTGCGTGCATCCGGCGTTGTAGTGGTGGTAGCGGGGAAGTTTATCTGGTTATAAAAGGCATGTCGATTCAATAAGGACAACCAAAACCATCACAATTGTCTTATAGGTTTACCGAAACCCATATTTGGCAGAATTTCGGTATTATTGTTTTCAGTTTATTATTCCCCCCAGTATACTCTGCCAATTTGCACCAATGGATCTGAACGGCTTTGTCCGAAGTGATGTACACCCAGCAAATGCCGTTGACGCGGTCGAGTATTAACATAATTGCAGAAATCATACACTTCCATTGCCAAGCAATATGACTTCCTCCACATGCCAAAGAGCAAGGTTCGTATACGCAACGTGTCAGCCAGGCGATAACCGAGTCTAACACACTGAGAAATCCGTTTATAGTATCACGACCCTGACCTTGTTGCCGCCGAGCAAGAAGTCCTGAGCCAGCTTTATCTCGGCTGGTTGCACTACTGGAACCACGAGTCTCGCGAGGACTTTCATAACGGAATGGAGGGCGCTCGCCGCTTCTATGACTTTCCGGAAATGCTGAGTTATGATATGTTCGGCAATACAATCCGGGGGAGCTTTAAAGAGCACTTCGAGTCCATATTCCCCTACTGGAATGACGGACAGATGGAATTTAAGGATCTAGAGATCACCGCCGTGTCGCGAGACTTTGCTTACTCGACTATGATCCAACACACCTGGGGAACGGCGGGAGGAACACCGTTTGACACTGCATTTCGTCGGACAGGAATTGCTCACCGCAGCCCGCAGGACGGGAAGTGGCGCTGGATTCACGAGCATCTATCATTTCCCGTGGATATGAAGACACAGAAGGGCGATTTCACGGCCTCATTGGAGCCCGGCAAGGGATTCAAACTTCAATGAATATTTCGATTTCTTCAAGAACTGACTTGATTTGATTGCCTTGAGTCCGTGTTTATAGGAAGAACAATATCTTAGAGCCAGTAAACGCTGAGGTCCTCAGAAAGAATTTGTGAAATCCCCTCAATTATTATCAGAAGATGTCCAGGGTATGCCCCGAACGTCCTTCGCCTGGATAGTGAGGGACGAGCATGTCCCTATTGGAATAGGTGGCGGTCGAGATAGTCATTTTCCTACAGTACTGGGAATGGTACGGCGGACTGAATGTACAAAACCGGCCAAAATGAGTTTTGTATTCTCCATACATATATAGCAAACTAAATAGAATAGACAGCCAGCGTTGACATCCACAATCAGTTCGACCAGCAGCTGCCATGTGGTTGTGGCTGCCTAGAGCAGCCCACCAGAGCAGAGTCGCGCTATTTCTGTCCTTGATATTAACATTAATACTCAGTTCGGCCAGAAGCAGCTTGACCACTATTAAGTGCCCTTGCTTAGTGGCTTCATGTAAGGCTATTAATGCCCACTGGTCCTAGGCGCGCAAATAAATCTCTATGTGATATAAATGAACCTTAATGAATTGACTAACCCATATTTTTAGCCATGAAATGCAGTGGCGCTCGGCCTTCTGCGTCCACTTCGTTCATATTCTAGCTATGACTCCTTACTCCGTTGGCTGGCCGCAAGACACAACGGCGATGGCTCCTTGCCAACGCCATGGTTCGCACTAGACGTGGGGGTTAAGTGACCATGATATGAATATCTCAATAATATCTATAGTATGGAGAATTTATCCTCCCTCTAGTTTTCCTTGCTAATTGCTATATTGACTATGGTCACCCCACCTATATCCGCGGCATTTAATATCAAAGCAGCTGCAAAGGAGAAGTTATATATGGTCTTTAGCTTTTTGTTATACTGTGTACTATAATGCCATATAACCTTCCGGGTCTTCAACATTCATATAGGGCTCCGAATGACCCAGGAGCATCTTTATTAGGGCCGTCTGGCTCTCTTGACATGCGGTACAGGGGTGTGCGGCTAAAGTCATCCTGACAGGACAGATTGGGGCTGTCATCCACCAGCAGTATTCCCAGAATCAGGCGATCTAGCAGGAAATAGCATGCGGCCCCATAACTCTCCCGCGTTGATATTCACTCAGTCAGTTTCGATGAGCTGTTGGACGATTGAAGCACCGCCCTTTCGCTACAGCCGCGGCTAGTGGACTGAGGCCAGACTCTCTATCGTATCATCACGCTGCGACAATCCTCAACACCTTCTGCGAATTCCTGTACTGCAACAGAAGATCGAGGTCGTGAATCCAGAGGAAATTCGTGACGGAAATGGAAGTTTATCAAACAATAGTCAAGATCATATCTAGAAGTGGAAAAGCGATTGAGTCGATTAAGTAACATGAATATCCTGGAACAACAAAGTTCAAGAAGAAAAAGTAAAAAAAGAAAGAAAAGTAAAAAAGAAAAGAAAAAAGTATTGTAGAGCGCAGTCAGTGAGTGCGGAATAACAACAAAGCAGATATTAAGGGCAACCAAGCCTCAATGAGCATGCAACAGCTGTCCTAGGCTTGAAACAACTAAGAAATAAGGAAGGATGAGTGCCATCACATCTTGTGTTCTATCCAAGACGGATGAGCAGACTGTTGTTCAATGACAAAGACTGCCTGATGGCCTGAAAGAAGAGCCACGAAAGGACTGTGTAATAAACCAGATCCTAGCTCGTTCCCTTTTCTTTGTTGTGTAGGAAGTTTAAGCATCGCGCAACAAGCCCTAGCTTCTTGGGAACACGAACCACCCAATAGAGGGATACTGCTGCGCACACGTTAAACACAATATATACCCACATGAGTCCGAAGTTGCGCCATCGCTCATCGTAATCCGACGACACCGACGCCAGAAACGTATTAGAATCTGTGAGCGCACAATATTGGCAGGCCGTCGTCGCGTTTGGATTATACACTTTCCCACCGACAGTCTGCATATAGGCCGATAAATATTCCGCGCATGTCTGCCCAGTAGGAGGATTCACGATGGTAACCTCGATGTCGGAGCATGTGACTTCGGTGTTGGCTAGGCCAGTTGATAGCATAGCGCTGACCAAGTATGTTAGCGGCGAGGCACGGTACATAAAGATCCAGAAGCCTGGGAGGCTAGCGGGTGCCGCCATGACCCTGGGCACATCAAATAGCTTATGGTCAGCATGTTCCACGGTATAAACAAACTGCTTCGAACCCGGCGGCCACTTACCCACAGAATATCAAGCACATTGTGTACATCAGGAGAGACAGGATGGCGCCAATCTCTGCGGTGGGGACGCTAGCCACAACCATGCTTGTAAATGTGGCGCAGTGCATCATGAATGACCAAAAGAGAAGAAACATTAACCCGCTCCGTTGTGTCACGGTGTGGGTGGCCTCAGCATTCTTGTGCATCCCTACCAGGTAGTAGAACGGTAAATAGATCAGTACGGCAGCAACCGTATTCCAAGGTAGCTCGACCACAATATTTGCCAGCATGAACACGGCCCACGAATATGTTTTGGATGGGCGCTCTCGGGCTTCAAATAGCGTTCGCTGCATGATGAAGTTAGGCATGGTTTGGTATGTGAGAAACGCGAATATGACTAAGAGCATAAAAATAGCAAACATCTGATGCTGCAGACCCAGGATCGAGATCTTGGTGTTCAGGAAAGAGAGACCGATGAAGAGAGCCTATCGAGAGTCAGCGTTGAAGAGATGGGTGCACTCGATAGACACGTACGGAGCCGAAGCATAATGTCAGTTTGGAGTAAATATACGAGGGTGTGCGCCAGTACTGCTCGAAGACTCTCTTAGTGCAGAGCCACAATTGGGTTCGGAATGGTGCGGCATATTGTTGACTTAGCGAGGCGTCTCGGGTCTGGGGCTGTTTTTGCTGACAGATTTGATCAAGTATGCGTTGAACATCTGAATATTCCGGACTAGATTTCCAGATCTTTCCCCAGTCACGCTTCGAAACACTCCCTGGCGCAGCTCCGATGACTCTCAACATCCATTCGGCGGGATTGTCCGAAGGCCCACAGGGCTCTGCTCCATTCTTCTCAAAATAATCGATCAGTGTCTTAAAATTCTCACCGATGTCGCCAAAATATACTGTTTTGCCACCTTTGGCGAGCAGCAGAAGGCGATCAAATTGCTGGAACAACATTGCAGATGGCTGGTGGATGGTGCAAAGAATGGCTTGTCCATGGTCTGACAATTTCCGTAGTAGGGACGCAATGGACCATGCTGTTTGACTGTCTAAACCAGACGTTGGTTCATCTAGGAACAGCAGTAGATCAGGCTTTGCAGCCAACTCGACACCGATTGTCAAGCGTTTCCGTTGCTCGACGTTGAGACCTTCGCCTGGAACGCCAACAATTGCGTCCGCGTAGGATTCCATCTCGAGAAGAGACAAGACTTCCTCAACGTATTGAAGCTTGTCTTCTTTAGGAATCGACGCTGGCTGACGGAGCAACGCGCTGAACTGTAATGCCTCTCTGATGGTGGTTGTTTCTAGATGAATATCCTGCTGCTGGACATAGCCGACCTGTCGCTGAAAGGATATATCTCTAGGATGTCCGTTGACGCAAATATCACCCGTTACAATGCCTGTCGTCACCCTGCTAGCAAGTACATCCAATAAAGTAGTCTTGCCGGCTCCAGAAGCTCCCTGCATTCCCGGTTATTGAATGCAGCTGCGCCGTAGAGCGAAAGGTGGACGTACCATCAATGCAGTTAGAGTTCCAGGCTTAACCCATCCATCAATATCATCCGATATTTTTCTCTTCTCTCCATTTATGAATACTTCATAGGAAACATGTCTCCAGTGGAAGACGCCAGTCTGCCTTTGAAGGTTGATCACCTTTTCCTTTTCATTCCCCGCAACGGCTGTATCAATCGCATCTTGCATAGTGGCTCGGGATTCCTCGTCCTGTGCGCGCTTGAACTGACGAACTTTCTTACGTTGAAAGAGCAGTACCTCTCCATGTGATGCCTGCGCGGTGACAAACTCAGCGAGCAGTACATAAACGCAACCGAAGAAGACAATGTATCCGATCAGTATCCCGAAGTTACTACAGATACTGTCAGTATTGGCAAATCGTGAAAGCTTCAGAAAACCCACCGCCAGACATGAGAGTGATAATATCGGTAGGTAGCATTCATATACATGTCCCCATCCACGGACTCAGCTCCTGGCAACCCTGCCACGGAGCATGTTCTTGCCGTGCTGGGGTTAGTGGAATACCCCGGACCAGAAGGCACAAAGCTCTCACACGCAAAGGTTCGCCCGTGAAATTCATTGGCAATAATAGCTTCGTAAGAGTAGGCAAGCGGATTGATATAATTTATCCAGCGAAGCCAAACCTGCATGTTTCGTGTGGGCAGTACGAAGCCAGTGTATACAACAAGACCGATCACGAAGAGTGCCGCTGGAGTTAAAGCTTGTGCGATGGTTCGACTAGCCTGTCCAATCGTGCGGAAGATCATTGACATTGTCAGTGTCGAAGTGAAGGCAAAGAGCAAATAGACTGCGACGTGACTAGACTCTCGGCGCAGGTTGGACATGTAGTAGAGAGGGATGTTGAAGGAAATTGTGGAAAGGACCTTGCAGGGAAGGTCGCATATCGCTGAGGCGATAGCCTCAGCTAGAGGGTGATAAAAAGCGTAAGTCGCATGCTTCTCTACAACTGGCCGCTGAGCATATAGGGAGAAAATCTACGCGAGATAGCTCGGTTAGCAAAGCTATAACTTATACTCCATCGGCGAGCTATCACGCACCTCGAGAGAGCTATTCAACGCGTTAAACAAAACAGCGAAGAACAGCAGAATACACCGATTATTCAAAGCTGCAGTGGTGTCTGGAAGGTCATAGAAGACACTGCCGAGGATCAGGGACATGAAAAAGTTACCAAAGACCGTAATGAAGAAGAACGATTTGTCCCCTAGAAGTCGACGAACACCACGTCTGATGCACAGTAGCACTTGCAACGGGATCGATATTGTGTAAGGGGACTTCTGAGTCCTTTAACCTTGCACGTCAGCACACTGGAGGTCTGCGGGAACAAGAGACGGCTCTAAAGCTGGCTGAAGAAGGCAAGGCTTTACTTACATCCAAGAAGATTTCTCTGCTTGTCGAGAGCGAGTAAATTCTTCCACAGATTTCCCACCTGTTTGGTTTTCCATCTCATACTGAACAATATCGTCTATTAGCTGTTTCCGGAGTTCGCTGTTGCGCCACGTCTGGGCAAACTCAGCCGACGTACGGGGTACACGATCTTCAAACCCTGGCCGGATAATTCGTTCACTGGGATTAGTGAGTGAAGTTAGAAAATCAGCCGCAGTCTGTCGAGCTGGGCAATGATAACCTAGGTCGACAAAATAGTCAACTGCGCGGTCGGTTGGTCCGAAATATATCTGCCTGCCCTCATACAGGACAGTGACTTTGTCGAATTCCTGAAGTTTCCGCATCAGCAGAAGCTCCCAAGCTGGGTTAGAGTATAAAACGAATTGATCTTACCTCATACGCTCGTTGAGAAGCCTGGTATAGCGCGACGACTGCAGCGGCTCCTGTTAGGTCAACTGACAACCTCACTGTCTGGATAAACTCCAGGGCTGTTGCGCTATCTAATCCTCGGGTAGCATTGTCCCAGCACTGGATAGGGCTCTGAGCTAATGCTACCTCCGCAATACTCACTCTCTTGCGCTCACCGCCACTGACACCCCGCACAAAGTCATCCCCGACCTTGGTATTGATAGTATGTGACAGCCCGAAGACAGCCATAATGACGTCCCGCATATGAGCGGCATAGCATTCTCGTGAGACTCCTGGAAGTCGGTTCTGCGGAGTCTTCGCCAATGCCGCGTAAAGGAGGGTCTCACCCACTGTCAGGTGAGGGAAGTGAATGTCGGTCTCGGCTTGATATATGACATCTCCGCGGAACTGGCTGTGCATTATTTCCGGAGGTATTCCTGAGCATTGGTTAGTGTCAGTGCTTAAGGAGGCTGCAGCTGCTACACGATGTTTCCTTGCCTTTATAGCTGAACACCGCCTCGGGTTCGATACGCAGACCCTTTGTTTGTCCGGCGATTGTCTTCAACAGCGTGGACACGCCACTGAGCAGTGAATTGTTAGTGAGTGTTACCTGAGGGGATCATAGCACCAGCGCCATACCTGCCTGGCCGACCTAGCACAAGCAGCATTTCGCCGCCGCGGAGCAGCCCGTGATGATTTTGGAGGATATGAATCTTCTGTTCATTGCGACGGCCCAAGCCGGCAACAGTCTCCATCGCTTGAAATACTACATTCAGAACGTTCTTCTGATAGTCCAGCGGACTGCCGTATCCCGAGACACTTAAGTTTCGAAAGGAGACGCCTGCGGTGCGTTTCGGATACCGGTCGGGATCTTGGGAAACGAATTGCAGAACCGTTCGTGCCCAGTGCGTCGCATCGAATTCTGGCGAGTTCGGGTCAAGAGAAGGGTCTGCCGTGCCGGTGAAAGGGTTCTTCAGTCCTGCTCGACTGCGCGTTCCTGAGACATTGCTGAATTGCCTGGCAAGGAATGCAATTTGATGCTGATCCTGAATTGCAGTGGAGGTCGCCCTTATCGATTCATCTCCCGCCACCGTACGGGAACCTGTGCTGGGAGACTTAGTGAGCTCATTTTCACTCATAACAGGGTCCTCTTCGCTCGGAACTTCTGTATTCGCCGAGTGGCTGTCTCGCACAGGCATCGCGGAGGCTTAAGGGCGTTGCAACTTCGGGCAGACAAGTTCTTTGACGCGCTACTGGAAAAAAAAAGGCGGCTGACAAAGAAATACTCAGTTCGTGATTTGGTAACCGTGTGAGGGTGAGCGAGATTCGTGCACCTTTCGAACTGATCAGGGGGACCAGGATATATATACCCGGGCCACCTTTCAGACCTCCGACAAGCCGCATGCCCATAGTTCCACATATTGGCGTGGCCGATGACCGCCTCCGAGGACGATTCAGCAAGACGTTTGTGCTCCTAAAATCCATAGTAAACTAAGCGGATGGGGCGTGGGATTACGGAAGTTGTAAATCGTAGTGACGGAGGTGTAGATGAGGCTTCGGCGCCGAAATTGGTGGAGCCCCCGGAGCCTCACACCTGCGTTAGCCAATGATGTCAGCGTGCTGCGTCCGAGGATCATCCGGTCGGGATCAATCATAGTTTATGGAGTACCTAATATGGACATGACCAAGCTCACAAGGAGGCGCGGTCAGGTGATCGTGTTCGGCGCCGAACAGATTGCCTCGATGACTCCGTCGAACTCCGCTATCTTCCTCTTTTGCTCCCTCGGATACATTTCATCGACAGAAAGTGCCCACTCTTGAGGCGTGCCAGATAGCTGCAATGGGCTCCTCAATTATGCATAAAGCCTGTGATACATGTCGAGCTCGAAAAGTCCGATGCAGTATGTCCGACAGAGGAATCAGTTCCGCCCATGGTTATTAGTGATACATTGCCTGACTAACGCCAACCAGGGCCACACGCGAAGTCTGCTTGCGAGTTTTGTACCGTTAGTTCCTTTGGTTCCAGGTGCTGGGCAACAGGAAACGCTGATACAAATCTTACTAGACCAGGTCTCTCCCGTGTAACTTCAGTGCGGTCAAGAGACCCAGAAAGCGAAGGCTGGATCGTCTAAGTTCGGGACAACCGCAGCAGTCCTCTACTGCAGAGTCTCCAAGTTCGAACGCAGGAGATCATTCCCCGCAGATCAACTTGACACTCCCTACAGCGACGACGCAGCCCAGCTATGTCTGGCAAAATACAAAGATCGACCGCGCTTTCTCCACCAGTGACCCGCCTTTGGCTCCAGCTCGGCACGCATCACCATCGTCTGCAAATGCAGGGGCGATACCACAACTGTACATGGACTTCCTCCTCGAAAATCGCCAGGCCTCGCAGACATGCAAAGCCGACAACAGTACAGACCAGGTCAGCTAGCTCATCGAAAGGGTCCATTGAATGCTGTAGCTAATAAGTCTCAGTTGACTACTATATTAGGTACGTAACAAAACGAGTGTCATTCTCGAGAGTACCTAGCCTGTTCCGATCCAGAGGTTTAACAAAACTCAGGTCCGAACCCGAATATATCCTTTTTCCCTGCAAACCGCGTCCGCTCCATCAGTCAGAGGTTACGAAATTGCCGACTCGAGCAACTACTAGACAGCATTCGTGATGTTCTAGCTACCAAGATAAAGTTCTCTAATGCTGTCTCAGAAACAAATTTGTTGCGAGAGCGAAGGCGCGATTCTGATTGTTCGCCTGGGGAACCGAGTTGTGAAAAAATGAAGTCACACGCTGAAAGTATGTTTCGCGGTAATCTTTCATTCTCGCGACGTAGCTTCTTCCGCTGACACTCGAGAAGCATATCTGCATGCCGTTCACCCACTCTGCCCATTCCTATGTCCCAGGTCATTCAGAAGAAGCCTCGAAGCCCCGGACCTTGAGCGGAACTTAGCCACGGACAAGCCATGGGCAGCTCTCTATTATGCAGTAGTGGCTATCGGTTGTCAGTATAATGATGGAGGAAGCTTTGAGCCAGGACAGGGAGAGGCATGGTTCTACTTCGCCAAATCGACCTCGTTTTATCAAGACATAATTCTGTCCAAGGCGTGTTTGACGTCCGTACAGGTGCGTAATGATGCCGATGAGACAGAATCGACCCAACTGATTTCTTTTTGCTGACAATATATCTCCCATTAAGGCACTCATCGCCATGGTAAGTGTTCCCATCCTTATCAGAACCTGTTCCCACGTAAACCCCATTGTTAACAGACTGGGAAGGCCGTATTTTCTTCATCTGTTTCCGCCTTCCAGCTGGACTCGCTGATATTATCTGAAGCTGTTCTCATGGCCCAAAGATTGGGCCTAAACCGATCTGGTGCTAAACTCGAAAGCGCCGAGAATCGGACCTTCTGGGTATTATATTATATGGAGAAGACATCTTGCTTCGGAATGGAGAGAACTCCAGTAATAACCTAACTTCCAGAATCTGCTCCAGAACAACCGGTTGCTGACAAACCTTTAGGTGCTACAAGACTGCTTCGTCAGCTGCCCAGTGCCCGTGATAAAGGAGTCTACCTTCGAAGACTACGATTGGTTTTTCAGCTTTCTCAAATTCGCACGTATCCAGTCCAAGATACACAGTAGTCTTTTCACAGTCAGCCCCGTGCCGAAACAATCGGTAGCGCATAGTGCAGCAATCCCGAATCTCCGAAAGGAGCTGGAGGCCTGGAGGATGTCGATTCCTCTGCGCTTCCGGCCCGGCGAGCCCCTCAAACCCAGAATATTGCCGGAGCCGTTGGCAATTCAGGTAGCCCTATTGACGCATTACTATTATCTCAATGCAGTGCTTACGCTTTCTTGGACACTGTTGCATGGCGGAAACGATACGTTGAGCATAAGGGAACAGCTCGAGTTGAAGAAGGAGCTGATGCGTACTGCCCGCACAGTTATTGAGTTAACGGCGTTTATAGAGGTTTCCCCATCCACCCCCGTCTGGTAAGATCTTCAGATTTGTCCATTGCCTCCTGGTCTTTTATCAATTCTAACTCCAAGCCCTAACAGGATTCTAGCGGTAATGCCGCTATCTGCTCTTATGATACTATTCGACCTGGTAATTCATAATCCTCAGCACCCAGAGACGAACCTTAGCTTGGCTCTCCTAGATATCGCCAGCGGCCACTTCAGTCGCATCGAGGTTGCCAGTAAAGCCGCCCTTCCAGGCTCTTTGATTGCCGAGTTCGCCCACCTGGCACGGCAGTATGTATCTGACATCCGAGGGGCCAGAGATCGGCAACGTGCCGGGGCGACTGCAGAACAACGAAGCGCAGAAGCAGCCACTAACGCATCCTTTGAACCGTGTCACCCCCCAGGTACTTCTGACGAGACATACTCCACCAATGTTGGAGGCTCAGTACGGTCCTCAGGCACGAATACATTGACATATACACAAGGCCAGGTACTGCAATCGCAGTCTGAGCCTGTCTTACCCTTTATGCAGACTGTCGCGGATAATTCAATACATCCGCCGGGTCAGATGGAGGGTGCAAGTTCTGATGAACTACACTCTCTTTACTTCCCTATGACTGACGATCCGAACTACCAGCTTGGGGATTTGGGGGATCTTCGGATGTTGGGGGTGGACTTAATGCATTTATTTGAAATCGGATACCCATTTGTAGGAGACGAGGGTTATCCGGTAATATAATTTCTCCCGCATTAGCAAGGGATGTTGAAGCTATTAATATACTGCGAACCATAATACTTGTATGTAAGATAACTGGCACCAAAATGGCATGGAGCCACTATCTCAAATGCTTTCTCTGTGATGATAAAGGCGTGCTCGCAGCTTTTAACAGCACAAGCTCCGACACAGGGATGAAGAAGTAAAGTAATATTATGAACTTATAGACGCGCAAGATACCTCCTACATAGCGCTTGTTCCTGATTACTGTTCAAAACACTCTTATTAGAAAAAGAGCTCAGACAGGCGACAGCACTGAAAGTAATTAGTACTATTAAGGAAACCCTTGATGAGCAATACCCCTCCAAGCCGTCGATGGACAACATTGAAAGTTAATCAAGACAATAAGCAGAAGAACCTGGAGGCTTATGTCTTACAGAAGTTGCAACTGCAAGGAATCCAGCATTCAGATATATATCTTCTAAAAGGGGAGAACTTGTCCTGCTGCTATTTGCTGGCAAGCTACTATTATAAGAATTCAGGTAGTATATCTCTCAACAGATGATCACTTCCAAGTCTACTGGGCACTGGTGACTGGCCATACAATTTAGAGCATCAACTGGGGGAAAGAAGTCTAATAATTCACGTGATGAAGGGTGATTTCTCACTGAGACCAGAATTACAAATATTCGCGAATACAGAGTACTGAAAAAATATTATTTGTATTTATATGCGTAAGTCAAAATGTCTACAGAAGCAAATATCATTATGAACATATTCATTATTCATGCTGACCCCTACTTCCAGCGTTCACTGTTAGTAGGATCAATGTCATATCTTTAGGGTATGTGGCTCAGTTCACCCTAGGCATGTTTTGCTATGTTCCATCCCGTTTAGGTTTAGCGTCTCGTCTTGGTCAGCCTATTTATAGCTGGTCGCTTGGCCATCCTAATTGGACACTTTGCGCTTCCCCATCGTCTCAGTTTTTGGGTCACTTGAAACGCCGCTAAAGTCCGTCGGTCCCGAAAAGCGGGGTGCAGCTATTGCCCGGTTCCGCTGTCACACGGGAATGATGTCTGTATCGGTCTCTGGCGCAAAACCCAGTTACTTTTTCTCCGGCTTCTTCTGCTGTGTCGTCTCGTATCCCACCGCATGATACAGATGGAAATTAACTCCTCTGGTACTACTGAGTGATGGCATCGCATCTGACCTCGCCCCGTCGTTGTCTGCATCCCTTGAACCGCGATGGAGCGGATAAAGACGATCCTTCAACCTCCCAAGCGTCCCTCGCCTGCGAAGTGTGTCGCAGGTATGCCACACTAGAGCAGTCAAAACTATCTTGACAGCGCCTTTAATTCGTGATGCAGCTGCTGACCTACGAACAGGAAAAAAGTCCGATGGTTTGTCTCAGTCGCCGCGTCTAGACTGACACTTTCTGGGTTGTTGCTAAATCACTAGAGGTAGTGACCGTCGATTGCCGTCGTGTCTTCTCTGTGTAAAAAACAGGGAGACTTGCACCTATCCGAAATCGCGGCAGAAACCTGGTCCGAAACGTAATTCTTGTCTCACCTAATGTCCGGAGTTAGAGGAACGAAGGCTGACACCACGCGCTGCCATGGTAGCTATTCGCCGAGTGGAAGCGAGAGGGGATGCGACTCTGTCCCGGAATCAGCGCCGCAAGAGGTCCGCTCAATTGCCTGTCGGTGGCCACTACCAGTGGGCAAGAGAAACCATTGCCCAAAGTCCCCCGTTCAACGCAAGACAGAACGGTATCGACCAGCGGGATCTCCCTAGTGGAGCTTTTGTCGATCCCAGTCCAACGCTCCCGGGGAACGGAGTCGACTTAGGAGCGAATTTCATCAAGGCAATTAGCCTTACATCGATTATCCATCCGACACACCAGCATGTACTGCCTCCGTTGCCGAGCCTTGACCATAACTCAGGCAGTAATTTTCTCAAGGTTGTGGACATGCAAAGCTTTCTTCTCGAGATCTGCCTCGACTTTGGACTGTCTTTGTCTACGTTTCAACTATTGTACGTATACCCAACAGGCGCTGCCCCGTGGAGAAATCTAATCAAAGCACTAGAGTAGATTCCTACTTCGATAACATGTCGACGTATTCGCTCTTTCATCGACCGTCATTTGGGACAAAGTTGCAGAAAGTCGAGAACCTCACACATGTAAAGGCATTGTTCGCGGCCATGTTCTCCTTTTCTGCACGTTTTCAGTCCGTGCCAATCAACAATGACTCCTTAAACTCCCTGCAGCCTCGCGTTTTCGATCACACTCGGTTCCGTGAGAATGCACTAGATCTTATACAACGCAGCCTGGGAAATCCTGACGAAGAGCCTTCGTTATGTCTACTTCAGGCGATGGCTCTGAGTAGTTTTTATGAATTAACAAAAGGCGTCCAGGGTCGCGCATGGCGGCTTTTGGGATCTTGCGTTCGTGTTGCATATGAGTTGCATTTACATTTAGTGGATTACGAATCTCGATCAACCCCAATCCCAGACGGGTCACGGTCCTCCTCATGGTCGGCGGCGGAGGAGAAGCGGCGCTGTTGGTGGGCTATCTGGGACATGGATATCTTTGCCAGTACGATTCGGAGATGTCCCACTGCTATAGACTCTAGCATGATCGATACTCAGCTGCCTGTTTCTGATGAATTCTGGTTCAATAATGAGTTCCATGCCAGCTGCTTCTTGGATACTGACCCCGGTGAACGAGTGCGGGCGCTCGTGAACTGCAAAAATGAGTGTGCTTTCGCCTGGCTCATAGTCATCAACTCCATCATGCGCAATGCGCAGGTTCTTTTACGAGGCAATTTGCAGGGGATCCTTCTTGATGTGTGCCCGCTTGACAACCTGGACCAACTGCTACATTATTTCCGGAGCTCGTTCTCTAAGGCGAAAGGGGAAGAGGCTACAACGAAGCTCATTGCACTTGAGCAAGCGCTGGTCGAAGTGTCCAAGGCCATACCGGAGTCCCTTGCGTATCGGCAAGAGGCACTTGACTTCACCAACACAGAAAATCCCCGGCTCACTCATCGTGAGGCCCGCAAGCTGCACAGCGCTGTATTCAATATTCTTTTGTCTACCCAGCTCGCCAGATTTATGATTTATCACTCCTATGCATTTGGAGAGATCGTATCTGGCACTTTATTTGCAGGTAATCAAGGAACCACAAGCGGTTGCATGCCTTCCGCAATTGCTGCCCCAATTATACCGGCGAATGCCCAAGGCTGGAGAAATTGCCTGGAGGCCGCTGACAATATCCTAGCTATTGTCACACGCTGCCCCGAGAGCCATGTCAAATATGTAAACCCTTTCCTGGCGAGTACGGTATGGCTAGCTGCAGCATTACAGATTGTTCGAAAGGTATATGGAAATAATATCGATGCGGAACTGATACAGTCAAAAGTGGATTGCTTGCGTGCGACGTGTGAGAAGTATGCTGCATTTTGGCAGACACCAAGAAGAATGCTCGAAAACCTGGATACGCTGGAGCACCGACTGTTGCAACTTGGCCACGGCGCCATGACTGCGGAAGGCTTCTCCGTCGGAAAGGGTTCCGTGTCCATGTTGAGCGGGCTAATAAGGACCGACACGGCAACTCCCGTAAGACATGGTCCCTCGTTCCCAGACACCTCCAATCACTTAAGTATGCCTACGCTAGGGGAGGAGTGCTCGTATCAAAGCCAAGTTGGGGCTATCAGCCCTGCGGCAGAAGACGGCGCTTACTGGAACCTTTCCCCTGCTGCTGGACATATACACAACGCAGCAATGCAGACGGATCCTACCTGGTTATATGATCTAATGGATCTATCTCCAAGTAAAATATTTTCCTGATCTACTTTCTCATCACCATTCTCATGGTCACAAGAATTCCATGCTGCTCAACTGGAGACGCTCTGTGGATGGGAAGGATGGAATCGAATCCTTCTGAGTTACCAGGGTTCTCTAGATCGGCGAGTACCTCTAGCTTTGTCTTTCTTCTCAATATCTGACAAACACCTTTCGATTTCAATCGTTGAGCAATGTAATTGGTGATATCTTGACTACAATATGTCCACTTCGGGTACCATAAGAGCACATACCGAAGCTTAAATCCCTTTTAGCGAGGTTGTCAAATCAGACGTCCTTTTTTTTTTTTTTTTTTTTTTTTTTTTTCGTATGGGCTGGAAAGGAGATACTCATAGAGGTACCTCCAATTCCCGAACGCGGCCCTTTCTACAGACACCCGGTTCTACGGCGGTTGTCTCAAACGGAGCGACGTCAGCCGTTCCCCAGATATGCTGGGTCGTACGGAAGTAGCAAGGTCCTTGCATACCGCGGTTATTTCGGACTCATCAGACTCCATATGGCTATTCGTTCTTGTATGTATGGGAAGGCCATAACATCATGTTCATTGAAGCTCACCCCGTCGGGTACTGCCAAATATTCAGTATGTCAAAGTTCCTTGGAAGTCTACAGAGTGTCTTGCATCTTCCGTGCCGTTCGTAATAGTTTTCGCCTTAATCTGGGCTAGGTCTCAAATACCCGATGATGCGTATCTTGTTATACTATATGTGCAGAACCTCATGCTGGCTGGCAACTATCGAATAGTGATAACGAGAACCCTCAGGTTGTTCCAGCAAATTCAGGCAACGTTCGATAACTTGATCCCGCATGGTCCACAATTTTCCATTCGTCAGAATATGTTCCCAATACCAGATCCAAAACTGGTGCAAGGCTGGAATACGACTATAACACCGGTGTAGGGGACAAAAATCTCATGGACCATGTCAATTCTGGTTATTCCAATGCCTAGCAGGCGGGCCCCTTATTTAGCCCAATTCCGATTAATTGTACCGAAATTATCCCGAACCCCCATTACCTTCTTTTTTGCTTTGGAGAGAGGGGTTAGGTGTGATGGTGATTCTCAACCGATACCGGGCTATCGCAACGACCATTAGCTAGAGTAAGGACAGCATGGAAGTATAGATACCCAGTCCCTTAGGCTTTTCAGATTGGCCGGAGCACAGTCGATGTCTTCTTTCTTTCCATCCCTTGGCCCGTCCTAGAGCAAGACACCATGGCTCCCAACTGGACACACCTGGTTCGGTTTGTTGCCAAAGAAGATAATCATATTTACTTGGGCCAGGTTGATTGCCGGCAATGGCCAGATGTTGGTTTAGCCGTGTTCCAGGGAGAACAGGTCAAAGTGCAGCTGGTGAGAGGGTCAATTTACGACGGCGTTGTGACCGATACCGTGTTGACCATCAAACGGGTTTGTCTTGTCGATTCTCTTGGGAAAGACCCTGGTCCTATTGAGGAGTATAATCTATAGAATGCTAATGTACGTTTCCTGGCCGAATAGCTCCTGTCCCCCATTAGCATGGAGGAGATACCTATTGTTCGTTGTCTGGGGCTCAACTATCGCGATCACGCTAGGGAGGCCAACATGCCCATCCCGGATGTGCCAGTCCTCTTTATCAAGCCTCGCACTGCCATCACTGGACCATTTCCCGCAGTCATCAATATTCCGAAGATTGCACAGGACGGAACCAGTGATTATGAGGCGGAGCTCGCAGTCGTCTTGTCCAAGACCGGGCGGGACATTCCTAAGTCGGAAGCTATGGACTACGTCTTGGGATACACCTGCAGCAACGATGTCAGCGCTCGCGCTCAGCAATTCAAGAACAGCCAGTGGTGCTTCTCAAAAGGTGAGTCGCAGATACTATAGCGCTGCCATATGAGAATGGGATTGATAATCGGCCGTAGGGCTGGACGGCTCTTGCCCTCTTGGACCTGCCTTGGTGTCTCCGGCCGCCGTGGCTGACCCTCATAAGCTCCGAATCAAAGCGGTGCTAAATTCTGGTGTAGTACAGGACTCGAATACAGGGTGAGTAGTTTTGCCACGGCCCTATCGTCTCTCCTTTCACTGACTAAACCGGGTGCGCACAGGGAAATGATTTTCGATATCGCCGAGACTATCGCGTTCTTATCCCAGGGAACCACACTTGAGCGAGGAACGGTTATTCTCACCGGAACGGGCCCTGGAATAGGGGCGATGCAGGATCCGAAGGTAGTACTACAGGATGGCGATGATATGCGTGTGGAAATAGAGGGTCTAGGAACCTTGATAAATAAGGTTCGATACGAGAACTAGCTAGAGACGGAATTTGTCGTCGAATCTAGTCGATCTCTCCTGTCGTATATATTGTTCTATGGACAGTCTCAAAGGCACTCAATGCCCCCTTCCCTTCCTTGTTTCTTGGCAAGCACTGGCACATGAGCACACAGCGACAACAGATGTCCCAATGTAGTCATCACCTCGCATTTAGGTACGTCGATTGGCTAGTTCCTAGATACAGGAGCCGGCGCGCATGTGTAAGGAGGAATTAGGGTACTGGAACGCTGCTGAGAATTGCCCCGTTGGCCCGAGAGATGCACAATTGCCCCGGTCTCCATAATAACCCCGACTTAATCCCCTCGGATCGCCGCCTTCCCCGCAGTTAATACCTGGGGGGCGAGTCAGGACAAGCGAGGAAAGAGAATCACACTTGAAGATTAAAGTTCAAGCAGAGGCAAATGAGGACCATAGTAATAGAACTGCTTCGGTTTCACCTCCTGGTTATCTTAAACGCGGACACCCTGCCAGGACCTCCTTTTTATCCGCCAGGGGAGCCTTTCCGTTGAGAACGCAGATATGTGGTTATCGAGTCAAGGCATGTCGTGGGAACCAACAAAAAGGTCTGACATTGCTTGTCATTCGTGTCGGAGGTATGCATACACATCCAGTTCGCATCACCTTGAGGCCGGAATCGCTAACCGGGATATCCTGCAGACGCAAAGTGAAGTGGTACGTACATTGGAACGCGCTCTCTCTTCCTCTGGGCTTTTACTCTTCCCGGGCATAATTTTTCTGGTCTTGATTGTGGCCCGCGGCTCACTCGGACGGGTGTCTAGTGATCGTCAACGACCTAAGTGCTTGGTCTGCGAAAAGACGTCACAAGTGTGTAATTATCCCTCAGGCCCTCTAAAGCCGGGCCCCAAGATTGGTACCCCCACCCCAAGGAAGACACGGTCGACTATGAGTAACCTATAGGCGCACAGGGTCCATGAGCCGCGGTAGGAAACGGCGGCGAGGAAGCAGAGCTGATGCTGGAAGAGACACCGAAGACGATCTGGAGGCAGCAGGAGAGGATCCATACGTGCCGCAAGATTATGGCGACAAGGAACCTCTGTCCCCTCCCAACAGGGACTCCAGCTCGGTCTCCCTTGAGCCAGACAAATCGACGGCGCTACAACGCGACCCGCAGTTGAATATACACAATCTATCCTTTATTCTCCACCCATGTCATGAGCCGTCGTCCCCCGACCAGGATACTCAAAGTCCGAATGCCGAGCCTGCTCCAGCTCAGCAGCAACCTGCACTTCTCACAAGAGCTGTAACCGCACTTGGCCTGACCGATCAGTCTTTGCAAACAATGTAAGCTGGTCTATTGCGTCCACTTTGTCCGCGTTAAATACTCCAACTTAGGTCTCACTGCGTAATTTCCTACAGGATCAAAACATACTTCGACAACATGGTCGCAATTAACCTCTTTCACGAGCCCACATTTAGCCAGAAGCTCAATACTATTACCACAGCCACGCAGGCAAAGGCCCTCCTGGCGGCCATGATGGGATACACAGCCAAATTTACCACGTTGGATGAAGGAGCAAACAAAAGGGCCAAGAGTAACTTGTCTGCCCATTATGTAAATCTCGCCCTAAGTTTCGCTACGGAGGCTTTGCATGAATGCGGGGATGAGGAGCCACCTTTATGTATTCTGCAAGCATTCATTGTGCTCTCCCACTGTCAATTGACCGAGGGCGTTCGCGGCAAGTCATGGAGATCACTGGGCACCTGTGTGCGGCTCGCATACGAGATGAACCTGCACCTAGTAGATACGGAAACCATGGATGGGGACGTCGAGGTGGATGCAGCCCAGTGGTGCAAGGATGAAGAGAAACGTCGGGCATGGTGGGCAGTCTGGGAAATGGATGTGTTCGCCACAACTATCCGACGGACCCCGACGGCCATTGAATGGGGCCAGATTGAAACATTGCTACCCGTTGATGACATATATTGGTTCCAAAATCGGCCTCATGGCAGCTGCTTCTTCTTGAAAGAACCGCTATGCCGGTGGAAGACGCTTCAGGAATCCGGCCTTCAATCAGCTAAAGCATGGTATATTGTTATCAATTCACTTATGAAGGACGCACAGCAAATATCCAGCCCTCGGGGTGTCTACAAGGCTGCCAGAGGGCACAGAGATCCTCCAAGGGACAGCAACAGCCACGCGCAGGCACGTCAGAACCTCGAAGCCCTAGGCAATCTCGTCCACTGCCTGGCATTGGCCCTACCGGAGCATCTACGCTTTCGGAACCAGCCTCTGGGTTTTGAGGGGAGAGAGAATGGCCAGATCACGTCCGCCCGGCAACTTCACTGCTCAATATATAACATATACGTGATGCAACAGCTTGCCCGGCTAATGATCTATCGATATGCTATCTTTGCGCGGCAGACTCAGGACGCCAGCTTCGGGAAGAACTCCAATAGAGCTCAAGGAGAGAATATCGACATGGATAGTTTTCCTATGCGACAGTATTTTGACGCCGCCAATAACATTCTCAATATTGTTGTTCGAAGCTGCGAAGACCACATCCAACACATCAATCCGTTTCTGTCCAGCACTATCTGGCTTGCGGCTGCCATTCAATTAGTACACCGCGGATTGTCTCGAACAGACGACGCAAATGCAAGACTCATACAATCCCGCTTTGAAGTACTGCACCTTACGTACAAAAAGTGCGTGTCATTCTGGAACATCCAGACTGCGATGCAACAGAACCTCGAGGCCCTCGAAGCGCAGCTGGAGTCTAGCCAGGCCTCTGCCAGAGACAACAATCCAGAGAACAACCTTGCCGGCTACGACAAACAAGCATTTATGTTGCCATCAGGCGCAAGTAATAACCACTCGTATCCTCAAGCCCCAAACGATGAATTAAATGGTTGCGTAGATGGTAGGCACCCCTCGTCTTCTGGCTTTCCGACCTTTTCCCTGATCCACAGCCCCCCTTGCTAATTGCTTGCAACACACAGGTGAGCGACGTTTATCCCATGATGCGCAGAGACGCAATGACAATCCAGCTGCGGAGATATCTCATTTTCAGTCGCCGCCAAGCACGTTAAACGAGGTTGCATGTGACCGTGGAAACGATACTGCCTTTGGAACGACAACGACTCGGGCACCCCGAGACACGGAAACCGTGGGGGACATGATACAGCCCCCGCTGAATGTTCCTGTATGCGATACGTTCGATGTTATGTCTCATCTAGATGACGGTCTCATCGAACCCTTGCTTTTCTGGAAGAACAACCATCAGTCTCTAATTCCACAGGTGGAAGGATCAGGTCGAATACCCGATGCCGGTGGATATATCGACTGGAGAGACATGGGCCTTCCATCAGACATTCAATCCTTACTAATAAGGTCACACGGGCAAACACTGTGAATGTGATTTAGATCTACAATGTACTTGCGAGCGAGGTGAGAAACTACTGACGGACTTCTATCCAAAACATAACAACTGAATGGCACTCTTTCTATTACTCAGGAATCGAGCTGAGCGGTTGGAGCAAGCTGGCTTCAAGTTTGGAACGGTCTTTTGCTTCTTGGAGATCGTAGGGGATTGGATGTGCATGCAAGGTTCAAGCGGCTTTAACAGTACATACAGGTATGATGTCGGCATAGCAGCATTTTTTTGGCACACGAGAGACGGACTTATAAAATGTAATATGACTTATCTACGTAGGAAAACCCCATTCCCATAAGGCGACAGTATGATAATCTCGGGCTCAGTATCTCGAATGCTGACAGTGTCATAGGCGTACCTCGTCCATGACCTGGAACTTATACACCCAGCTTCAAGGGGCCAAGAGACTCGAAAGACAATCAAGGAAGAACATTGAGAGATGGCTAAAAGGGGACAGACTGGCTTCTCGCACACATGCCCTTGCCATCTCATTCTGGGCCATAGGGCCTTTGGATGACCCGCCACTAAGACTCTTTCTACAGCTGGTTGTCCAACCCAAGGATGGATCGCAGAACCTCGCTCAATTTCGACTGGCAACTGGCCACATCCCCCAATACGCGGGGAGCCCGCCACGCGACAAACCGATCTGGCCGTACCAGGACCGCTCCATCCTCCTCCACCCCATTCACACGCTCCCAGTCAAAATAGACATCTTCCCAATCTTGCCGGAATCCAATAGAATGAGCATTTAGAGGAACGGCAAGCTGTTTGGCGAGTCTGCCTGCGGCAGCCTTCCATGCATCACCCCCCGGGCCGGTAAACAGCGTGAATGCCCCACCTCCAGCAAGGTCAATGGTTGAGATTTGCCTTCCAGGAACGGCTGTGTTCAGCCACACATGCGGCAGTCGGCAGCCGGGGTATGTGCTGGGCTCGTAGTAAAGCACATCGTCCTCGGCCCTCCTCCCTTTGGGCTTGTAGGTTTCCTTCTCATCGGCCAAGTGAATACCTGGTCCTGTATAAAGCTGGTTCATTTCCACACCGAGGCCATGAAACTCGTGTGCTGTGCGTGAGATTGCTTCCCTGAAAGCAGCGCGGCGCTTGGTCCCTTCCTCCCCCGTGCTCTGTAGCTCTTGTAGAACGGCCCTCCTTTCCTCGACGTGCGGAGGAAGAGCCCCTATCGCATCCCAGATGGCGAAGTGGTCACGGAATGCCTGATTGGCCCGTGTGATAATAGATCTACCAACAGGTTGCCTCTCGATACTGTATGTATCGAGGATGGACCGACCGGCGAGGCCACCATGAACGTAGGCGACCTTCCAGGCCAAGTTGAAGGCGTCTTGGATGCATGTGTTCGAGCCGAGGCCGTTCATGGGCGGATGACGGTGGACTGCATCACCGAGGCAGAAGCTACACGGTCAAACCAGGCTGTTATTAGAATGAGGAAAAAGCGCGCCAAATCTGGGCTTGGAAGATGTATCACTTACACATTGCCATCGGAATACCGTTCTGCTACGATTTCATTGATGTACCACTTTGAAACGCTGAGTATCTCGGCCGGGGTGTTGTCCCCAATGAACTCTTGAACGCGCTGTCTGTACTCCTCGAGAGACGGCTGGATGTCATGGTCACAGCCACGGGTTGGGAAGAGGATGAACATCCACTCATCCCATGCCTTTACCATGCGGACGATACCCATCCATCCGAATTCTGGATGCTCCTCGTCAGGCTGCAATATCCAATGCAAATTCCCTGGGCGGCTTCCCATTAGGTGGGATAGATCGGCCTTCACAAGGACATTGATAGCAAGTCCCTGGCTGGGTTTGACGGACAACGGCAGCTCGACCTGCTTCACCACCTGGCTTCTGGCGCCATCGGCTCCAAAGATGTACGGCGTACGCACTCTGTATCTAGCCCCAGAAACACCATCGTGAATATTTGCGATATATAGCCCCGTGTCGGCGTCTCGGGTAAAAGATTCTAGGGTGGTATTAAACCGCATGGTCCACCCCTTGAGGGTAGCATGTCGCACTAGGACGGGCTCGAGGTGAGTCTGGGGGAGGTCAACAGGCGAGCAAGGGCTTGCAGTCTCGTAATCTCCCTGGGGACGTCACGATCAGCATGGCCTCGCCTGACGGGGATCTGGAAGATTGTCAGGTCTCACCTTCCGTCTCGGATCATGGCCCCAGGAGTGGATGCGCGCATATTCGACTCCTGCCATGCTGTGACACCATCGAGTATGGACCATGTGCTCATTCTTGGTGGCGATGCGCTCTAGCTCTCTATCGAGGCCAATATCTCGGAGGCACTCTGCGCAAAACCGTTATACAAACCCCAATAGCGAGGCACTAGTGGCTTAATTGGGGGCTCTTCATACCTAATGCGGCCATGTTCGTAATGTGGGCTCGGGGGGAGTTCGCTGTCCCCGGGGCGGTACTGATCATCAGACCCTTCAGGTCTGAGGTTTGTTCATTAGCATGCACGTCTCCACGACTGATGAGTGTCCCGAAGCCGACGCACTGTATGCTGCAAGGAAACATGCTAGGGACGCTCCCGCTGGACCTGCGCCGACAATCAAAAACTCGGTATCTGTAACCCCATCTCCCTCTCCGCTATCCTTGCGGGCCACATGCGGCCCGCTTGATACTGAGCCATTGGGAAGCATGGACGGAGCCATCGTGGATAGTGAGCGGCGGATGTTGGAGCTGGGCCGCGGTCGCGATCGGAGGACCGAGAAACTCGCACAATGTGGCCTTTTAATGTCCGTGAGCACTGTGACAGTTAAGTATCTCAACTTCGACCAGCGGCTGCGAGAGGGAAGCATGACCGAGTTCCAACTCCTTCTCGTCGTCTTGGTCGGATGTTTGTCTCGTTGATTATGTTGTGTAACCTGCCTTGCTGGATCACCTAGCTTTATTCGGCTCTTGCCTTTTCGCTGAGGTTGTTACTTTTGAAATGATCTTGCTATTTAGTCTATTTTGCCATTAATTGTTTTTAGTTTTCATTCTGATCTTCGTTGCCGCAATGTAAGCTGTTGCATGATCCATCCCGTAGGGAGACGTGGAAATCGTGCGAAGATACCCCGAATGTGGGAATCATGCGATGACCGGGCAGATTGAGTCCAGGACCAGCTCGGAAGAACTCCCTCAAGGTTATACCTGCCAGTATGCAAAGTGGCATAAGGTCGTCGTGACGATCAGATGTCTGTGGTCTTTAATCATCCGTCGTTCATCACCGTGTCCGTCTGCGGGTCCCTGAGAGACGAGGATAAGATACTGAATCCTGGTCGCGTAGTTTCACTGTTTCCTCCTCTCAGTTAGGACAGGCTTTGCCCATTCTCTCAATATGCTAGTCGCCAGCGCGGGCCAAGAGGGCCGGAAGATCAATCTGGTCCGTATTGCACACGTCTACTACACGCACCAGGATCTCAACGCCGCACACGATTTTCTGATCGACTTCGGCTTCCACGAAGTAAAACGAGACCGGAAGACTGTCTATTACGGTGGTACTGGGCCTGACCCGTTCATCTACTGTGCACGGGAGGGTCCTGAGAACCAGTTCGGGGGCGCCGCTTTCGAGGTCGAATCCAAGGATGACCTCGAGTACGCTGCAGAATCCCTTCCTGGGGCGACGGAGATCTATGAGCTGACAGATGCTCCTGGAGGTGGACTATGCGTTACCTTCAGAGACCCGGCCGATGGGTTCCTGTTCCACCTAGTGTATGGGCAAGGCAAAAAGCAGACCGTTACAGCTCTACCTCAACTGTCATATAACCTCGTGAGTGTTGCCAATTGGCCATCTAACTGCAAGCGTTCAATGCGTCTGACTGGACATTGAGCATAGCCAAACATCAAGAATCGACCGGCAAACTTGACCCAGCGCTTCCAACCGTGTGAGTTTTCCGATTCACGGAGTCTTCCCTCGCTCGATTCCCGAGCTGACCGGTTATACATAGCGCCTGCCCCGGTTCATAAGCTCGGGCATTTTGGCATGTGCGTAACGAACTTCGCCAAAACCTATGAGTTCTACACGCGCAGGTTCAACTTCGCCCCAAGCGACGTGAGTGGCCTTGGTCGCACGTGCCACAGGGCTATTGCATACTAATACAATATGTTGTCGCGGGTCTAGATCGTGCACGACGATGCGGGAAGAGATATCACTACCTTCCTACACTTGGATCGGGGAGACACACTTGTCGATCATCACTGCTTTTTCTTCTTCGAAGGTCCCGAAGCCCATGTACACCATTCCTCCTATGAGACACACGACTTCGATATCCAAAATCTCGGGCATGATTGGCTGAGGAAGAAAGGGTACAAGAACTGCTGGGGCGTCGGGCGCCATATAATGGGCAGTCAGATTTTTGACTACTGGTAAGATTCTCAGATATCTCCGGTCCCGGTCTACTCAGGTTATTGGTCGTTCCTAAGTGAATACTAGGTTTGACACGTCGGGTTTCATCGTGGAGCATTATGTCGATGGGGACCTCGTCAACAGTCAACATCCCCTGCAACGGTCTCTTGCTCGCCCGGGAAATTTGCATGTTTGGGGTGAGTCTCCCCCTTCTTTGGCGCGCCGTCGATATTCGTCCCTCAGGAACTAATAGCTCCAAGGACCGGATGTCCCTTCCGAGTTCCTGAAATAGTTTCCATTCGTAGAGAAATGTGTGCAACGAAAGGAACAGTGCAGATAAAGCACAGATTTGTTCACTATTTGGTACGAGTGAATGAGTGGAGGCTATGGAATCTGTGTGTGTGATATTGAAGAGTAGTATACGATTTAACAAGATTTGCTCGAGTTTGATATACAACATCTTAAGGAGTGTTGATGTTGGTACCTAGTTCCTATATACCTCGATTGTAACGCATGCACAACCTCTGGCCTGCACTCTCACAAAAAACCGAATCTCGTCTGTTTCCTCTTTTGTGAAGCCTCTATATCACCACTGCTCCATTCTAACTCCTATATCTAAGCAATGCCGGCGTCTCCGTTCTTGACAAACGCTCACGCAAGCAACATACTTCCAACAAACAAAAGATTAGATATTTTCCAAAATACGGTCTAGCGGGATTATCTTCTCATGGCTGGATCGATTCGCCGCGGACGAGCTCGCCCTTATTCATCATGGCCACGTATGGGGAGGGCAACTATTTAACCCTTCGGCCGAACCTCGCATGAATTCTATTATTATGGCTCCGTCAATTTTACACCAGGCAGATCAATGCTCATCGTGACCCGAGCGGTACGCAGATAGCCTTCTTCGAGACAGACGATGCTGACGAAAATTTCCCCAGCGTCGTCAAAAGGGACTTAGTTAGGGTAGTTAATCACACACGGCGGCATCGTAGTTGTATTATATAGGACTAAATCGGAAAAAGGGCAAAATAGCTATTGAGCAACCTCAGACGGAGGTATCCCAGCAAAGCCCTCCGTCAATGTATAGTGATTGGCCAATCCGCTGGTCTGTGATAACTTTGAATACAGCCTGAAATGTCACAACGTCAGAACCAAGGCGACTCAAGTGGCGGGGACACCCAGAGTCATTCCTCCATCGACGGCAAGGACCTGGCCAGTCGTCCACTGCGAAGACGGGAGGCAAAAGAATAACACAGCGGCGGCTATATCCTGTGTGTTGCCCAGACGTGGCCAGGGGGTGGCTCGTTTCATCAATGCAAGGATATCCTCGTCTTCAAAATTCCCGCGCGCCATGCCGGTCGCCACCGTGCCAGGAGCGACACAGTTGACATTGATCGAATCTTTGGCATGGTCCAGAGCGGCCGTACGAGTCAGATGGTTGACGGACGCCTTGGTGATGGAGTACGCAACCTCCCCAGCGAAGGCGATCACGCCAGCGGCGGACGAGATGTTGACGATCCGGCCACGACTTCCCCAGGAAGGGTCGACCCCCTGCTTGAGGAACTGGCGGATAGCGAGACGACACATCTTACCCGTACCAGCGGAGTTGACCGCCAACATCTTCGACCAAAGCTCGTCATCCTCCTCGGCGAACTGTCGGAATGGTGCCCAGTACCCGGCACAGTTGACGAGGATATCTAGACGTCCGAATTCCTGCGACGCAGTCTATGTCAGAGCAATTGGGGATGACGACCACAAGTGGGCGCACAGGGAGGGATGCTAGACCTTAATGACGGTGCTGAATGCATTTTCTACCTGCTTTGAATCCGAAATGTCGACGCGCACGAAGATTGACCTCCGCCCACCTTCCAGAATCAGATCTGTAGTACTTGTCTCTAGCCGAGCGTCGAACCCGCGGGGGTTCGCCTCTGGCTGGAGGTCTGCGCAAATGACGTGGGATCCTTCTTTGGCTAAAGACAATGCGACAGCCCTACCGATGCCCGACGAGGCACCGGTCACTAGGGCCACCTTGTTTTCAAGCTGACGGGGAGACGTCGTGCAGAAGAGGGGAAGAAACGAGATACAGAGTACACGCTAATCCAATGGTCCTGTTCTTCGTGAGGGGGTTATATATGGTTGGAAAGCGTAAGAGAGAGGAGAAACCTTTTGAACGCAAGATCTGCGTTGGACTTGACGGCCCTTGGATCCTTCTATCGTAGTCGGCACTAGTCCGAGTAATAGCTGGCTGTGGCGGCCCAATTGAGTGGTTCCCGCCAGAGATGTTCCGGAGACGCTCCGGTTCATATACACATCCTCTTCATCATATGCAGTGCATGGCCAGCCTCACGTTGCTATTTCTTTCACTACCTGCATCATATCCAGTGGGCGCCTTCTCTCCTTTGATTCGGCGACAACCGTCAACTAGCGGCAAGAGGCGTTTACCCGTTGATAGGCGCCAGACGAGGGGAGAACTCATTGCAGTGGCCCCAGTGCCTCTCCCATTCTACCGTCACCACTCTAGGTACTGCTAGCACACCTATCTCTACCAATGCCAGCACTATCCGTGTCGCTAAGATAGGGAACAAGTTCGATCTTGTCTACGACGTGGTCGTCGGTGGGTCGGGCTGCTCGGGGCTGACTGCGGCGCTTGTTGCTGTCAAACATGGACTTCATGTCCTGACGGTAGAAAAGACCCGGTACCTTGAAGGTATTACAGCATTCTTAGGGGGCGTGCTTGGATCCCAAACAACAAGTACCAACCGGCCATCGGCGTCGGGGACTTGCGAGGACAAAATGAGTAATATCTGTGTCATGTCATGCGGGTCATTCAGCCGCACGAGGCATCCCGGATAGTAGCCTTTCTAAAGTCAGGGCCGGAAATGGTGCGGTATCTTGAAGAGCACGCTCACATCCGCTTCAAGCCCGTTCCGTTGCCGGATTATCACGTATCACAACCGGGAGCATCAGTAGGCCACACAATCAGAACAGAAGCATACGATGGTCGCGTGCTGGGGCGTCTCACCCGTGATATCAGATATCCTATTCAGGGCTCCGGCGCCTTTGGGTCTCTGGCAAGTTGACCCGGCGGAAATTCCAGTCCTTACGCGGTCGCTCAGCAGCGCCAAAAATTCGTTTTATGTTACCCGCAAAATGCTTCGATATTTGGCGACCTCATCCTTCATAATAAGGGTCTCATGCTGGCACATGGCAATGCACTAGTAGGCAGGCTGGTGCATTATTTGGGTGACCAAGGTATAGACATATGGAAGCCGTCAGCTGCTCTGGCGCGATCCAAGGGGAGGACGGCGTCGTTGGGTTGCAGGTTCTCCCCAATGGGCAAAGTAATAACATCCAAGCACGGAAGGGCGTCATCCTCGCCAGCGGGGTTTTGCGAGATCAGACGAAGCGAGGAATTTTATTACGCATAAATGGACTGCTGCACCGCTAAGTAACAGAGAGAGGGGGGGTTAAGCGGATGGGTATCTTGACCGGTGGAATTCTCCCCCATAGAAACCCAAACAATGGCATCTTTGCCCCTATTTCCATTCCAAAGATGAAAGATGGCTATATTCGCCCTTTCCCTCACTTTGCCATCGACCGGTCAAAGCCAGGATCCATCATCGTCGGACCGGACGAGTAACGCTTCACGACTGAATCCGAGCCATATCAAGAGATTGTATCTGCCACGTACCGGCTAGGGATTCAAAAGGCATATAATGTAGGTGATCATAGACACCTGTGGAAATAGGAATTGGGTATGGACCTGCTATGGGCTAACCCCGTCTGGGGTCTGTTGCAAAAAGGCTATCTCGTTTCGGCGAATGACAATAACTTCAATACTAACTACCTGTGCTGCGTGAGCGAGGCAGCAGTCAATTTCCATTGCTATCTTCCAGGGGCTCTTCTGTACTAATTCTCTGGGTGGGACACACACCCCATGTCCGTCACTTCTGCAGTCTCCAGGTGATACATAGTGAGTGGGGTAGCTCTTATGCATGGGGCTAAGGGACCCAGAACGGGGCACTCGGACAAATTCTCGAAACGGGAGGTGTTCACATAGTAGAAATGGCCCGAAGATGGGCCACAAACACTCCGGAGGATAACTGTTCGGAAGTCAACAATTAGCCTGGCCGTTGGTCATGCTCCAGTGATTCCCCCGTTTCACTCCGTTCATAAATGATACGGAAGTCTCATCGCAGTGGAAACGCCACCTAGCACAACAACCCGTCTCCCCACTATGAGTTTGCTGTCCACCCTGCTTCAGGTCCCTGGTGGTGCACCTGCCGTCTCGCCCATTCTGCTTTTGACAGGAGTTCTTTTGGTCGCTGGAATATGGAGGTTACTCCAAATTGGTAAACGCGACCCCCGGATGCCCAAAGGGCCGCCGACTGTACCCATCCTGGGAAATTTTCATCAGATCCCCTCCACGGGTCTCTTCGCAAGGTAGGTTGCCCACGCAGCATAATCTGCTTACGAGCTGTTCTTGGGAGAACTCTCTGACATCGACTGCCAGATTCGGAGAATGGGCCAAAGAGTATGGCCCCGTCTTCTCTCTCAAATTTGGCCCGACGAATATCATCGTCCTTTGTGACCGCAAGGCCGTGCATGAGCTCCTCGACAAGCGTGGAGCAATATACTCCGATCGCCCGCCCAGCTATGTGGGCAGGCTCTTGACGCAGGGGGACCATATCGCGCTAGAGCAGATGGACCCCGTCTGGAGGGAGAAGCGAAAAGTGATTTCACATAACTTCTCCCCAAAGAATTTAGACGAAAAGCATTTCCTGGTTCAGGAGGCAGAGTAGGTTCACAGTCGATCTCGGTCTGGACCAATTCCGCTGACATTCATCCTCGCAGAGGCCTGATCTTGTTGAATGATCTGCTGAGGGATACAGAAGGATTCTACAACCATGTCCGTCGGTACACCGCATCTGTGGCATCCGCGTTGGCCTTCGGCCATCGTGGTCCCACCTTTGAGTCGTTCTGGGGTCACGTAAGTGCGGAATCACAGGCTGAACGGCCTCTGTTTTGCATTGCCAACTAAACAGTCCCCTGCCTAGGCCGTATATGATGTCATGGATCGATGGACAGAAGCCATGGAAGCGGGCGCCAATCCGCCTGTTGATGAATACCCTATTCTCAGACTGATTCCAAAACGCTTCGCCTATTGGAAACGGCGGGCAGTTGCAGCTGGCACGGTGTTTGATACGACCTGGGGCAAGGCGCGACAAATCGTGGATGAACGCAGAGCTCGAGGCGATAAGCGTGACTGTATCATTGACCGACTCCTCGACGAGTATAACCAGAAAGGGTGGCCTATGAGCCAGCATGCGTTCAACAACCTGGTTGGGGAGGTAGTCGAAGGGGCAGCAGACACCACCGCTGCACAGATCCTGACACTCATCCTTGCTTTTGCAATGCATCCTCATGTGCAGGAGGCAGCCAGGAGAGAGATTGACGCCATCTGCCCGCCGGATAAGCCGCCTAAATGGTCCGATTTTCAGCAGCTACCTTACATCAACATGATCGTCAAAGAAGGCATGAGATGGAGACCAGTGTGAGTTTGCCTCTTCTATCCTGTATAGAACAATAAATACATACGTGCGAGGGAATTTAGTAACCTGAGCTATCAGTGCAGTGACTGCTCTACCGCATCGTGTACGGCAAGGTGAGTTGGCCTGCCCATTTTATCTTTGGTTTCCACAGTCACGATCAGACGCTAACAAGGAGGACTGTAGATGACTGGTATGAGGGAATGTTGATACCCAAAGACTCGACCGTTTTTATCGCCACTTGGGCGATCCATCATAACGAGCAAATCTACAAGGATCACGACGTTTTTGATCCTGATAGATACAAGGACCATCCAAAATTGGCGAATGATTATGCTGGTAGCCCAGATTGGAGCAACCGAGATAAGTATAACCCTTCCCCCTTGTGTCTGAAAACAAGCTCACCAGTTTCTTTACATCACTACGGGTACGGTGCAGGCCGGAGATTGTGCCCTGGTGTTCACTTTGCCGAAAGGAACATGTGGCGCATCGCGGCCAAGCTGCTCTGGGCGTACGAGTTTGCAGAACCCATCGATCCACGGACAGGAAAGACGATACCCCTGGATCCGAATAGCTATAATGATGGAATTCTCCATGCTCCTCTCCCTTATAAAGTGCGTATAACACCTAGGAGTAAGCAACACGAGGAGACCATCAAGAAGGGGCTTCAGGAGGCACTGGATTTTCTATCAAAATGGAACTAGTGTCGAAGTGAATATTGTTCGATAGCTTTATATAGCTTTATGCAGCTTCAACCGTGGAACTCTTGGAGGAAATTCAAAGAACGAATGTGGAGCTGAGAGCTAGTCCCCTGATAAATTGACAAAGATATCCTAGAGTTCCCGTTCAAGAATGCATTTCATTCAACTCGCACATGCACTTGTTGGTGTTGTCTCCAGCTGACTGAGGCAGAGCCGTGTTACGAAGTGACCATGCCCTGTAGCACAATGCATCTCAGACCAAACACTGCTTGGGACGTGGCATTCCATTAGATCCGGAGGGAATAATTCTTGACGTTCACCTTTCTATAGCTTGTCTGAGGGGGACCGGGTTTGGGGGGAAGGTAAAATATAAAACAGAATATTTCCGCGGAGACCGTCCGACATGTACATAAGCTCTATTATTCTAAGCGCACGATACTCCGAATGTCCTACTACACTTGAGGACTCGGACTTATTGCGCTGGGTACCTGCAAGGGCAGATGGATAGGTCTACGATATCACAGGTTCTGATGAAACACCCGGAAGTGGGCCGCAGAAAACTGAACATGACCCTTCTAGACATTGATAGCAACGGATCAGATAACCATCTTGACCATCATCAGGGGCAGATTGGAGTTCTGATGGACCTTGCAGGCCGCGAGGCTACCGAACAATTTGATGAAGTTCAACGAAGCGCAGATGCGTGGGCCGTCTTGAGTACCCTCCAATAGGCATCCTGGAAACGCCAGTATGTATCACGTCCCTCTAAGACTTTATCGATTTTAAACGATATAGGTTAGCGGCCACGGACGAACTTCTACTCAGGCCGGAAAACCTCAATGAGTGTCAGTAGGACATCAACAATGGCATGCAAGGCTTCCATATGTGAACCAGAGGAGTCTTATTGTGGGTAGTCCCCTCAGGTAAGTCGTGTGAATAATAGCTCTGCCGAGGCGCGTTTGGTTGCTTTTAGAACTGTTGTGATTCAGAGGAAGTTTAATTGTTCTTCGTATCAGAAAACATGATGATTTATATATACAAGATGAATACCAGATTGATTTTCGATTCCATACAGAATAAATTCCGTATACAAAGCTATATTGTCTAGTTGATTGAGCCTCGATCCACACCCTATAGTGTGAACACGTCATGACAGAACTTACTATTGGGGATTAGTTCAGGATAACTCTGGCGGCCGGTTAGGAAAATATACTCTAGTCGTTGTCGGAAACGGAAAGCTGTTCGAAGCGTAACTAGCCGGTCAGTGCCTAGATGATGGTTGTATATTTCTGGTACACAGCCCTCGTGATGTCGCAGCTAAAATACTGAGGGATCCAGACCCAGTATGTTCAAAAGTAATCCCTGGGCGGTGGGATCGCCAGGCTGATGGGAACCATGGTAGGGAACCATAGTAGTTTGTAGGGCCAAATGTAACTGTTTCAACGAGGGATCCAGCAGCCACCTTAGCAATTGGTAGCTCCAACCCATCAGCATTCATAGTGTAACATCAGAGTGAAACAGCAGGGATGGTATGCAGCCACTACATGGAGATGCCACGAGCTGCAGTGGCAGGTATTCATAAGTATTCCTGCCCCTTTCATCTGCGTCTCCTGTCTTTCATCCTGTCTTCTATTAGCACTAGTTTAACCTAATGTATGACTCTACCAGTTGATTAGGCCTTGCTAACAGTCTCCCATCAGAGCTAGACTAGGCTACTGATTTCGAGAGCCGTCAAGATGCGATCTCACTCTGTGCTTTCCACTGCAGCGCTGCTGGCACTTGCCACGGTGCCTTGCACTGCATTCGGCGACAATATTATTTATCCTCAACAACAAAAAGAAGCCTTCAACACGACTGAAATACCCCGAGCTCCTCTTCCTTGGGGAAGGGTCAACTTTCTGCACACAACGGATACTCATGGATGGCTTGATGGGCACGCAAATGTACCCAGCTGGGGTGCTGACTGGGGCGACTTCGTTTCCTTTGTCATGCACATGAAAGATAAAGCCTTACGCAAGAAGGTAGATCTTCTTCTTATCGAGAGTGGTGAGTTCCCTTTGATGTCAATGTTTTTACTTCGAGAAAAATCTCCGATGTTGACGTGGTCACCTTTCCTTCTCCTAGGAGACTTCCATGACGGTGGCGGCCTCAGCGACAGTACAAGCCCCAAAGGAGCTGTCTCAGACAGTATCTTTGAGAACATTGATTACGATATCGTGACCATTGGTAACCACGGCGTTCGAACCGGGGCAGAAGCGTTAAACATCCATTACAACCTATCGAGAGTCTTTGGTGACCGGTTTCTCACCAGTAACGTCGACGTAGAAGACAATAAAAAACTTGAATCAATTGGCAATCGATATCGCGCTTTCCAGACCAGAAATGGGCTACGGATCGTGGCGTTTGGAGTCACTGTCAATGACCCTGTCCTCAGGGATCTAAACCATACAGAGGTTCACAACGCGAGCTGGATATTCGAACAAAAGTGGTTTGAGGAAGCCATGAAGAAAGAGGCTGACCTCTACGTGATTGTTGGTCATGCCCCTACCTACGCTTCCTGCCTGGATCCTACAAAGGATAATCCTATGGTGTGTCTGCGCGATAGGATCAGGAATTCCACAGATAAGCCTATCCAGCTCTTCGGGGGCCACGCCCATCATCGAAACTTCACGTGTTATGACGAAAGATCCTCAGGTATTGAATCTGGCAAGTATTGCGATACCGTGGGATGGGTGGCCTTGAACAACGTGTCATCACCTACGTGGTCTGGTGCGAAGGAGCTGCTGGGTGACGAGCCCCATCCGAACAAGTCCTGCGCCGTAGGAAATCAAGGAGATACACAGGACATCCCTTATCTTCTAGATCGCCGATACCTGGACTGGAACCGTGTAACGTTTGCGTACCATACGGTGAACCTGGAAGGAAACACCAGCAACCCGTCCGTGCCAGCATCCTTCGATATGCCCCTGGGCCGCAAGGTCACCGATGATATCAGCAAAGCCCGACATTTACTCAACCTGACCCACTTCCTAGGCTGCGCAAAAGAAGACTACTGCTTCAATTGCAAGAAAGTGGGAGAGGACGGCAATATCTATGAGCTCCTAAAGGTTGCCCTCGCTGATACGGTTGTCAACAAAGAGCGGGCACACCTTGCACGGGTTGTGATTTCCAACGACGGTACAATCCGGGATAATATTTACCAAGGCCCTTTCACGACAGGGGACGCTTATGCTGTCGTGCCCTTTCCGAATCATTTCCAGTATATCGCGAATATGTCATGTCATGATTTTAAGAAGATGACTTCAAGTTTGCAGGCAAAGCAAAACGTTTCCTGCATCAATGACGGCGACCATGATGATTCCTCTGTGGGTAACGAAGAGGGTCATAGATCCGAGTATCAGTCACACCTGGAACTTCGGAGCATATTTGACGATCGTAGTTATCATCAGGCTAGGGAACGGAAAGAATACAGCCCAGGGTACACAACGCACGACGCCTTAGGCAACGACGGAGACGATACTCTACACTCTCGTGTTATCGAGGACGAAAGATACATGAAACTGTTCTGGGCAAATGCCAGCTTCCCGAACCTGCCTCACTACCCGCCTTCATTTGATGTGGTTTTCACCGACTACCTCATGAAGAGAATTCTCGACGCTCTTAAGAAAACAGGAGCTCCCTATACGGAGAAAGATGTCATCGATTACCTGCCGCGGACTTATACTAGCAGGGACGTCCTTGTTGATTATACTGCGAGGAATTGGAGCCAGGATAGGGAGAACTGTCCTATTCGGAAGCCGGGTGATCGTTAGCTATCCAAGTGGAGGAATTGGCTGCCTTGCCACCAGGGCAGAGGATTATGGTAGATTGCTCCGATGGAAAGATGTGCTATGACTTTTAGTGAACTCTCCAACTCTCTTCACAGCCCAGAACTTTAGTGGTCTTTCCTTTTTCGAATTCGAGGGTGGAATGGCATTGCCAGCAGGTATTAGACTTGGCTAGCTATAGCAGTAAATTCTGACCGGTAATAATATTGACTATATGTAGCACATACGGTTGCATCGCCTTTTCCATCCTGTAAATTGATTTATTACGTTGCTTGCGATAGAAAATAGTCCCCAATTTTCCTGCGCCACTCTAGGGGAAAAGTCCCATATCCTGTCTAACCGGTTAGATTCCTAACCTCCTCTTGGCTTCTGGTCGCACTGGGAACTCCCAACATAACCAAGATCAGGATATATCATTAGATTATTCCCCGCCCTAGGGTTGTTACTTTTGTGGGCTGGACTGGGTTCGGGCCGTCTAAATCTAGACCCCAAACCCTCTTAGGTTCTAAAGTTCAACTCTACCTAATATACTACTTAATTATAGTTAGAGTGGCATTTGGTCTGAGTTCAGTTCGAACCTTTGAAGACTGTCAATGAACTGTTGCAATTTAAGCTGCAATCTTAGACACTTCTATTTCCCACCAGCAAGCACATGCTTCAAGAAAGAACTCTTTATGTTTTGACCAAGAATTTTCAAAGTGCTGCAAGTCAGCAAAGACCATTGAGAACCATAGAAATCTTCATATAAACCAGACAACGCAACCAGTCTTTGAAGGTCATTTTACAGGATTTCAATGATCAGCACACCTTTCCTAAGCCTTCTCGGTTCTCTGTGTCTGCTGCACTGTCTCACTCACGGAGGATTTGTCCCCCTCTCCGCTATTGAGCATGTTCATTTTCTCCTCTATCCTGTTGTACTTCCTGAAGACGAACAGGAACAAGATGGCCGTGACAAGCATAACGCCGCTCAACGAGGCGTATTGTACGAGGACCTTGGTGTCTTTTGAGACGGGTGAGAGTGTGATGCCCAGCATCGAGCCGATGGTGCAGGTGAGGAGGAAGAGAGCTGATACGATGCTACGCATGGACTTAGGGGCTTTGGTGTATGCGTACTCCATGCCGGCGACGTACGCAAGGACTTCAGAAAGCGCCGTCATCGTGTAGACGGGGACTTGCAGGAAAACGCTAACCTGTGTTTTTGTTAGGCTCTCGCTGGGATGAGCGAGAATGGTTGAAAGAATGTCTCTTACATCATTTGGCGTTCTTCCACCGTCGCTGCAATATCCGCTGAGAGGATGTTCGTAGCATGGAGGTGATCGGTAAATTACTGCGATCTGGGTCAGCAGGCCTTGGAAGAGTGGGTTGAAACATTTTACTACTAACAGTCTTGAATCCCTGCCGAATATCCAATGGCACATGCCATCACCAGGAAACCGGCGGTGATTCGACTGATTGGTTTAAAGCTGAGGCGAAATCGTCGCAGGGTTGGGTAAACGACTTTTTCCCTAGAGAATGTCTTAGTTTTCAAATGAAATATAAGACAGTCTAGCAGTATGCGTACATGGTTGGAAGAAAGATCAAAACCATGATTGGATTAATGCATCCCACTAGGCCTCGATTAGTGCTATCATAACGTAAGGATCCCCGGTTGCAATACTCATGTCGTTCGGAATGCCAATGGTTTTCATGGTTGCTGCCTGGCTAACCAGGTTGCTGTTGGTCTGTCCGTAACAAACCCAGAAAATGGGACTGCAATCCAGATTAGTCTGCTGCAATCCAAGTCTTTGATGGGCAGGTGAGGCTTAAGACTTACAACACGCAACTGACGAGAGGCGTGAAAATTGTTAACGCACAAATATCAGAAGTCTCATATCGCTTCGGATAACTCACAAAACATAACATGCGATGAGTGCTCGTTTCAATTCCTCAACAAATGCATCGTCCCAGGGGACGGTAGTTGCAGGGTTAGTTTGTGCCAAGACTGACGGCTTTGCAGCATCAAGATTGCAGCCTCTCTTGAGACCGACCCAGAAGACTCGCATTGCTTTGATCAGAACTGAGCCACTTGGATTCTGGACAACTAGAAATAATGAGTAAGTAATAACCATTGCGTGAATGACAGAAGGTAGATTTGTCACTTACCATATCTTCCTCGGGCCACGGCCAATGCGCTAACTGGTAACACCCAGAAGCAGAGCGGTAGGAGGAATGCAGCCCAGAATGAAACTTTCAACTCTAGCCACTGAATCGCCTGTCTGTCAGTACATTAAAACAGAATACAACATGGATGCACCCACAGACGCTGGTATCACGGAGAGTGAGCCAATATTGATGACCCTTAGACGAGGTCAGTGTGTTGTTTTCGTAAACCGCGATCATTGGCTACTGACCAGTAGTAACGACCATAAATAGTCTGAATTGTGACGTTGGGATCTACAATGACCTCTTCTCCGTTTGCCAGTGTCTTGATCCGGAGAGGTTTCCTGGCGTACTGCTCAGCGATTAGAGGAGCAACATTGCTCTTGATCCCTCCAAAGCTATAACAGAAAGTCAGCACGATGTAATATCAAAATCTTGAATCATCAAGAATCACTGACCCCAACCCAATCAAGACCAATGCAACGATGAGGCCCGGTAGACCAGCACCGTGCTCAAGACTTACAGGGAAAGAGGTGACGCAAAGAATCAAGACACCACAACTCGCGACTCTGTTAGGTTTGTCAGATATGTTCCCCTTTGTATCGCTACTTGCAGACAGGGACCCAATCACCCAGTCCCTAGACAAATTGTCCAAAACCGGCCAAGCAGACTGTCCGCTACGACGGCTCCCAGAATAGGCGCCATATAGCACCAACCGGTGAAGAAGTAGTTGATACTAGTCGCAACCCCTTGTCCCTATTGAGCGCATGTCAGTGTCCAACTCTGCTCCCTTTCGAAGCTGCCGTTCCCTGCCATGTCTAAATACTCACCATACCCAAGGCCCCTGGTCGTAGTGGGTCATCGTGAGCGTGTTCTACATAGTTCTCTGTATGCGTTCAGTTATTGTTATTGCTTACAACTAAAGAACTTACGCATGGGAGCCGTGATGCATCGGTAGGTAAAACGCTCGGCTAGCTCTGCCACCGCAACTAAGAATATTGTCGAGGGGATCTTATCGCAGACGCGTCTGAGATTTTCCTCTTCCCATTCTGTAGGCGCGGGAAGATCATCATCCTCCCGTCTCTCTTCTGAGACGGCCATGATTCGAGTACGGTTTCGTCCTTGTCGCACCGATCACTCAAATGTTCAGGTGAACGATGAAGGCTGCAAAAGATCGTAGTACGGAGGGAGAAAAGCCACCAGTGAACCAGAAAAACAGCAGCAAGAGAGTGACTGAGCCAGTGCGGATACAACGAACGCGGACTACTGTTGGCAAACTTCAAATGTCCTAAGGCGGAATAACAGTACAGACAGCTCTTTGCTGGGTTTAGAGGACGCCATGAGCAGGCAAACTCTTATCACAGCGGTGGACACGTCAGATATGTTCCGCCGCCAGAAGTAGTTAGATTCAGCCCACGATCCCCACATCCAGTCGCAGATGATCTGTGAAAATAAAGCTGTAAGACCTTGTATGCCTGCATAATCTGTATTTGTCTGGTCTTCGCAATCTCGGTGAGGCTATCCGCTTATAAGACGCAGCTATCTAGGCTATATCGCTTTATAGGTATCCGTGCGAGGGCTTTTGATTTGGCCAAAGTCTAATCTATCTGGATTATGTGCTGCTGTGTCATCGTGAGACAGTGAGATAAAATACCCTGTAGGCTAACATGATCCAATCTTCAGTCCTTTCACTGGAGTGCAGGCTGTTGTTGATTTGCTGACAGATGGGACAAGCAAGAACGAACTTTCCAACCAGATCTGCCTGTCCGGGCTCATGAACTTCTCCCAATACGGTCTGAACTCACCTCACCCACACGCCCTTCAAAGAGAATTCAATCCTGATAAATATCTTCTTAGCTGCAGCGGGGCTGGTGGTAGGGATTGTACTTGTTGGATATGTGGACGTTGCTGGAAAGCGCATGAGACAATGGCGTCCAGAGGAGGCTGAGATCGAGGAATACCAGAGGTTAGCTCCGGAGGACGATGAGGAAGAATAGGTGGCTTTGAGTGAAGGTTTGAGTCGATAAACCTTTAGCACGTAGTGTGGTAAGGACTAAGGAGTTCCTTCCGTGATACGACCACTTTTTAATACTTTACGCGAGGATAGACATGAGATACCATTCTGCTTTCATTTGAAGTTAATCATCATAATCAAGTTATACCACCATATCACTGATGCGTAAGCCAAGCCCTCAACATATCCTAGTTTATACTCTTATAAAATGAGAGACACGTTCGCGCAACCTCAGCCCTGGCTTTCACTATTCATCTGCAGTGGCCTGTCTCTTCTGCTCCCTCTTGATTTCCTTCGCCGACTTCGTGCTCAAGAAGAGATTAGGCAGATCGAAACATATTATGGGAGGATATTCAGGCAAAGGATCTTCTTCAACCGCATGCTCTTCGGAACAAGCATCTGCCAATCTAAGCCATCTCGAACACTCCCGATCCTAACAGTAGCCCCATTAGCATACTCATAATTCAGGGATTTAATGCTTGAGACGAAGCATACCTTGCCTTAGCAAAACCGCCAATTGTCCCAGACGATAAAATTATCACTACGGTCGTAGCCCTGGCTCCAACGAAAGTTGCCGTGTGGCGTGCCGTACCAAGCCTGGCCCCCATCGGCCCCAACCTCCAAGGAGTAGCCACTTATGCAGTTTACTTTGTAACCTGCCATAGTACGTGAAGAGCCCCGAGCTGCGTCACACACAAGGGTCCCATCGTCAATAATCCAAGCGGTCTTGAGCTGCGGCCCATCTGGCGCTAAGTATATTTGACCAACATAGTGAAGACAGCCAAGGGTTGAAGGAATGGCAGAGGCTAATGCGAAAAGATGAGCCTTCATGGTGAATTGATGATTCAGGAAGAGGTTTTAGTATAGAGGCTCTTTTTTTGGCTGGAGAGGAAGAACGGAAACACTGGGTATGGTGGACCGTAATGCATATAGTAGCTTTAAGGGTCTGAGAGATGAGTGAAGACGCTGATATGACGGACCTTATATATGTGGTCGTGTAGAGGTCTCTAGACCTATTGGGATCTAGAGCTTCCTCAGTACTTACAGAACAACATTAGTGCTTATAGAATGATAGTAGTGCTTACAGAACGGCATTAGTGCTTACAGAACAACATTAGTGCTTACAGAACAAGGACAACTACATATATTTGTTAGTTTTCAAGAGGAACAAACAGGTGGGCAAGTAGGCGAGTGGGCGACTGAACAACAGCAGGGTTTCATCAGTTCTGGCCAATGAAACTACTATGTGCACGCCAATCTTATGAATGCCTATGTATTATTGGTGTAAGTTATGGCACTGAAGTAGCCAGTAGTGCTTTTGTGCATGACTTCAGATATGCAGAAAGCATGGGCAGTTATAGGCAGAAAGCAGATCATAGGCCCATCTGTCGAGGTACAGTGTATTTTTGTCTAATTAGTGCTACGAGCATGTCTCTTCCACCAACAGCATCCTCCAGGGGTCATGTCATGAAAAGATCACAAATAAGGCCACTAGAGACCTCGTTCCAAACTTACCACCAACTACAGATCCTCAAACACAAAAGCCATGGCTCCTCCATTCTGTGATGACTGTAGTTAACAGCAGTCACGCTGTCAGGGGGAGGATCTTGTCATGATAAGGCTGCTGTTATGATAAGACATTAAGAGTATTAAGACTACTTTCAAGTCGAAGATTGCGCGGATAATTAAGGTTAGGATAGTGAGGTCACAGGGCCGTCGGGACTACCTTCCATATAGGCAGATACGTGAGATATATTACAGGTAACAGGTTCGCTTACCAGAATATGCCATGAATGAGGTAGCTCAACCAACTACCTGATAGCCAATCGCCTCTACAGTTTCCATAAATGTAGCATCATTTTCTACTTAGCCCTACCTAATAATAATCCTCGCCCTTAGTGAGGGCTGTCACCGACCCCTTGGACCCGAACGCCGCATGCCTATGCCGCAGATTCGCGCCCTCAACCTCCCCAAACTGCAGCCGAACCTTATCAATATCCCCCTTCAGCGGCCCGGATCCCAAGCAATGGCCGACGACCAAGCGGTCCAGCTCCGGATTCCGAGTCGTCATCAGGACACTTGAGAACGAGTTGTTGTGGGGGACGCCGTTTCGACGCAGGGCGAAGAAGCCGACGACGACGCACGCAATCGTGACGGCCAGCGCACTCATGTAAGCCCCGAGCAGGGCCGTACTGCCGTAGAAATAGTAGTTGCGGTAGGTCAAGTCCGTCACGTTGACGGTGGTGTTTCCGCCATTGAGGCTGAGCAGGCTGTAGGTGAAATTGTGGCTGAGGTCCTCGATGGCCTGGGCCAAGGTTCCGTTCCGGCACGAAGCAGTGGAGTCGTTGCCATGTTTATAATAATAGCTGCTGGTGTTCCATAATTCCGGACAGGCAAAGAGGCTGGTGTACGCAAGTGACGTATCGGTGTATGTCGTCGAAGCTGCAACAGTCTTATTCTGATACACTCCCGCTCTCTTACTCTGAACCAGTTCACCTTGGAGAAGACCCGAGAGGATCATCTGGATTATGAAAAAGCCAGCATTCACTGTTGGATCTAGTTCTGAGTATGAAGGCGCTGCGGAGTTAGAAGCAGCCCCTTCACTCCAATTGGCATAGGCGATGTGGTCGACTGAGATTGGCGTCAGCGTCTGAATGCCGTTGGTGAAATGCATGTTGACCACGTAGGAGGTATTCCAGAGCTGGCAGACAAGCTCAGTGGGCTGTGTGGCGTTGTCGTTCCACAGCGGATTGCTGCCTGCAGCTGATATGAAGACGGTATTGTTGAGATCCGAAGGTGCAGTCCCCATGTAGAGCCTCGTTGTCTGGAACTGCGGCTCTGGAATTTTGCTATCCCACAGTTTCTGCGTCACCCCGTCTATCTCCATGAGAGCTTCACTCAGTCGCCGGCATTTGTACGAAGGACCCCAGAATGAGAGTTCGTAAGACGAGTTGGAGAACGGTGCAGGGACGGGAAGCACTTGGGCCGATGAGGCCAAGGTTGTGAAGACGCGGGCCATGTTGGCAGATGGGGAGGTGATGTGCCACCTCTCATCGAATTGTGCCTCATTTCGCCAGAATGATGGGTCGAAGTTAACATTTGGAACGAGCCGCTCGATCTTATCCCTGGCTGGATATGTAATCACGTTCAAAGTCGCAGGCGTAACGATCGCCGTCAGGGGAATCAGCCTGGTCGGATCGAGAATTAGTCATAGGCTCACCACGAATCATGGAGGTGCACATACCAGGAAACAATCGCCAGCACAGTCAGCGTCTTTGCATAGATCCACAAGTCCAAGGTGAGAAAAGCAAGAGGGCTGTCCCGGACGGCAAACATGCTATCGATTCCACTGAGCCGGACACTTTTCCTGCGGAGGGTGGTCCAGGTCTCCTGCACCGCTGCGAGCCCAACGGCGGACATCAGGCATGATTTGATCAAAAAGGCAAAGCCAGTTCCGATCCGGATCGCCCATGTTTGTTCCTCGCGAGACGCGACGCGACCGCCGTCGAAGCTCTTGTAGTAGTAATGATGACCCGTGGACAGCATCGCACCGGAAATGACGAGCCCAACCATCAGGGCCGGACACCTCCATCCAATGCCCCATGCGGCCGGCGTCTCCGTCTCTTGGACTGGTGCTAACACTGGCGACTGGGGTCGTTTGTCAGGGACCGGGTCGCAGTCGGCGTGGTGATTATAAGTTGGCGGAGACATATTTATTGAGGTGCCCGGACAGGAGCGGACTCTGGCCCAGTCGGGAGATAGAGGCCTTTGAGCCGTTCTTAAAGGAAATGGGGTTCCTGATAGAGCTGGGCATAGCAAACCCTCATTGTGTGTGGGCCATGGCTGAGCCTTGTCTGCAGGATGCTTTGCTTTGCAGCTTCATTCTGCCTATCAGCGTCGTTTTCCTTAGCTTTATTTCAGCGACGGTCAAAAGCGGGATGTTTATGACTTCTGGGCGTCAAGAAGCAATTTAGAGCAGGGGCTGGTGTTCAGCCCGCCATTACTGGCAGGCGCTGTGAGCTGAGCCGGGATTGGCAGTGCACTTTCCTCTTTCCACTATGTACGGAAACGCACAGACAACGGAGACGAAGCGGTCTGCTCGTAGTGCTGACTGTGCTGCCCAACGCTCGACTCGAAACGCCCGTAAGGGTCTGTCGGATATGCATGCTGAGCCAGCCTTTTCCATCAATCGGCTAGCGGCCGCATCCCACAATACTCGGTGCAACGTTGCGGGCAGTAGTACTATACAGGGCGCGGAAGTGAGAAGTGCTGGTTCAAGACATCTGGCAAGTACAAGAACTAGAACAAGATCAAGGCTGACAGAATGCACACTCTCTTTTCAGACAGGCAACACCCCAGACCGCGGGGTCCTGCCAAATTGCTTCTCAAGTGGACCTTGCACTTGGTCGAATCGTCCCGAAGCGCTGCCAAGCACCGGTCAGGCACAGAATACGAGATTGTCCTCGTGTTCTGTCCAGTTCTTACCAGTTGTGGCCTTATTCTAGGTATCTGGCTCCGAATGGCCCCCACTGTGGGTTTTATCCTGTGATCTGTATGCCCTGCCCCTTTGATCACCACCTGCTGTGTAATTCTGCATCGTAACCCGGCTCAGAGCCATGTGGATTGCACCACCGGCAGGTCTCGTTAGCTATGTGAACTAAGGTCGAACATTCCTTGACCTTCTCGCCCCGGCAATGCTTAAGCAGCCGCTTACTTCATGGAAGTTGGCCTTAGTCGTACGTAATACCTCTTATGTGGTAAAACCCACATCTCTAAAACTGGTCTGCCAAGGTGGCCCACAGGATCTGCGGGGACAGGAAACCTCATATTTACTATTCAAGGAACAGAGTGATAAGTAATGTTTCCCAAACATCCTCTACATGTTTCTGTTGTACAATGTTCGCTCCTCGCTTCTGCGTGGTTCCCTATATATTGTTATGCGTTCATACTCTGCTTCTTCGATTCCCAACATAATTTCGGTGCGTTAAAAGCAGAGCCAGCGGACTCTAGCCGTGACTAGTTACAGGAAAAACCATCTCTTTTAGGCTCGGAGAAAGAGCATGTCACCTAAGAGTGGGTGCAAGTTCCGTTGCTTTGAGAGAGTTGCGGGAAGGTTGATCTGCGTGTTCCCTTCATGTATAGTCGTCTCATGTAAGCACTGATCGCCGTTGCACTCTGTCTTTCAAAGAGCTCCCCAGTCATCCTCTATGGAAGGGAATCAAAGGTAGCAATCAACCCTCGAAGACCGCTCTCTACTGGAAGATAATGATGCCGCTGCGACTCGGTCCTGGTGGCTCTAATACCGCGCCGAGGAAGGACTTGAAAAGGCACTTCGTGACTTCGATCCAAACTCCTCGAATTCGGTTAGGCCCTTCACTGGTGTTGCAGCCGCCGAAAGGTGCAGACCTGCCTTCCATTCTTTGACATTTTCAACCTTGACGGGAATCTTCGCGCTGGACACTGAAGGCTCATGTCCATTGACTACTACTACGTCTTGATTTTCACGCAACACTGAAGCGTCAGGATTCTCCCAAGCGGCGGCCCAGTCTCCTGCTGCTGCAGAGGTTCCAGTAGATGCCCGTGCAATAAGATGTATAGAGAGTTTTGCGCGAGTTGAAGAAGAGGGATGGATGTACTGGTTGAGAAATTCGAGTATGTCTTTCTTCGTAAGTGGTTCAATGTTTTCGACGTCGCGATAGACTGTTGAGATTTGGTCGATCGAGTTATTCAATGTACAGGGACGTACAGTAAGAGTGCAAGTTACATAGATTGCTAGAATCTGGAAAGTAGCAAACGCACCTTGCTCAAAGTCAAAAACCTCACTCATAATATGAGTCCAAAACGCGACGTTTCTTGACCCACAAAAGCACTGACATCTTGCCGTTGAAACCGTTTAATTCTATACTGAATCCTGTGCGCTTTCGGATAGACTATAACTCAAACCGGCTCTATCCGCGGCGTAAGCGTATTCATTGAGGCTGTCTTCGACCAAATCAACGTATAAACGGGTCATGACGGCATTTATAGGAGTGAGCGAGGCCACGGGGGACCGAAGCAAGAGCTTGATATTGGCCTTGGGCACCCAGAATTGATCGTCCTTTTTGAACCATACACGGACATTGTCGTCATGACGGATCAGCGTAGGGTGCAGAGCTGGTTCTGTGACATCCTTCCGTTCAACCTCTAATTCGTTGCGGAACAAACTCGTTCACAGCTGGTAAGTGCAGTCTAGAGGGTCTCTCTGTGACCGGAGCCTGTGCGGCGGCCCAGAGATCTTGCATGAAATCTTCGGGAATTTTTTCGAGCTTGTATTCAGTCTCGTACCATTGTTCTTTTGCGTCCCAATCTCCCGGAAAGTGCTGATCAACAAGAATGAATCGAAAATTATCAGGACGTAGATGTGATAGGCCGCGCTCGATGTTTTCCGGATCAAACTTGCGAATGAGCGAGGCGCTGAGTAAACGATCGCGTGGTATACAAGCTTTCTGCATGAGCTGGGCCAGGCCGCTCACAGTTCGGGATGGAGGGCTTTTCTGCTTGAACTTGAACTCCACCTCAGCCAAGCGGCTCCTTTCGTCCGAGATCCAGGCAGGCGGTGGGCTCTCTTTCAGCATAGCAATATATTGGAAGACAATTTTTAAGACTTCCCGGTATTGCCGGATGCCCCTTTCAGTGAGCCGTATGTCAATATAGAAATTTGCTGTGCCGGGACACTGAGCAGAAACCCCAGCCAACAAAGAGTCCGCGAAACCCAGCTCCTTCAGATAGGCAAGAACACTGCCAGGGCCTTCATGGCCAATCGGATGACCCAGATATTGACTGGGATGGGAGGCAAAGAGTTCTTCTTCGTCGGGATATGGGAAGTCAATGTTTAACTGTCTTTGCTCCATCACCGGTCTAACAAATATTTGAGTCATGAGCTCGGGGTCATCTAAGACGGTATACCACAGGTGTAGGTACAATTCAGAATCAGCCCCTCAAGAATTCAAATGCTGATGACCAAAGGGTATGAATTCAGGGCGCTGTTCTGCATTAGCAGGATGCAGGTCGGAGTTCACCAGGCCCCACTTGGAATAGCTTCATCTCTTTTCTTTTTGGTGAAAAATGATTTGATTTCCATATTGCCGTACTTTACAATACATGTAATCTCTCCCGCAGAGACGGGGTCTACGACTTGCGTCCATAAGTGCCAAATCTGTCACAAATAAGGAGGTCTGGCTTGTCACTGGCCTAAGCCTCTGTCTACGGGTCAAACACATGTTTGATCCAATAATGCATTGCTAGTCATACTGTGAAATTTTGAGTTAACAAGCTGGCAGTTCTCAAATTGGATTTCCCCCTCTTCCGAGCCTCAGAGATAACCTGGACTTATGATACCCCCTTTGATTATTATTCATGGTTCAGTTTAGCATTGGTTGCTTATGTCTGTGCTGAACGTATTCATAATGCCCGGGAAAAATAGTAAGCTCGGAATTTCCAATCCCAAGGCAGGGTCCTAGACTGTGAGCCTGATGGCAAGCACGTAGAATGATGATGGGGGTGGAAAAGGAGCAAAACCAAGGGGAAGAATGGAAGCAAATACTTACTAAAGCGTCCAAGTCAAAACCTAGAGGACTGTCTGTCCCCATATTCAGCGACTCAACGGAGTCCTGCGCCGGACTAGCTGCGTGAGAGGCCTGCAGCAAGGAATAACTTTTCCTTATGCTTTCTTTGACGGTCTCGTAAATGGCGGGTTGGATCGGCTGGCCCGACTCCATTGCACGGATCTGACTCAAGATGGCGGACAGGAAGTTGTATCGCTTGAGACTGGGCTGTCCGAGGGCAATAATCTGCAGCAGCTGCTCCTGAATGTGTTCCAGGCTCCGGATCAAGGGTGCTCGATGGGCCTTGGCCATCTTATCCAGGGAATCGGCGATAAATGGAGCAGAAGATCCCACGGGTCGTGTACAAGCCTCCTCTTCAAGTTGTGTGACTATTTCCAGCCCCAGGGAGGTAATCACATCAAAACTCAAGGCACCTTTGAAGGAGCCTCTTCCTACAATGGTCAGGTGGGAGAGGTCATCCAAGGTATCTGATGGTAAATTGAGATGATCGGCATACGATGCAACCACGATGCAGGACTCCAGACACACCTTCCGGGACAGGTAGAATCGTGGGTCTTTACGAGCTTGGATCATGAACGGCCGATGCAGGAACAAGATATATCGACGTAAGTACATGTCTAAAAATCGGAGATGGAAGTCAGTCATGCCAGGAGAGCGGCCCCCATGCCTTGACTGATTTTGACTGCTGTAGAACAAGGCGGCAATATCGCGACACGCCGAGCGCAATTCATTTCCCAACCTCAGTGCGGTTTCGTATGACAATTCCCGGCCGTGTTGGTTGTTCACAAGCTGGACTGCTTCCACTCGCACCTGAAGAGACTTGAGCAGCAGAATCTGAATGGAAGAGTCGGTAAATTGCTGATTCGACTGCGGGGTGGGAAGCGTCTCGGTCTCGGGGTCGAAGTGCTCGTCATTTGAGTTCGACGGCGCCGTGCAGTCAAAGTCCTGTAGGGAGAAAGGTAATGGCATGGCGGCATCCAGCGATGACAGTAAAGTCAATTCCAGCACTGTCGCCCAGAGTCGGGCTCGCATTTCGGACTGGTAAACGGACAGCGCGGGAAAGAGGTCAGGAGAGCGGTGTAGTCCCATCGCCATCGCCATACGCAGCACGGACCCTGCGGAGAGCCAGCTCGTAGCTGGAAGGCTGTTCGTCTGGCGGGCCAGCAATAGGAGACAACCGACCTGCAGGCCATCCAGATTGACGGTCGACTTTTCCGATGGTCCGACTAGCCACCATTGTGCGGCATAGATCCACGTGTGTGCGAGACGGCGGAGATGCACCCTATTGTTTCGATCTGGGTAGAATGTAGTACCCAGCGCGAGAATCAAGACCAGCTTCATCAGAAAATGGGTCGCGGTCGACTGCGGCTGGGTCCACAACTGACGATACTCGTTCCAGAAGGATGGGATATGAATAACACGGTAGATAAGCTCGAAAGTGCGGAAATAGGCATTGACCAGAACATCGCATACTGCTTGGGCGGGGAGCGTGCCCAGCAAGTCCGGAACTGGATGGTTGAGTCGAACCGACTCTTGGTCCTTGATGGCCTGGCGAAGTTGCCGACAGTCCTTGAAGATGCTGGCGAACTCCGATCTGGTATCCACGTCCTGCAACGATGGTTCTACTTCTTTGGCGTCGAATTTGCCAATAGCTTGAAACTGGTGATTGGACATTCGTCAGCGACAAGACTCTTGTAGGTTGAGGGAAGTAACTCCGATATACCATACTTTCTCAGCGGTATGCAGCCAGTGGCTGGGGCCAAAAAGCTTCGTTTTATTCGGGGCGATACGCAGACGAGGAAACGTGGGCGGTATGGTCCATCCATTGACCGAAGGACTGGGCCGAGATGCATCAGACAGCTGTTGTTCGGCTCCACGAACCCGGTCGTGAAGGTGGCGCAGAGCCTGAGTTTGAGAGACGCTAGGATTGGGACCAGTCGTGCCTTGAGAGAGCGGAGGGCAGGGAAGCTGTTCTTCCAAACGCCGAACACGATTTTGCAGATCCTGGATGATCGTGTTTTGATATTGATTCTGATCCTGAGGCTGCGATTGCGATATGGGTGCAGGTGGACGGCTCTTCGTCTGCAGGTCAATGGCTTGGGGAGGAGGCGTATGTCCCTCCGGCACGCAAGAAGCCGTGAGCCTGCAGAATTCGTCTGCGGATGGGCTGCCGGCAGTGACTGCGGGGCGGTAGAAGCACTGCAGCGACGTTCTCGCACGCTGACATGGGCCGCAAGGAAATTCCCGGTCACAACGGACTTTGCGACGACGGCACGGGTCACAGGACTTGGGGGGCCGGCGACGTTTGCGTGGTGGAGACGTGGTCCGCGAGGTATTGTCCTGATCCGTTGCCATAATCGCTAATGGGCTGTATGCGATAGGAAGAGAAAGGCGATACCGCAAGTGAGGTAAGGCCAGATGTCAGAAGAAGCCGGAGAAATGAGGGGGCCAAGGCCCAAAATACCGTTGGGCGGCCCGGGGCCGAACTTTATCATTAATTAAGCCGGTCACCTTAACTCCGGAAACCCTAAACTCCGGTGAAATTGCCGAGAATCGTGAGCGAGGGTCGCCAGAAGAAGCTGTGTTTTAAAAGGGATCATGGAGATCCATTGCCGTAGGTGCCATACTGGTTCACAATCATCTAGGCAGCCACGGTCTGCTTGATCACGCTCCCACTGCTCACCAATACGCTTCTCATTCACCATGTCGGATGCTCGTTTGGAGAAAGGCCTCGACGAGCCTGCAACAGAGGCTCAAAAGCCACACCACCACCTGCAAGTGTCCCGGACGGTGGCCTCCAGGCATGGCTGACAGTCGCTGGCGCATCTGTCGCTCTGTTTGTCTCCTTCGGCTGGGTCAACTGTATTGGTCTCTTCCAGGCTGAGTACGAAGCGAACCAGTTGAAGGACTACTCGAGCTCGGACGTATCTTGGATCACATCTATGGAATGTATGTTACTGTGCAATATACTCGCGCTCTCCTCCTGGCAAGCTGACAACTCCAGTTTTCTTCATGCTTTTCACTTCCCCCGTGGCGGGCAAGCTGTTCGACAGCTATGGTCCGCGCTTGCCTATTGCCATCGGATCGGTCTTGCATATCTTTGGACTGATGATGGCCAGTCTCTCCCACAAGTACTATCAGTTTATGCTGAGCCAGTCTGTGGTGTCTGGAATTGGTTCCTCGCTGATCTTCACCCCGGCGATGAGTGCAATAAGTTTCAAAAGAAACCAATCCCCGTTGCAGAAGGAACTGCCCCCTAACCATGTTTTCGAGAATGCAGCCCCAGACCTGGTTCCGCCAGAAGAGGGGGATCGTTGGTGGTTTGACGGTGGCAGGTTCGTCATTGGGCGGCGTCATTTTCCCGCTGATGGTACAGCATCTGCTGCCGCAGGTGGGCTTTGGCTGGACGATGCGCATCTGCGCCTTTCTGATTCTGGGCCTGCTGGTCATCGCTAATCTCACCATCTCCTCTTATTTCCGACACGCACCACGTCCGTTTTCTGTGATGCATTATCTCGGACCGTTGCGGGCGCTTAACTTCGGCATCTTGTGTACGGCTAGCTTTTTCATGTACTGTGGGTACCGCACACGCGTACTGAGGAAAGACACGTTGCATCATCACTAACCAGTCGTTCCGTATTAGGGGGACTGTTCATTCCATTTGATTATATTGCCGTTGAAGCCATTCACTACGGCATGTCGTCGCACATGGCGTGGTCATTAGTTCCTATTCTCAATGGCGCCAGTTTCTTTGGTCGTACGATGCCCAACTATATCGCGGACAAGGTCGGTCGCTTCAACGTGATGCTCGTCATGACCTCACTATCGGCTATCCTGGTGTTGGCATTGTGGCTGCCTGCTCGAGGTAATGGCGCGCTCATCACCTTTGCGGCCTTGTTTGGCATCACCTCAGGTGCGATAATCGGCCTAGGACCCGTCCTGATTGTGTCCATCTCACCAATGAGCGAGTTGGGTTATCGGATGGGTACTGTCCTGGCATTTGCTGCGGTGGGAACCTTGACGAGTCCGCCCATTAGGGGCGCCATTGCCGCCGACAGCGGGGGCAGTTACACCTATACATGTGTCTTTTCAGCCGTGAGCTTTATTCTGGGCACCATCGGCCTTGCGGCTCTACGCGTGCGACTCTCTGGATGGGGGCTTACTACGAAGATCTAAATGACAAGGACAAAATCCTGGAAGAGAAATAGTTCGCTGACTCCGATTTGTTCTCTATTGTATTTCTATCCATCTACGTTGGGAACCTGTCGTTGAAGGAACATGTATCTACAAACTGAGTAAGACCACAGTAAATATCAACCAGTAAATTGCGGGGAACGTGCTATCGGATTGCTCCAAAATTCAAAGTCTGCATCGATCGTGGATATGGGGAATAGACACACATCTTCTGAACCTGATGGCGGAAGTCGAAGCGATGAGAAAAGCTTCGTTGGCACGGTTAACAAATTGGAGCTTGAATATCTACTCAACTTGTTAGGGCGGTGTTAGGCCTCCGAGCACCAATCAATGTAATACCATGAGCACCCCTCCTATTGGGCCCCATAGTTGGAGAATTTGCTGCGGAAGTGACACTATGCAGCCAATAGATTATTTTCCATTCCCCATCGGTGCAGCTGCGCAGGAATATAATTTCCGACAGCGCCTGCCGTGCTTTCTAATGGAAATGCTTCGATGACTAGATATCACATGTGAGTCAAATCTCCATGACGGATCTCGTCACTTCGTCTCACCAAAGAGTATCATTTTTGGGCCCAGTATCATTTTTGGCCCCTTATTTCTCCAATAGCATACTGCCAAGAAGGTTAATTGGTCCTAATCTCTAGCAAGCGAACTGAAAGCGTAGATTGAGATGCCTTGTTGGCCATTTGAGCGGCCGCAATACTTTGGATCTGTTATACACACATAAACACTCCAAACCTAGAGGGAAATTCATGGAGAGGGGTTATCACCATCTCAGAACCTTTGGGAAATACTCATCAATAAGTTCAAGATAGTACGGCTAGACTCACGTTAGCACACAGCTGTGAAAGGTGGTGTATTTAGAAATGATTCTCATTTTCAACTCTTCAAAATTTGGCAGCTCATCACTCTTGAAGTCATATGGATTAAAGGCCCGTACATCTTCAAGCATCTTCTTGTCATGCTCATTCATAACTCGTGATAGGCGTCCTCACGATGCATGGATAAAATGCGTGGTACAGAATCAGCAAGCCCTCCCGAAAATGATTCTATCATCAAACGCACCCCCGACGGGAAAGGTGTCTCCCACAACGTCCCATTGGCCCTGAGCACCGAAGAAGAAAAGGAGCTGGCCAAGATCATTAATCAACCCAACAAGTTGCATTCAGCGTGGCTTGCCCTCTTTGCGGATGGCTTCAGCGGACTAGAGCAGGTGTGTCATTTAGGATTCTTTAGTGTCGGGGTCACATTCATCAATGAACCTGTTCATTTGCTTCTGAAACAGTCATACGTGCGCGGGTCTTATTATGGAAGTCATTACGGGCCTTCACTTGAAGGCCACCGTTTGTAGGATGTGCTGCTGAGCATAGAAATTCCTGACTCGGTCACAAGCATCGTTGAACAGGCGGAAAGTCGTCTTGCTTTGGTTATGTCAAATTCAGACTCTTGGTACAGGTCCTTTGCGGCTTGCTGCGCGTTTGCCTTGAGGACATTGACGGCGTCGATATCGTTGGAAGTGGCTTCAATATCTGTCGAAGCTGGATGAACGACAGCGGATACCATTTTGAAAACACTTGATTGTCAGCGTAATATGGAATAACACTTCAGAGGGGAGTGATGATTCAACAGAGCTCGCCTCGAACATTGCGCTAAATTTATAGGGTAGGATCCATCGTTCTTGAATCAGTAGCAGGATGCGGAAAACGCTTTCCAGGAGCAGCCATTTGAAAGCATTCTGAGTGGGTTTGAGAAGACAGCGTCATTTCAGGCCTTGAAAATGATCCAACCTCTGGTGACAGAAAATCATGAGAAGGACAACCGCAAATTTGACACCAACAATGTGAGGAAAAGTGAAAGAACCTGTTCATGTAGGACGCCTGTACCCTAACAGATGCCTTTGATAAAATCTGAACCTTAATGTTCGGGTCCTATGTGACTTCGCTTTTGAGAGTCATATAGTCGAAAGATCAACTGGTCTCTGTCTCATCTGCCCTGCGGAGAACAGAATCCGAACCCACCCCGCATTTGCTCCCTGCTATAAATATCGCGTGTAGCTTTAATGAGAGTTCTGCTTTGCTTCTTTACTTCTTTTATATTAACAGCCGAAATTCTGTCATTATCCCTGCCCAGACGCCCACATCATGCTCTCGAACAAATTGGCTATCGCCAGCTTATCTCTGGGCCAACATCCTTCTCACCACCTGGACCACAAAATCCAGGCTGCGGCAGAAGCCGGATACAAAGGCATTGAAATTGTCTATTTCGAGTTGGAAGCATTTTCCCAAGCTCAACACATTTCGATTCTCGAGGGCGCTGAGCAGATCCGCTTGATATGCCAAAAACTCAACTTAGACATTCTCTCTTTGGCCCCCTTCGAGAATTACGAAGGAGACAGATCGCCACTTAGTGACAGATTACAGAACGCCAGACATTGGGTTAGGGTCGCTAGAGTCCTTAACGCGTCATATTTGCAGGTTCCTTCAAATTACAAACCAGACGCTATCGGCGACAAAGACGTGGTCATCAGTGAGCTAAAGCAGTTGGCTGATATCGGAAGCGCGGAGCAGCCGGTTGTATCAATTGCATATGAGTATTTGTCCTGGGGAACACACTGTTCCACATGGGAGGTCGCTTTGCAATATGTCAACGAAGTCAATCGCCCAAACTTCGGGCTATGTCTAGATACGTTTCATGAAGCTACGAAGCTATGGGCTGACCCTTTCGCCGCGTCGGGGCGCTTTCCTGACTCGGACAAATCCCTTCGTGAATCACTCAACCGCTTTGTTTCCAAGTGTCCCGTTGAGAAGATATTCTTTCTCCAGCTGTCTGATGGCGAAAGATTCGATCCTCCCTTCTCCAAGGGTCACCCGTGGTATGTCGAAGGGGAGGCGCCGCAATTTACTTGGTCCAAACATGCACGACCATTTCCTTTGGAGCATGACCATGGCGCCTATCTGCCTATCACCGAAATTGCCGAAGCTTGGATCCTCGGGATAGGTTTCAAAGGCTGGCTGTCGATGGAGATCTTTGACCGCGGCATGAGGGATAGGCGCAGTCAACCAGAGACTGCTGCAATGAGGGGACTGAAATCATGGAGGACTCTACGAAGAGAGCTCGAGCCTGTATCAAAAGTTTAGAACTGCACAGGCGCGAAAAATGATTCTGTGCGATACCTAGTCCTCAAGACCCACGGTTACACGCTGATAGTTACATTTGGTCACGTGTCTATAATTTCAATCGTCATAGTATAACTATTGAAGTTATGGACATAGAAAATCTCCATACAATGGGGTGACTAGGCAGTAACATACACAAATAATTCTTAAGCTTGCTTGTTCTGTGTAGTTGAGAATCAGCATATATACCTTAACTTCACGCCTCATAATTCCCATACTTGCTTAGGGGATATTCTATTTACAAACTCCATGGAAATATATATCTTACTCGCTTCAGTGCGCTGCTGTAATAGGTAATACATGCAGCAAACAGTTAGCAAAATCCCAAAGTCCATTTTGTAGAAACAGTCCGCCGTAGCAAGCGTGGGGGTGGAGACACAAGGCTTTTTTCTCAGGGTAATGCGCTCGTCGTCACGGATCCATGAAGAACGCTTTTCCTGCAGTGTCTTCCCACCGCCATGCTCTTACTACTTCCATATGAGCTACAGTTGAAAGTTATAGACTTCATTTCCCCAAAGGACCTGCCCTCCTTCTCATCGAGCTGTAAATATCTTCAGGAACTCTGCCGCAACCACCTGCGAGAACACAAGAAATACAGAAAATGGCAATCTGAAGTCCTCTGCTCTTTAACTCCATCAAACATCCGCCGGTGCAGAACGAATGAGGCCTTTAGCAATGGTGCTCCGCGATTGTTGCTCGAGATCGCCCAAAGTCCCCGCTTGGCCCCGTACGTCGAGGAACTCGCCCCGGAGTCCTTCGATTGGCCACAGCACCTATGCTTGACCTGGGATTTGAGTTTAAAGTGGATTAGACGGCTGGTTCAAGCATCACGCATCGTTGAGGATGAAGAGGTGTGTGACTGGATGCATGCAGTGGCCACTGGGACTGGGGGAGCTGCACTGGGACTTGCCCTTGGGCAGCTGACAGAGCTGAAGACTATGGAGCTGGAGTTGAACGCCTACGATACTATCCTTCCCTATGTCCCTCGCGCCGTGAGTAGGCTGGCAACAAGGTCTCATAGCGGACTCCAGGATCAACCCTTGTCGTGTTTGACTGACGTGCGAGTCAACTTCCTATCTTATGACCGCGACGAGGAGGAAGGCGACGATGAATCGTATGGATCCGAAAGTAGTGAGGATAGACGAGAGCAACGTTTACAGGCAGTTCTCAGCGATGATTACTTTCAGCAGATTATCCGCCTCTTAACTGCGTTGGCTCGATTGCCAGCTCTTAAAAACCTCTCGTTCTGGGATTACTACTCACAGCCAGTTTGGCAGGAAGATGTGAGTGCGGAAAGCTCCATCACCTATGACTGGGACGATGAAATGGACCCGGCGTATCCCCTGCCACCCGCAAACTCCGGGCTGGAATCAGTCGTTGTGGATCGGGGAAACATCTCCGGTCGCGCCTTGTCCAGGATTATTGATGGATGTTCCAGCCTGAAGCAATTCAAATATATGGTCTTCCACACGCCAGAGGTATTTGGCCAACGCCTTGGAGATGTACAATATCGAAACCCTCTACCCCACATGAGTATTGAGGCCGTGTGTACAGCATTGCTTACCCATGCCAAGTTTAGCTTACGACACCTCCACATCGAACTCATGGAGTACGGTTCCATATGTGGCTGTCGCCACGAACCTTGCCTGGAGCCATACCGTCCCTATATGTCGATCAACCCAACCGCGCCGCCAACAACAAACTGGAGATGGAATGAATTCACCCGGCTAGAGCGGCTCACCCTTGACATTGATCTGTTTAGCAATCTTGAAGGAAACGGATGGCTCCCGTTCGCGCAGACCCTTCCCGCTTCCATTCAGGACGTTGTAATCCTGGCTCCTCGCTGCCCTCCAGGAGCGGATACGCTGGACTTCCAGAACATGTTTCGTGATTTTAACCCCCAGAGCTTTCCAAACCTTCGGTCAATCAGCGCATGGCATCGAAATTACAAGGACTTTCATGAACTCGGACACAATGGAGCAGAGCACATTCTGGTTGTCTATAGACTGGCGCTTGAACGCGCTGGAATACAGGCGGAGGGGACCACAGAGTATGCACTAAGCAGCGATTACTTTGCAAAGCGGAAAAAGCCTTATTGCCACTGGCCACCAGGGGTTAGGATGAATCGGTTTGGGAAGGATGACTACGATCTATATGCGTTGCCAGAGACGGACCTCAAGGGGAGAGTAGTGTTCGGTGTGTACCATGCTGACAGCAGTGGCGACGTCTACACTGGAATTACAATGAAAACGGCCTAGGCATTAGCTGGATTTGGATTTGGATTGTGATAGGATGATGGTCTAGTGGATCTCGATAGCGTTCAGCCGAATATGCCTGTGGTGTATACAACCAGAGAACGGTATTGTTGGGCTACAATATACATCCACTTAGACACCATCTGGATCATGGCCCGAAAAATGGTTCAATCCAGCGTAACTCTGCTCGGATACAGTAATTGATCATTGGTAATCTCCAAACCTTTATATGCTAATGATTGCTATTTCCCTAGTCCTTTGCTACCATTGCATGTCAACTAAAGGGTATTGTATCTCTGTAGCCAAATCAAGGTAGGAACAACCACCCCCTCATTACGATCACGCCAGTGACTTGAATTTGGGAACATGAATAGAACTCAGTGGCATAGATAGGACGGTGTTTCCCTCGTTAGCATGAGTGGTTAGAATATAGCACCATGCACACAAGCCTCCTGGAACAACATAACTATTTCTCATACCGGCTAAGTTGCACATCTCTCAGCAAAGATGGCCAAAAGAACATCCTGCATCAGGCTGGCCGGCGAGGGCCGACCCGCCCACGGACCCCAGATCTGGCTTGCCAGACGGAGAGGGTGTTTGCATATGTAACTCTGTTTTTGAATCGTCATCTTCTGGTTTCATACTTGAATGGGCGTTGTGCATAATGCGGCAGAACATGTTTTAATAGTGGTATTCCGTCATGAACCCGCAAATTAGATCAGTGCAACAGTACAGTATATTAGGTATTAATCAATAAATAGATCCCTGAAAATGGTGCGTATAAGCATCCTAGCACTCATATACCACTAATGTCGGAAGCAATACTAGTTGAATGCAGCTCTTATCAACAGACCTCTGTTCCCTCTTTCGAACTTACGGCTATTCTGGACAAGATATCAGGTAGGGAAGGGCGATCTCCACATTTGTTTAGCCAGCCTCTGAGACCCAGACTGAAGCCCATTTGGGCACATTTGCATCTCGAAAACAAAGCAATATCTGATGAATTCCATGCAAGCGGCCCGCCGAGAGGGTTCGAAAGGGAATAGAGCGGTGACAGGAGCTGATTGGTGCAGAGCGTTTTGAGCATCTTGCCCCAAAGTCCATATAATGAATGCTATATTTCCTGATTAGGTGAGGTGAACAATCACGCATCGAGTACTGTAAGGATCTTCTCCGCCGTTGCAATCAATACTCAAGCACCTCAAATCAAGGCAGTTGCGGCTGCTGGTATGGCAGCAGCAAACGCTAAGGGGACTCGTTACAGGTGCCAAGGGCTCCTCTTGTCAACTGAGCTCTAGCAACTGGCGGATGGGTGCTCTGAGGATGGCTTTAATGGTAGAGAAACGTTACATGCTCTGAATGGCACTTCTTTGATGTTGTATAAAATTTAGTTGTATCTCAATGTTATGGCTGTGGCACAACTATTTCTTAGGAGGATGCCTAGTAAGATCGTCTGCTCCCCAAGCACTGGAGGCTCTACCAAGAAAGCAACATGTGCATGGCTGCGAATTCCGTCTCATCCTTTTCAAGTGATCATCACTGATCGCAATAGCTTTATGGTAAACACAGTCTTGCCACGGTCTCGGGGCTGTTGAAGGGTATGAGCTGTTCAATACAATGGAGGCGCAAAGGTAATCTTTCACGAAGCCGATTAAGTGTAACATAAGGCCAGATCCACGCCGTGTCCAAAAATTGGGACTTTTATTGCGGGATGTGATGCTATATTCGTTGCGTGGCTCTCCCATGGACGGCCATGCGCTTGTCGAGCGGTCAGAGACTTGGACTTTTGAAAGGCAACAGCTGGATAATCTTGCTGTGTATGCTAGGCATTTCAGATGCGTAGATAGTATATGTGATATCACTCTACTTCAACACTACTAGATCAATGCCTGTATAAAGCTTACAATTAGGAATCAAATAGTTCTAGGTTCGTTATATGAGGTGGAGGTTATAAAACACTGCATTTCCCTCCTGGACTATTTTACATGGTAAACATGCACTCCGCCATTGCTAGGTCACTTCAGCTCGTCCCGTGCGAAAGCTTCCAACTGTGGATAATACTCATCCATCGCGAGGACTTCTTCCCCGTCTTTCGGGCAGCCATCATCAGATCCATCGATCGGCGGATTCAAGTCCCGATACTGACATCCCGGCCACGTAGGGAGGCCAGATAGGAGATTCCCAATCCAGATCCAGACAGCAGTTCCCCCTTTAATCAAGGTATTCATATGGTCTGTGCAAGGGTATTGGACGTAGCGTACATTGCCACCCTTCTCGCAGAGGTCCCGCACAAGCTGATTCGTAACTCCGATCGGGTGCACGATCTCGTCCTTTGTTCCTTGGTAGATATACATTGGGAACTTGGGGGCCCCAGTCTTCCCCATAACGCCAAACCGGTCCAGCGTCTCACGGAACTTATACAAGAAGTGGTCTCCGTGCTTGAAAAAGGAGGAGATGTTCCTGAACGCCAGAGACGGGGGAACTTCTTCCACGCCAAAGTGACGACTACAGCGTCTCATAGGACCATAGAACTCCTCGCGGTGCTCGTCCAGCAGATCCTTATCGATGTATTCTTTTATCTCGGGGATAGCGTTCATCATGCCCAGCACTGCCCACACGTTCAGCTCTGCCCAATCTCCCCCATTACAGTAAATGTAGGTGTTCGTAATGTTGGGAGGAGGACCGCCCATGGCAGCACCCACAATCTGGGTCAGATCCGGGGCATAACTGGGCTGCATCTCGCAAGCCCATTCGGTAGCATACGCGCCACCGGAGAACCCGTACAGTACCGTTCTGGCATTAGGCTGGAGGCCAATTTTGTCCTTGAAGTTGAATGCCGCACGGATCGAATCGAGTACGTGGTAGGCTGTCTGCGGGCCCACGGTGAAGGCAGCGTTCCACCCCTCGTAGTCAGGAATATTCAGAACTGGACCGTCGTCTCGTACGAACGGTTGTACGAAGGATAAATCCATCATGTTCCAGGATAGGGAGGGGCCGACCGCCCCGACCTGGAGCCCGTATGATGGAGAGCAATTGATGTCTGGCGAGTCATAGGCGGGCTGCACGGATAGAAGTCGGTCTTTCTTTGCGTTTTTGGGGATGACTATCGTTGTGACTGAGTGGTTTGCGTTGTTGTTCAGGTCCTTGGTGACATATAGCAGTTGATATGCTGTGGCGGTAGATGGGATGCCGTAACGGAGTGAATTGATATGCACTTGGCGGTGGTCTATGATTGTTCCAGGGTCCAGTTCCTCCCAAGACCCATCCTTCGGCGTATAGAATGGGTCTAACGATGGGAAAAACGGTATCCGTGGCTCAACCGCTGCGATAATGGCCGGGAGCAGTCCGCCTATTAAGACAAGCAAGCGCGGAATGACCCCCATGGTAAGGTTTAAGGGAGAATTAAGGACAGAAAATGCAAATCGTGTTGCTCAAATAGGCAATTGCTACAGAGACTGGGACAGAAAATAAAGGTCGAAGGCCCTGAAGATTCAAATCTAAATATCTGAAGATGAATCCGAATTCAGGAACATAGCCAGGGAATAGGGGCCGATATATAGACAGCCAGGACTGAATCTAGCCCTTATCACCTTGATCAGACTAAGAAGAAAAGTTGAATTCAGGTATCAAGACCTCAATGCTACGTGAAATGATGACATTGACCAGATTAGTTAAAAATACCAGAAAAATATCTGGAAAAGCACCAGAAGAGGAGCAATGAGGTAATTAGCATCCAAGCTGGTTCCTCAATAGGGAATATCTTTTTGCCTGCATATCTTGGCTGCATCAATTAATAGTTTCAGGATTCCTAGGAGCCACGGTATGTGATTGTGTGATTGCTGAAATGCATAGATGCTACATATATATAATGTTACACAACAGTTGCCCGCAGTTGATCGACTGGTATGCCTTGGCATTTGGTTTGGAAGTGATCGTGGGACTCTAGGAGCTTGATATATCCATGGGAGGGGCGAGGGGAACAAACATTCTAAGATATGTGTGGTTGAGTGATAAGTCTTACTCTAAAAAAACACAAATTTGCAACAACTGAAAACTACCAGTCAAAGAGAATTGAGAACACTACTCTCACATATCTAAGATCTACTGCTGTGTGGAGATCAGTGGTAGGCTAAGGAAGACTAGCCAGCAAACTTCATGTCTAGTTAGTTAGTTACTGGACATGATATTAGTCACTAGTGCCACTACTATGCATAATGAAAGCTGCAGCAGCTGGAGAATTCGCAGTGGTGGAGCTGAAAAAGTGGCTCGTCCCGTCCCTTCCGCCCTTATTCCTGTAGGTAATGATATCCCGCATTCCTTTAATATTACACAGTATGAGCAATTACCTCATGCTACTCTCACCTCAAGCAGCGAAGTCAAAGTGGATTGTGTCTTCTTGCCATCAATCTTAGAAATACTGGCAAAAGCGAATGTCCATTTGTGTGATCGGGGGAGGAAGAATAATGTATTCCCTAACGGAAAGCATGCTTGGTACTCTCAATGGTCAAGTCAGATCGCAGGAATGACCTCCATGCAGAGTGGGCAAGGCCAGAAGCGGCAGGGATCGACCAGTTTATTTGCATTGCTTTCTCCCAATCCATGAGTTACTTTGTCCCTATCCAGAAATGGCATTCATTATGCTCTAAAAGGACTCAATAAGACTTCTATTGCCACCCCCACAATCACCTCATCAAAAGGCGATAACTGACAGGTGTCTTAGGCTGCAGCGCGATGCAGGGATCCGGGGCTGATTCACAATTGATCAGTACATGCTATCCTATTTCATGCAAATAGTTCAGCATCAACGTTCCTGACGACACTGAGCTACCTACTGGAGAATACTGCACGGCAAGGTTCGGTTAGATGGGGATCGGGGACGACAATTGGACCCTCCTGTCCACAAAAAGGGATGTAAATGCTGGCAATACGGACTACCTTAGCATTCTTGGCGGATCTTGCGTTGTTGCCGATCTCCAAGGGATGAGCGGACTTTTGATATTGGTAAAAAGCTCCACAGCGCTTCTGGGGTACATATCTACTGGTGGTAATAAACCTGATCACACTGCATGATAATACTGCATCTGGCCAAAATGAACGATTCCCCTGCCGTTCCGGACCGGATCGCAGAACAGAGATGCGCTGAGAACTATCAAGTGATATGGTGTATAACGCCTCCCTGGCCAACTGCTGAACTCAGCGAGTGACTCTGACGCCACCGTTTCCTGCTGAAGGTGAGTAGCTGTAGCGTTGTGGCGTCACAAGCACCGTGCTTCCTCCAGTCATTTGCTTTTCTGGCTCTCCAGGCCGGTTCGCGGTGTTCAGCATGTTAAAAAGAAATCTTAATGTTGGTCATCCACCCCTCTTTTCCCACACTACTGTGAAAACAACAACCCCCATCACGCTCATGACTAGCTGAACTGGCCGATGTGACGTAGCATATGTTGGGATGCTTGCATAATGTAGACACTGCCCTGCTGGCCACCAATTAGCTCTTCTGGGGAAAGGTAATCAGTCGTTGTGGGGAAACGCTACGCTAAGTTATAGAGAGATTTCATAGACCTGTTCTAGACACAGTAATCTAAGCTTGGAGCGTTCAATGTCTGTGATCCATGGGAAAGTATACAAGCCTAAAATGAAAGTAAAGTTCTAGGCTAAGGATGGAGTTCAAGTCAGTTAGGATGCATCTTAAACAGAGATAACCATGGTTTGAAACTCACAGAGACCCTGAGCAATCTCCTGCAAATCGAGTCCCTGCTCCGTAATATTACGCGGTTCATAGGCCGGTCGTGCCATCTACGAGGGCTACCTTGGTTTCAGCTGAAATGTAGGGAAGATGCGACTTCGTGCATACGACGTTACGTGTCCTGCATGCAAACGTCATCAATCAAAGGGTTCACCATTTGCAAAAGTACGTGTAACCATAGGTTAGAATTGATGTAATACGTACTTGTATACTGGGAAATCGAAGTATAAGAACAACCTAGTCAAGGCAAACAATTCGGTCTGTTCTAGATCTCAAACACCAACACGTTCTCCCTTGCACCATTCATTCAAAACGGATACGATAACATCAAAAAATGCAAAAATTCTACCTATCCACGTATGCGAAGCCCAGCCTGGGTGGACTCGCAACCGGGAGTGCCACTCATGGCTACGGCCACTGGATGCCTGAGGACGTCAGGCTTCGCCGAGCCTGGCTATCTCACCTTCTGGACAAGGCGAAGCCAGAAATTCCCCGGAAGTTGAGAGATGGCCAGGAGAACCCTGTCGACGCATTGAGGAACCTAATTGAAAACAATTCAACCCTCTATATGCTTGCCCATTCCATGTTTGACGAGGTCCCTGAAAAGGCCCCATACGATAGGGACCCAACCACACTCAAGAAACAAGTTCGAAACTACAAAACCATGTTATATCTCTTCAATACCCTTTTGACTGAAGTGCCAGAGTACTTTTTGGTAAACGACCCCGACGTACCCAGCGGTCTTATTGGGTTCCCATTCAACGTCATCGTTGACTGGCCGATGGGGACGGAGAGTGGTCGTCAATTCTTCCTTGATCCCAGAGTAAATGAGTCTCTGAAAGCGATCTTGAATAAATGGAATGAGTTCCTCAGCAATCCCAAGGGAAGGACCGGGCAGGAGGGTGGTGGCAACCAAGCACTGATCGATGCTGGTTGGAGCTCAGACATAGCAGTCCAACAGTTGGAGAAGAAGGCAAATGACGCTACCCCCGGTAGTAAGAAGAAGTTTACAGAACTATTCGAACACCCCGCGGGCGGCACGCAGGAAAACTTCTTCAACTACCCTCATTGGGACGCATTCTTTACGCGCAAGTTTAAGGCCGGTGTTCGTCCTGTAGGAGACGGGGCGCTTGTCAATGCTTGCGAATCATTCCCTCTTTCGTTTGACACCGACGTCTCGGGCCGCACTACCTTCTGGCTTAAGGGCATGCCATATTCGCTGCATGATATGCTAGGAGCCACGCAGGATGATACAGTCAGCCAGTATGTTGACAAATTTGTCGGCGGTACTGTGTATCAGGCCTTCCTGAGTGCAGACTCCTACCACTGCTGGAATGCTCCTGTCAACGGCACGGTTGTATACCGATCCCTTATCGATGGAACATACTTTGCCGAAACAGCTGCTTCAGGATTCGGAGGCTCGAGTGGACCTGATCCAGCTGGCCCAGATATGTCGCAACGTTATATCACCCACATAGCAGCACGGGGTGTTCTTATTGTTGACACAAATGTCCCAAATGGCTCACAGATTGGGTTGGTGGGCTTCGTACCGGTTGGGATGTCTGAGGTATCCACCTGCCAGTGGGAGGATAGCACTGCTGAAGGGTGCACGATTACAAAGGGAGATGTCATTGGGGCATTCCATAGTGGTGGATCAACCCACTGCCTTATCTTTGAGCGTGAATATGCAAGGCGTCTGAATTTCAACCCCAAGGCACAATACCCGGAGATTGCAACCGCGAACCTGGCTGTTAATAGCACACTGGCTACTCTCTAGGGCTGGTGTTGCTTTGTTAGGTTGGACTCGTATGAGGCCATCTGCTGTTTCTTATTCTGCAATCTGAGGGGCTGTCTGTGTGTCTCGCTCCTGTCAGATATTGCCTCTTCTCGTAAGTATGGGAGTTAGAACGTTATTGAGGAAGGAAATTGGACAGAATAAATTGTTCCATTACCCTGAAAACGGCTCCTGTAAAGAAAAGAGAGCTTCCTTCGTTTAATCCATTCTGCGACGACCATTGACGAAGAAATCAATGTTCTGTGCGGAGCAAGACCATATTCATGTCATGGCTTAACAGTGATACACTTTGTATAAGATAGGCTCAGCGGACTTGAGAGGGCGCCGCTAAGAATACATAACAATCTTTCTTAGCTTGATTGGTTCCGTTCGTATAAACCGCTAAGCTTTGTCTATCTATGTATCGGCGGGCCTAGGATAATTGGACAATATTATCGAGGCATTGGAGCATTCCTTTTGCTACTAGATCCGTCATTTGGAAGCTTACACTTCCCTCATACTGAGAAGGGCAAATTTGGAGCTGATACAAATACCATGCTTCGACAGCGTCGACCATGGTGCAATGGCTACCTGCTAGATTAGCTTGTTCATAATAATGACATCGGCCCCCATACTTTTAAGTGTGGCGGTTCGATTAAAGCAAGGGGGGCTGTATCTTGTGCCTCTAAACCTTTTTTGTATCCCGGGGAATCTCATTGGGAGATGGAGTAACTTTTAGCAAAAGTCTCCGAATGAGCGTCTTGCTTACCAATCAAAACTCCAAGAAATGTTAACTAAGAAGAAGATTTGTTGCATAACTTGCATCTGACTCAGGTGGCCTGTTATTGCCAATGCAATTAGCTAATGTACTGACCTGTGAACTTTTGGCCCGTGGGGACAAAGGAGTGTAATCATGGATGTAACCACTTAAGTCCGAGGCTGACATGGCCAGTACATAGTTATAAATATCACAACAGCTTCTCCGTATATGAGGGCTTGGTTTAGCAAACTGAGAAATAGAACCTTTTTGCTACTTGTACAGCATGTCTGGGCCTGCGAAGATCCTCGTTATCGGCGCAGGCGAGCTGGGTAACCAAGTCTTACACTATCTTGCTCAGCACCCTAATCAAGGTGGCGCAACTATTGCTGTTTTACTACGGCCCTCGAGCATCGCATCCACCCATCCGAACAAAGTCAAGGAACTCGAGGAACTGCGCAATCTGAATGTGCAACTTATTCCTGGTGACATTGCCAAAGATTCCGAAAAGCACCTCTCCAACATCTTTGGTGAATACGACACAATCATCAGCTGTACCGGCTTTGCAGCTGGCTCTGGCACTCAGCTCAAACTTGCGCGTGCTGTTCGGGCGGCTCAAGTTCCGCGATACGTGCCCTGGCAATTTGGAGTCGATTACGATATTATCGGACGGGGATCCGCGCAAGATCTATTCGATGAGCAGCTTGATGTGCGGGATCTGCTGCGCTCCCAGAACCGGACGAAGTGGGTGATCATATCGACCGGCATGTTCACTAGTTTCTTGTTTGAACCTTGGTTTGGTGTCGTCAACTTCAAGGATGATACCATAGCGGCCCTTGGAAGCCTTGATAACAAGGTGTCTGTAACAGCACCGGAGGATATCGGCAAGATTACTGCTGAGGTTGTGCTTGGCTCAAGAGCTGACTCGGTCTTCGGTAACAAGCCGATCTATGTGGCTGGAGATACCTTGACTTATGAACAGCTGGCGCAGTTAGTGGAGAGGATCACCGGACGCAAATTTACGAGGCATATAAGAACTGTGGAGGCTGCTCGGGCTGACCTTGCAAGGGACCCTGACAACACCTTGTTCAAATATCAGATCGTTTTTGGTGAAGGGCGTGGTGTAGCGTGGGATTTGTCCGAGACGTGGAATTGTCAGGCTGGGATCCATGCTTTGACTGCGGAGGAATGGGCCCGACTTCATTTGCAGAATATCATATAGTCGTCAAATTATGTTTTATCACAAAGTATCACAAAGGTATCCATAAGACTAGTGCCACTTGAATAAGACCAAGACTGTGAACCCCGGCCGATGGAGCGGCGTGACCCCTCTCGGGCTGGGGGGGTTATTTGCAAATATTTTTATATCTGAAGATCCTGCTACATCTCCATGTAGAGCATCGGTCATGGCTGTATTACATGTACGGCTAATGTTGGCCTAGGCAAACTGCATATACGTGGTTCTCGTATTACGGAGCACCACCATACCTAGAAGGGCATCCACACACGCCCTGTGAGAGACAAGGATGAGTCAGAATATCAATACAAAGGGTAGCCTAACTAGGGTATATGCATGAAATACAGGATATATCATCGTCCTTACAGCTCTGCTTTCAAGTTTTTCAGTAAAACACTAATAATTCAACATCACAATATTCACAATGGTGAAACTCGATACATTTGAGATTGATCATGTAAGAAGGTGCAAAGCTCGAGCAGTGATACAACCCACTGATTTAGAGCGCAATAGTGGATTCTGACTCGCAGTCCTGGAGCGAGACACAATCTGGCCCATTCATATTCCCTTCCTGTCACTATCCAGGAGCTCGGCTCGCTAGGTACCAACCCAGATGAACATGTTGATAACCCCTTGGCCACGACTCTGTCACTGCCAATGAACTATGGTCCATCTTTTACGGGCCTCGAGAAGCTGCGCATGAATATAGCTGCATTGTACGGCAGTGAATCAGAGGCTGTCATATCTCCCAGCAACATCATCACCACACCTGGTGCATCGCTGGCAAACTTTATCGTGTTCTTTGCCCTGGTCGGACCCGGAGATCATGTCATTGTCCAACATCCAACTTACCCTCAGTTATACTCTCTACCATCCTGTCTGGGTGCTGAGGTGAGTCTCTGGCAAGCAAGCGAGAATAATCACTGGCAGCTTGATTTGGACGAACTGGAGCGTCTCATCCGGCCCAATACCAAGATGATCGTCTTGAAGTAAGCGGTCTCCTCTCTTTGAGAGGTCCAGTCTATTCATTTGACACTCTTTCTCCTCCAGCAACCCCCAGAATCCCACAGGCGCCATCATTACCAAGTCAACTCTTGGTAAGATTGTCGACCTGGCCCGCCGACACTCCATCACCATCTTCAGCGATGAGATCTATCGCGCCCTGTTCCATTCGACCTCGCCGACGGACCCCGAATATCCCCCTTCCCTGCTCTCATTTGGGTATGAGAAATCAGTGGTGACGTGCTCGCTCTCCAAGACCTTTTCCCTCGCCGGGATTCGCGTGGGCTGGATAGCTTCTCACAGCTCTTCCATTCTCGATCTCTGTCTCAATGCGCGCTCCTATACGGTTATCACAGTTAGCCAGATCGACGAGCGAATTGCTGCTATGGCCCTCGAGCCTGTTCGTCTGCGGGAGTTGATGAAACGCAACCTAGGTCTTGCCAAGCACAACCTCGAGATTGTGCAGTCATTCATTGACCAGCATTCTTCGGTCTGCGAGTGGGTTCGTCCAGTCGCTGGACCAGTCGGGTTTGTCAAATTTAGCCGAAATGGCGTCCCTATCGATGATCTTGAACTCTGTATCCTTCTTCTCGAAAAGAAGGGTGTGTTACTCGTGCCGGGGCAAAAGTGCTTTGGAGAGAAGTTTAAAGGTTATGTCCGACTGGGCTTTGGGCAAAGTACTCAGGCTTTGGAAGCTGCATTGGAGGCGCTGGCTGCCTTCATTAGCGAGGATTATGAGGTGGTGCCCTTGGCTGAGCGTAAATGACCAAGTTGAAGTCCCCTGGCGCCAGAAGATAAGTAATATTGTTTGTCATGTCCTCGTTATTAGTATCTAAATATCATAAATCTAGAGATTACACATTATGCTTGTATGCTGGTGTTTACTTATTTACTCCCTCCAACACCATGGTCAATAGAGAGGATTGTGTACATCTCGAGCACCTCGCTCAATGACCTCTTCTACGTTCCAGCGTGGGGGACTGATTAGTTTCCGGGCATCTCTAGCACTCAGTCCCGGCGGCAGCGGTTCTCTTAATCCTCCAGCCACGCCTGTGGAATATTTTAAACCCAAAGTATTGCCGATCTCGTCACAGACTCGGAGTATGTGGTCCAGGTCATCCTTTGTGTGAGCAGCAGAAACACAGAGTCGGGCCCGAGAGAGCTCCAGTGGGGTGGCTGGATAGGTCACCACCACGACCGAGATCTTCCGTCGTAGCATCTCATGGGAGAATGCCGGCATCTTGGCTGGGTTGTACAGCATTAGCGGCACAATGGGCGAATCATCATGTCCGTAGACTATGAAACCAAGCCGTTTTAGGCCCAGTCGCAAATACCGCGAATTGAACCCAAGCCTTTGTACGCGTTCAAGTCCCTGGCCTGGGTGTAGGGGATCCTCATCGGCGATCAGTCGCAAGGAGGAGGAAATCTGTGCCAGGACAGCGGGAGCAGGAGCCTCGCCGAAGACTTGTCCAGCGTTTGTGGCTCGGAGTTTCTTAATGAGGGCCTTGTCTGCCGCGATATACCCACCATTGGCACCAAACGACTTGGTAAATGTACCCATGAGGATATCGACCTCGGCAGGATCGACCTTGAAGAAATCGCAGACTCCCCGCCCACGAGGCCCGACCGCGCCGATGGAGTGCGCTTCGTCAACGAAGAGGTAAAATTTATATCGCTTTTTAAGCTCCAAGATGCGAGGCAGATTGCACATAGTACCTTCCATAGAATAAAGGCCTTCGACCGAGACCAGAATCTTCTTCCAGGGCCGGTGGGTGCGCGGTTGGCCTTGGGAGATTGCCTCTCGAAGTCGTCTCTCCAGATCCGCCATGTTGTTATGCGAAAAGACCTGGATGGCAGCTCCTGAGAGACGTGCCCCGAAACGAATGGACGCATGGTTGAGTTCATCCGAGAGAATCAAGCATCCCTTCTCCATGAGGGCGGGGAAAATCGTGGCATTGGTTACAAAGCCCATGGAGAAAACAATCGCATCCTCCTTGCCCACGAACCGGGCAACCTGTTGCTCGACCTCCGCATGAAGCTGTGGGGTGCCGGGTTCGGCAACCGAGCCGGCCATAGTGATCCCATTTTGCCGAATCGTTTCTTCGGCGAGATCAGAACAGGGACCTTCGGACTGAGCGAATCCCAGATAGTTGTATGAGCTAAGGTTCAACGTGTCCGTGGTCGTCCCTGTGAGCCGGAAATGGAGGTTGTCATTCGACTGCTGATCCAACAGAGTGATATATCTTCCTGGAACCCCGGTGGTCGGTCGCTCGAAACAGTCATTGATCCGCCGCTTCATGCGTCGTGTATAGAAGCTCTCGAAATCACTGTACAACGAGGCATAGCCATTTTGCGGGCGGAGGTGCTTGTAGGTGTGAGATCGGAAGTACTTGTCGCAAAAGTCATGGAAGTGGCCGAGGAAGATCAAAATGAGGAAGCTGATGTAGGTCGTGAAAGCGGTAAAGTACGGCGGCTCGTCGAGGACCGGGTCGGGGATCTCGCCCCCGCTGTGTTTGCTCACATAGAGATGCGACGGGTCGCCGAGGGGACCAAATTCGGCGTGCTGCTTTGCGAGTCTCTGCGCTTCAGTTGCAGTGTAGATCTCACTGGAGACTGCTCGAAGAGAGCTAAGAGCGATCGAGTGAGATTCCGATGGGCTCCGTCCGTCCTCGCCTGCTGTTGTCGATACAGCTTGTGGGTCATTTGCGCTCGTCAAAGGTTTCCCTTTGCGTTTCCATCGCGGCATAATGAGACACCAACCGAGATTGTGGAGGAGAGATTAAGATGCTGTGGTGGATAAGCAAAGTGATGGACGATGGAAATGGACGAGGGGAGTTTGGGTTTGGGAGGTGGGAATACGGGAATACCCGCCCGTGCCGGGGGAGAAGCCTGAGGCATCAAATGCCCACCCGCCGGCTTCCGAAGTTCCGATGTCTCTGTCTGATTGGCTGAGTGGCACAGGCAGCAACAAATCTCTCATGAATCAGACAATGAGGCCTCCTATGAGAGTCTTTCCTCCGTACGGAGTACTCCCAATCTAATGAAGTTCCAAGCCAGCTTCGAGTTCTCACCCTGGTCTGTTTATCAAACCCTGCGGTTTCATCTGGATGCAACTATTAGAATTCTCAGGCCCATGGCCCAGTAAGAAATGACCGACTGGCTCAACGAGGAACCAAAATATATATTGCTCAACGTCGCCTAGAAAACATCAGATCAACGAGAGTTGTACTTCATGTTTCCAGTCAGGAGAAAGGGTCAATCATAATAGCTTGAATCTCCAGTCCTTGATCAATAACCATGGACTGCTTCAAACTGGTAGGCTACGAGACCAGCTATGAGACCAGCTATGCTGTAATGCTAGCACATTAAACTGTATGACCATCCATTCAATGTATCCTGAGCATCAACACTGCTCTATAATACATTCTAGTCCACTGTGCAGAGAAATATATCTCGTTCCCTGCATCCAAGACAACAGCAGGTATTCTATTGGTTCAATATCATGCAATAATCGATCCCACTCTCATGTCTGTCGAGAAGTCGGACGTCCGGCGGAGGGCAGTGGGTTAGCAGGGTCCATTCGCAGCGTCAGATGTAACATGAAGAAGACTAGTATATCCTTTTGATTGTATCGCAATTACAGGATCGGCTCATCCAGTCACACAGTGAAGATCGTTATCTATCGTACAAGCTTCCCAAGCGGGGCGAAGCTTTTACTCCACATTTCTTGGAGTTGTGTTCCCCAATAGGGTGGGGATACGAATGTTGCTCGAAAATAAAAAGCATGCACCTTCCCCAAGAGCAACTGCTGTTGGTTTGTCAATCACGCCAGAATGCATTTCGCAGTCAGTTCCATCACCCTGCTCGTGGCGAGCACCGCCGTGGCTCTGGAAAATCCGCATCGCAAAGCAGTCAGACCAATCAAGCTAGATCATGGCCATCTAAAGCCCCGGGCTGTCACTGTTACCGATGACGGAGGCTATAAGTATCTGAATAAGAAGACGCAGCGTGTGTTTAATCCAAACCTACAAGTCTCCTGGTCTAATGATTGTTAGGATTTCTGGTAAATGGCACGGGCATTCCCGAGGTGGACTTCGACGTGGGTGAATCTTATGCCGGTACTCTTCCCAACACGCCAGCTGGGAATTCCAGTCTATTCTTCTGGTTCTTCCCCTCTCAGAACCCCAAAGCACATGACGAGGTAGATGCAGATCCAGCATAAAAATTGGCGCACCTGACTGACAGTCGGTAGATCACCATCTGGTTGAATGGAGGCCCTGGGTGTAGTTCGCTTGACGGATTGCTGCAGGAAAATGGTCCTTTTCTCTGGCAGTCGGGCACCTACAAGCCCGTCCGCAATCCATACTCGTGGACTAACCTGACCAACATGGTCTATGTGGATCAACCGGCCGGAACTGGCTTCTCGCCGGGGCCGTCCACAGTCAACGATGAGGAGGATGTTGCAAGGCAGTTTAAGAGCTGGTTCAAGCACTTCGTTGATACCTTTAATCTGCATGGCCGCAAGGTGTATATTACTGGAGAAAGCTATGCTGGACAGTATATTCCCTACATTGCCTCGGCCATGCTGGACGAGAAAGATAAAAAGTACTTCAATGTGAAGGGTATCCAGATCAACGATCCGTCCATCAACGACGATTCTGTGATGATATATGGTATGCACATCTTCCATCATATCTGCTCATTATCCTTCAAGGCTAACATATCGAGTAGCCCCCGCTGTCAGCCATCTGAACCAGTACCTGAACGTCTTCTCTCTCAATGATACTTTCGTCAAGCATATCAACAAACGTGCTGAGGAATGTGGATACAACAAGTTTCTGGATGAGGCTATTACCTACCCACCCCCAAAGAAATTCCCTGTTGTCCCCGACCCATCCAAGAACAACTGCGCCCTCTGGGATGAAATCGTTCAGGCGGCCTACTACGTCAACCCTTGCTTCAACTTCTACCATCTCACCGACTTTTGTCCGTACCTATGGGATGAGATGGGTTTCCCCTCGTTGGCCGGAGGTCCCAATAATTATTTCAATCGCTCGGATGTTCAAAAGGCCCTTCACGTCCCTCCAACGGACTACTCCGTCTGTGGGGAAACCACGATCTTCGCTAAAGGCGATCAATCGGTCCCCAGCGCCCTTGGTCCTCTCCCTAGTGTGATTGAGCGTACCAACAACGTCCTCATCGGACATGGATGGCTTGACTATCTGCTATTCGTGAACGGATCTCTCGCGACGATTCAAAATATGACGTGGAACGGTGCGCAGGGCTTTCAGCACCCGCCTGTAGAACCCCTTTACGTTCCCTATCATTATGGCCTTGCAGAGCTCGGGACATCTACGGCGCCGGATCCATACATTTTGAACGCGGGGGCTGGGTATTTGGGTACCGCGCACACTGAGCGCGGCCTCACCTTCTCAACGGTCTACATGGCTGGCCACGGTAGGAGAATCATTTATACCTCCATGTTTCGTGCTGACCGCCGCAATAGAAATCCCGCAGTACACGCCTGGAGCAGCTTACCGTCAATTGGAATTCCTGCTCGGCCGTATTGACAACCTGTCGTCGCCAGGAAGCTATACTGCATAGGAGCGCAGGTGTCATCAACAACTATCCATGCCGATTTTTAAAGTGGAGGATCAACAAGACGGCAGATGTTCTATCCCTGTCAATGACTTGTTAGAGTACCATAATCCATGGAACGTTTACGAAGAAATATGGAAAATTCAATGTGACCATAATGGTTGATGTCATTGAACCGTGGCCATCCCCACACCCGAGAAAAGTCTCCACGTGTTGAAAATAATGGCCGACCTCTTTAGAGTACATGACGGTGGAAAGTCTGAATAGAATGAATTCTTGAATATACATCAATATCTGCAGGCTCTTTGTACAGCGTGTTTAGAATGAGTACGCATGGTCCTCTATTTATTGCCCAGGAAGCCGTCTGTTTCTATCCCATTAGCACCATTTATGATTCTTGTCCGCGTTATCTCTTCTACGCTCTTCTTCTAGCCAGCTGTGTGACACGATGGACAGGATGGCTGGCCGACGTCTTCCTAGGTGCTGCAGCAACATACGCAGGAGTCGCCGCCATCCAGGCGTTCATTCTTGTTTCCAGTCCCTCGTCGCCTGCGGACCCCGGGCCAGTAACCATCTCATATCTCCCCAAGAATACCAGCCTCTGGGGTAGTTTCCCTCAGCTTATCACCGAGAGAGACATCGTGATACTCCAGCCAGCCGCTGTGGAGTTGGATGCCGACGCAGTCAACGCTATTGTAATCACAGGCTATCTTGTGTTTCTGCCCCTGCAATGCTGGTCCCGCGTTCTCTCGCAAGAGCGCATCCGAGTTATCCTCTTCTACCTCTGGAATATCTTGATGTTCGCAGGTTCTATTTGCGCGCTGATTTACTCGAGTGCTGCAAAGAACACACCAACCCAGTACATGTTTTGCTATCCTGACCTGCCTCCGTTCGACGAAACATCCAGCGATGGGTGGCAAGCCTCGTGGCGAACATCCACTTGGAACAATAGTGTCTGGAGCATATTCTCCAATATCACACTCTGGGGCCAACTCGGTGACATCTGCTTCAACCCTTGTTTCAACTCCAGTCAGATCCTTCGCCAGCAGACGTCTTTGGACGTGTGGGTTGCGACCAGTCGCTCGGAACTGGACCATCCGCACTCCTTTTGGGACAAGTATATTTATTCACGGCGTTACATATACAGCCTTCTTGGCGTCACTGTCATTCTAAACATCATCCTGCTTGTGTCAAGATTCTTTCCCTACCGTTCTCGAATCCCGTCCGTGCAGATGGTGGTCGTTTGGCGAGAGCGTAAGGCCATATGGACCAGCTTTCGGGAGGGATTCTGTCTGTTGAAGGAACTTGCATGCGAGAACGATATCCCTTCACGCAAGAGCTCTACTTGGCGCCGGTTTCGATCCATCTTAAGCAGACGCTTTGCCAAAGAATGCCTCCGTCTATTGGCAGACTCACTTATTCTCATTGGACTGCTACTGAGCATCATCATCAGCCCGTTGACACTGATTGCGTTTGTCGTCTGGATTGAGTGGTACATTCACAACGATGGACCGTCCCAAGAGAATCCTCGGCAAGTTGGACAATGGTCGTACCTGGTTTCCATTGGGCTGTTACTCATCTCCGCGTTAATCCTGAGATGGAAGTATCGCGTTGCCTCAACCCAGGAATTGGATGATGAAATATACGCACTCAGAGAGCGCTTGGCAGATGTGGAGAGCAGAAGGTTGTTGCGTGCAGAGGCCAGTCATTGAGGAGTTAGTGACACCCTCTAGTGCTCCTCCTACCACTTGGGGTTGTTTGTCTCCACGGTCACCAGGTTCTGCCCAAGTCGGCTCCATATCTGCCCCGAATCCGGGGCCTGGAGGTTGGAGACTGTCGTGAAATTGCCCGTCCAACTACTCGATCCGATATTGGCGCTGCTGATGTAAGAGTAGCGGGTATTAAATTGACGAGGCGGCTGGGGTCATCTTGGAAAATTGGCAATTGCTTCATCGTTCTCTTGCTGTGCATCGGATTTGTAAGTAGAATCTTCACTGCTGGGCTCAGTGAGGTGTCCCGAACGATGCCGTGGAAGCAGTCCATTACGACCTTCAAATCTGGCAGCGTCCTCGGGTTGTCAAAGAGAGAGATAGTATCGATGACACAGTAGACGGTAGTCTGTGTGGAAAACTGTGCTATAAGATGGTACAGCAAATCGCATAGATACGATAAGTCGTGGTTTTCGAGCCCTTCAACGGAGTCCCAATCGTCGATAAAATCGAGGTCACAGCGCTTCATCTCCAACAGCCTCACCAGCAACTGCATTGCGAGAAAGCGAACCAGTCCATTTGGACCGTACCATGCGTCCTTAGGTAAGAAGTGCTGGCCACAGAAATGGAAAACAACGACATCCTCCGGATGTGCAGTGACCATGCTGGTAACCAAGGTGGCACAGAGTACAGACAAAGGGGTTGTCTTGGGCATGCCGGGGTCGTCGATATTTGCATCGACGAGAATAAGATCGGATTCTGGGCGGTTTAGCCATCCCAGAACTCGGTTGCTTCTCAACACTGACTCTTGCACCTGCCCCTGAGTCTCTGTATTCAGCTTGCCCTTGTACGAAAGGCATTTTTGCAGGTCATCGTTCGGTCGTTGGAGCATTTGTCTTAGGTCTGCTAGCTCGCAATTGTCGGAAATCGGCAGCCCTGTGAGAATGTAGAGGAGCTGATCACCCTTGATGAGCAGTTTGGACTTGCGGGTGTAGCGAATCTCTCGCCGCAGCCTTTCAATCTCGGTACGCTGTCCTATTGTTCCCCACGGTCAGTGACATGGCCTCAAAACAAGGGAAAAAGTCTGCCCTACTCTTAGACTCCAGTAAGATCTGGAGGACTTCATTTCTTGTTATAACCTGACCAGTCTCTTGCTCCTTTATCCTCAGGCTGTTCTGTCTATTGTTCTCCCTTGCAGCGATATTCTGTGTATCTGCCCTAATTTGATGGAGCATACTGTAGAGAGCCTCATAGCCCCTTTTGTAATCCTTATCCCGCTCATCCTGCTTCTCATCGAACACCCTGAGGCTCTCATTTGTCTCCAGAATATTGCGATGCATGCCGGGCAGTCTCATTGCCATCGACTGAGTCAGAAGTCCTGTACCTTCAATAACATTGTCTCGTACCAGATCGACCACGCGCTCGAATTCCTCCCGAGCCTCTTCCAGCTTGCCCAGAATCACGTCAGGATCCGGCGGTGGCGTTCGATGCCTGAACTTGGGAGCAGTGGCCAGTTTCTGTCTCCACGAGGTCTTTTCTTTAGAGGTCAGTAAGATCATATCCTCGATGCACTCCACGATAGACCGGTTCAAATGGTCCGCAGAAACGCAGATCTCCTCGTTACTCCGAAAGCTCCTCTTTGCCGGATCGGCTCGAGTAAGTGCTTCGCGGATGGCCACGAACGTTCTCTCGATCTTTTGTCGCCTCTCTGCAGATTTTTCGGCCAGCTAAACAATTTTAGCATGTGGACGTTGACCAGGCTGCAAGGCATACCTTGAAAACCACTGCCAGCCCAGTCTTGACGACTGCCAACCCATACTCATTGGGAATGAGGGCAACCCATGCATCCAGAGTCTCTTTGGTATCGCCTACATGGTACCATAGAGAATGCCAGAACGTCTTTTGGCGGTCCGTGTATCGAGCCTCAGTATTTGCGACCTTGTCGGCTAGCTCCTCAAGTTTCTTTGCATCTTCCCGGAACTGCAAGCCCAAGTTCTCGGGCAGGTAGCGTTTTAGAAGCTCTTCAAGCGACCTGTGCGAGTCTATTAGCCTTTTCGTTCAAACCTACAAGACATTGACGATAACAGGTTCTCTTCATTCTACGATCAAACACTCACTTGTGAAAGTTCGGCGGCACAAATTGGCGCTCATCATCGTCATACCTCGACGTCCCCGCCATTGCAATATGGATATCATGACCTTCGGCGCTGATAAAAGCGGCAGCGTGTGCGGCTAATCTGCTCCCGACAGGATCTCCTGCCCTCAGCGTCATGATCGAAACTCCCAAGCTGAGTTGACTATGGATGACTGTTCAAACGGTGGCCTGCGGGGTACGGGTCCATCATCATATAGATACATGGACAACGTGGTGCTTATTAGAATCGAGACCTCGCCGAACCTGACCTGTTCAAGCTGACGTGGACTGGGGCAATTGGCGCGCCGTCATCTAAACAGCTGCAGGATGCATTTCAGCTCGTTTCATGTCACGGATCACTGACAATTCACGCCAATGATAGCTTCAAAATAACCTGTCAGCCTCGCGAATTTACACTAGCAAGAATCAGCCCCCCTTTTAGCGCGCCACATGCTGCCCGTCAACCCGCAAAGCTGAGCAACAGAATCTGGACGGCTGACAGCATTCTGTGAAGAAGGAGTGAGCTAGGCTCGAATTCTCCTTTATATTCACGCAAGCCTGTGATTATGCGTGCGGTTTCCCTGCCATGAGATTTTAATCTTAGAATCGGAAAAGATGGCCACAGCCGACGCACCAGGCAGGGAGCTCTCCCCAGGACCCCAGAGACTGTTACACAGGCGCGCGACGCAAAGGATCCTGGCCGATGACTTGAGTTTTGAGGAAGATGAGCAGATAAAGAAAGAAAAGCAGGAGAAATGGGAGAAGAAACGCCAGCGAATGCCGTGGAAGGTAGAAGTCCAAACCCTGGACTACCATCACTTCAAAAACCGGTATTCTCTCGAAGATGGGCTGGCTATCATTGAGGTCCTCCAAGGTCACCACAGCATCTACAACGAGGTGTGGCATGAGAACAATCGTCGTCGGTTTGGATTTATATACCCAGAAACACCGGTCGAGCTGGAGAATGAGGGAACATGGATCCAGAGGGTTCGGATACAGTCGCCCGAGCTGCTCCTCCTGCTTTCCCGACTGACGGGCCATCGAGACCTATGGGCCAAGCGAGGCCCCCGCGTCTTCTTCCGGCCTTTTACAACATTGTACTACTATCTTCCGGAGATGAAAGAATGTCTGGCGCTTCTGGAGTCACGCTGGGGCGACAATGTCGATGAATCACATCAAGACCCGATCGACGCGACACAATGGACAGCCAAATTACACTCCTCCAGCCACAAAGACATTTCCGAACCGGAGGACGAGAGCTTTCGAATCAGAACGCCGGCTGAGTCGGTCATTGGCCCCATCGCAGATTCCGCGACCGCGCTGCGCCACGTTCGCCTGTTTGTCGACTTTATGGACAATGAGATTGTCCCCTTGTGGAAGCGAGCTGCCGGCACGACGCAACGTAAGATCGCTTTTGCGGACCTGTGGATGTCATATCAGCCCGGCGAACTGCTCTATGTGCCATCACCCTCGGAAACAACCCAAGATCAAATCTGGCCGGAACCCCTTCCCATGTCGCAGAATATCTGGCGGCTGCACACAATCAGCCGCGACCAGTTCCAGGAAGTGTATAACTGCGATATGTCTGCGGCCCCCGGCCAGGAACTGGATCTCTGGAGCTACTATATCGATTTCAATGGGGTGTCGTATGAGCCCTACACTCGAAGGTTCAGTATCAAGGCGTATGAAGGGGTAAGGGACATCACCACACTGCAGATCTACCCCCTGCGCTTTCATAAGGATGCGGAGAAGCTGCTCGAGAGCCGCCGGGAGGTGGGACAGCTGTTCCAAAAGGCACTAATGGAGAAGCATCTCTACTATGAGGGGTGGACCCTGACGAACGAGCCCACGCAGAATCCTCAGGTGCAGGATCGAGGAAATTCCGAACATATCGAGGGCCAGGTGATGATTGACTTTGTCGAGGGGCACAACTCGGACAGCGATCTCGCCTCGAAATCCGACCAGACCCTGACTGGATGGTCAGCGAATGACTGGCCCGAGGGAGAAGACAGCGTCGCCATCAACCATTGGTATCAGTGGACCAGCGAAGACGAGGAAGGGTCGGAAGGCGAGGCCGCAGACGAAGGCCATGGCAAGGCATGCGAGCCTGGTTTTGAGCTGGTGAAGGAGGAGAGCGACTGCTTGCAGCTTTACGAAGACTTTGCTGGGATCATCAGCAACCTTGACCTCGAAACCAACGACTTCCTCCGGTCATACATGGCAGGAAATGCGATGCAAATTGATCCTGAAGACCTTGTTCTGCTGCCGGGTCGCGTTATTGCCTACGCCTTTCGAGACCGGCGGTTCGTGCGTCTGGACGTGAAATATTTGCAGCCAATTCCTCCCTCCGAGAATGTCTTCAAGAACCTGCGAATCAATGAGGAGCACAAGCGGATGGTTCGGGCTCTGGTCAAGACGCACTTCCAGAAGCAGAGGCTGAACCTGGACCTAATCCGGGGCAAAGGCTCGGGGCTGGTGATTCTCCTGCATGGCGCGCCAGGAGTGGGCAAGACAGCCACGGCAGAGGCTGTGGCCCAGGCAAACAAGAAGCCTCTCTTTTCCATCACTTGTGGGGATCTTGGATTCCAGGCCCAGGACGTGGAGACAAATCTAAAGGAAATCTTCCGGCTAGCTCATCGGTGGGACTGCGTGCTCTTGCTTGACGAAGCCGACATCTTCTTAACTCGTCGAAATTTGAGTGACCTTGTCCGCAATGCTCTCGTGTCAGGTACGTGGTCTCTGAAAGTATGTCTGTGAGCCTCACATTGCTGAAGATGTGGATAGTTTTCCTTCGGATGCTGGAGTACTACAGCGGGATTCTGTTCCTCACCACGAACCGGGTAGGGATCATCGACGAGGCTTTCAAGTCGAGGATCCACGTGAGTTTGTACTATCGGCCGCTCGACAGAGAGCAGACACTCGCCATCTTCAGGAACAATATCCGCAAGCTGCGCAAGGTCGAAGCGGAGAAAGACCGACAACGCGCCTTGGATCCCCACAGCCCGCAAGGACCGATTCTGGACATCGACGAGAAGAGTATTCTGCACTATGCTGCGTGGCACTATGACAACCATGTGCAGCACCGATGGAACGGTCGACAGATCCGCAATGCGTTCCAGATCGCCTATTCGTTTGCGCATTTCGATATTCAAAACGGGCCGGACACGTGGCAGAAGGAATCGGAAGAGGAAGGAGATACAGATAGCGACGAGGGGAAACAGGTTGATTTCGCTGTGACCAATCCGGTCCTGGACTACCGGCATTTTCTTCTCGTCGCAGACACCATCCGACGATTCGACAACTACCTTTGGGAGACCACAGGCGAGACGGAAGTGGAGCAGGCATTCAACTGGGGCTTGCGGGCCGATGATTACAATCCGGACGAGTGGGACGATGGCCCCGTCTATCATCCTATGGGTCATCAGCCTCAACGCCGGGGATATGGCCCTTCGTCCCGGGGGTCGATGAGGGGCAGGGGCGGTCCTCGGGGAGGGTCATTCAGAGGCAGCATGCCGCCAGGTGGACGGGGGGTCCAAAGAGAACGGTCTCCTGTCCCGGAGTATCAGCCGCCGTTCAAGGCTCCACTGTCTCAGCAGCAAGCAGGTCGAGCTAAACCCATGATCGGAGCAGAAGTATCATCCTATGATCGACGGTTCGGTCAGGTTGCACAGCCCGAGAGACCTCGGCCACCTCAACGGCGGTCAGAGCAGCAATCGCCGGCGTGGAACGTCGCTGCTAGCGAAGAGGCTCACTTTGCTTACGAGGAGGACTACGATGAATATGCGGAATATGAAGAAGAAGGGTACGATGAGTATGGCCAGCACGTCGGTCCAGCAGGGCCAAGCCGAGTGGGAGCTATCCGAGGATAGACCGATAGTGTGCCATGTGGCCGATTCGTAGCTCCTGCAGCATGCCTTTAGATCCTTGTTCACATCTTGTCCAGGACAAATACATTCCGTCGAGTCAACAGGATTCTTCCGTTGCGAAAGTAATTAGAAAGTCGAAACTCCATATATGACCCTAGATGTCTGTAACCCATCGGCAGATACATGACACGGGAAAGTGCCGAGATCGGAGGATTCCCACCACATCAACTTGAACTTCTCTTTTATCGCAGCGGCCCTGCTCTCGCAACTTCCACTATTTAGTCGCTACAGCAATTGGAGGTCAAACACGTTCCGGGGATATTGCTCGACTAATCGTTTTACTCCGTCTATCCGATAAACTTTTATGCCTTTTGACGGGGATTGAACAGCTCTCTGCATGTGATTTATGATGGTGTCTAGACCCCTCAGACGGCTACTTCATCCCTCTAAACTACGCAACCAGAATGTAAAAGTACATCGACAATTCATATCTAGCACAGCTCCATTATCCAAAAAACAAAACAGCATTCCAGCAGCATATTACCGCGGGGGGACATCGCGCGCCATCTTCTTCCGAAAAGAGGATCTACCGTCGGAACAACAGCAGTGGGATGACATCTTCCGCGGTACCATCGGGAGTCCCGATCCATATGGACGCCAGCTAGACGGAATGGGGGGTGGCATCTCCAGTCTGTCCAAGGTGTGCGTGGTCAGCAAATCCGACCGGCCGAATGCTGATGTTGAGTACACCTTTGTTTCGCTAGGGGTGAAGAACATGGATGTCGATTATTCCAGCAACTGTGGGAATATGATTAGCGCGGTTGGGCCATATGCAGTCGATACTGGTCTCTTTCCCGTGGCTGACGACGCCAACGTTGTATCTGTGCGAATATTCAATACCAACACGGGAAAGGTCATCCGATCCACGTTCCCTGTAGTGGACGGGGAGGCGGCAGCAGCTGGTGATTTTGCTATCGATGGCGTGGCCGGTACAGGCGCTCGAATCCGACTCGATTTTATTGACCCTGCAGGCTCAAGGACGGGCAAGTTGCTGCCAACTGGGAAGGGTATCGATTGCTTTGACGACATTCCCGCATCATGTATCGACGTGGGCAACCCATGTGTTTTCGTGCGTGCTTCTGACCTGCGAGTACCAGGAAATCTGGCACCGGATGAGATCGACGCTCATCCTACTCTATTCTCACAGTTGGATTCGATCCGTCGGCAAGCTGGTGTGAAGATGGGACTGGCTGAAACACCGACAGAAGTGCCTGGGAGTGTTCCCAAGATCTGCCTCGTTTCGTCACCGTCAGATTCTTATACGTCGGGAATGATGCAGACGTCAAAGGATGTCGATCTGGTGGTTCGCGCTCTCTCTGTCGGCCAGCCGCATAAAGCCGTTCCCATCACCGTCGCTTTGGCTCTTGCGACGGCCGCCAGAGTGTCCGGCACTGTTGTGGCCGACGTGGTAAGCGACAAACCAGTAGATCCTGCTGGCATTACCTTAGGCCATGCCAGTGGCAATCTGCTAGTCGGCGCGGACTTCGACCCTAGCGGTCGTTTAAGCTGTGCGACGGTCTATCGAACAGCGCGTCGGATTATGGAGGGGCGTGTCTTCTGGAAAGATGTTTCTGCCTGAACACTTGGGATATATAAATTGGTGTGAATATGGAGTTGCCCGGCTGAGTTCGGCAACTTCCACATTGTCAGGGGATTTGTATATACAGTATAAAACCAGATGTGCGACTAGTCAGATTCCATTGCGCTATATCCATTGCAAACCATCATAAATGGAGTTTCTCTGCTTTATTTTACATTCTCTGCACAAAAGTAGACTGTATTCATTGAGGTAGTGCTGGCTGCCCCTCCACGAGCCCCGGGGAAGCATTAGGCTGATGAGTCACAAAGCTGCGCTATAGATGAAAACATCAATCAATGAGACTACCTCTATCTATTCATGGTGATATGCCATGCACTTTCGATATTAAAGCACGAATACTATCTATTGGTTCACTATGACAGCCACCCAGCGCGCCTTACTTCTCCCTGAAATCCGCTGTTCTATCATCGGGTGGGCAGGGAAGAGCCATATGACTGCGACAGCTCCTACAACGGGAAGTGTTCGAGAAGTTGTACCCTTCTGTGCTGTGGTCTAGTTAATCAAACCTGGTATCACGAAGCGATGCGCATCCTCTGGAAAGCCATCCATCCGCCCTTGTGGTGGCGTACTTTCCCAGATCATTTCCGGTCTATTGCACCAGATCGTCGTCAGTTCTACGCCAACTTCCTAGAATAGGCATTTCTTATACGGTGGTGGATCAAAATGACGATAGCAATGAGGATTTTAATGGCCTGAAGTTTCCAAGACTACGATCGCTCCATCTATTCTTGGGCTGCCATAAGAAATACATTCCACGGATTCAAGGTCATTGTACTGAGGAGCTTGACGCAGAACCTGACTATGAGGTATATCCAGACACCATGAGTGCGATATTGGAGCAAATCTCGGTATGTTCATGACTCCCGCTCGCTGACTTGCATTCAGGGCTCATTAAAGACAATGTTGTATTCCCTGATGTTAAAGAACTAATATTCTCAGACACAGCACTACTAGTTTATAGAGGAGCTCTGCAGCTATTGGCTGCTCGCCTTCTATGACTTAAGAAATATAGCCATCATTACTCAAGTGAGGTGGAAGAGCGATGACTACATTGGCAACATCTCTGCGCATGGCTTCTGAGGAACATAATGGGGTCGGACGGACCATAATATACATAGAGATCACCAATCTATTAGCAGTATTTAACTTCTTTCAGCTCTTTACTTCATTAAGCATCCTGATCAGCACCTTCTCTAACCGCCTGACTCCCTCGGTCAAATCAGTTTCGTCCTCCCAAGCAAAGCAAAGCCTCAAACATTCATGTTGAGATGAAGATTGATCACCAGGGACGACAAAAATGTCACCATTGCCGACGATCAGATTCTCCTCCCGCAGTGCTCTTTCGGTGACATTGGGAGCAGTGAGTGGCCGGGGTAACCTGACCCAGACAAAAACGCCTCCAGCATACAATGGGTCACTTGCATCTGTATGTATCTCCACTCCAAGAGGAGACAGTCTCTCCTTGACCGCCGATATCATAATGGAGTGTCGGCGAGAGTATGCCGGGATTAACACCTCTTTTATTTGCTTCGTGACAGAACCATCTTGAAGCATTTCATCAATGAAGGTCGACATGAGTTGGGATGGAGGGCCGCCTGACACTGTAGAGCCTCTGAGTGATTCCCGTTTAGCCAAGAGGACAGTCATAGTCGGTAGACAGAACGTACACTTGTGACAAGCCATAAACTAGTTGAGGCTCTCCCTCGGCCCATCCAACGCGACAGCCAGGGGCAACGATCTTGCTAAATGTCCCACTACTGACGACGTTACCGAAGATATCCCGTGGTCCACCATCAAGCGTGCGATCTAAATCCAGGACGCGAGGGAGCGTGGATCTCCATGAATTTCCATTATCTGAAGAATGAGCGGCAGACCAGTGTAGAAAGTCGTAGACGTCGTCGCAAATTACTAGAGCATTGAATTTGCGAGCTAAACGGACGAGAGCCTCTCGCCTCCTAAGAGACATGGTGACGCCTGTGGGATTGGAAAAATTGGGCACGCAGTAAATGACCTGTTTGAATATCTTCCTGTAGCGTTCATCACGCTTGTATTTCACTCCCTATTGGAAGTTAGCCTTGGATGATTGGTTTGAAGGTGTATCTTCAGCTGACCCTATCTGCAACTGCCTCGTCATTAGCGAGATCATGTTCAAGAAACCCCATGTCCATCCCCTCCTCATCCTCAGGAACAGCCCTTAACCTCCCGTAGAACCCTGCATCCTCAAAAATCCTAAATGCAAGATGATAAGTCGCCTGTGGCATCCATATGTGCCTTGTTTGCGATGGATCAGTAAAAACTTGCAGGATATTCGACAAGTTCTGGCTCGCTCCTCCGGTTATGCAGATGCGATCCGCTTGAATTGGCTTAGAGGGTTTGTAGTATGCCGTCAGCCACTCGGCAAGGTGAGTCCTGAGTGGAAAGTGACCTTCATCCGGCCCGTAGTCCAAGCCGGTTACTGTGACTTCCGGCTTCGACAAGGCTGCTACCGCAGCATCCCTTAGGCGCTGGGTGGGAAGAAGCGCCGTGGCGGGCGACCCTTTCAGTAAATCGATATAAGGTGTTGTTGAAGACATTGAAGATCAATGAGAAAGGCAGAACTTGTTGAATACGAAGACCAACAACGGCTCTGACGCATTTATACACTGAGGACGGAGCTAGGACTGGCTCTCACTTCCGTGGGGATACAGGATTTCCGTTTCGGGTAATCAAGGCGATTCAACCAATCACGACGTGCCAAGCGATGGAGCCGACGGGAGGCACCAAACGACGGGTTCTCCATATTTCCTTGAGACCATTGCAGTTGCTTACAGATATAAATTCTTCTTCCTGCTTCTCTTCCACCTTCTTCTTCATCCAGACTCAGTTGTAACTCACAATCCCCTATAAGACAGCAGCACAATGGGACACATCAAAGACTTCGCTGTAGAAAAGGTGAGTAAATCAATGTCAGGCCGCAGGAGTTGATGGCTGACTTTTCACAGTGGATGGACGAGCACGAGACATGGGCGACTCATAATCTTGCTGAGACCTGCTGTGCCTCCGTCTCACTCGACGATATTTTGGCCTTCGCGGGGAACAAGGACAGAGCTAGCCTTATCGACTTCTCCCAGAAACAAACCTATGGGGCAATCCGGGGCAGTGATGCCTTGCGCTCAAACATCGCCAACCTGTATCGCGACGACCAATGTGAGCCATTGTCAAAAGACAACATTCTTGTAACGAACGGCGCTATCCAGGCCAACTTCCTGGCTCTATATACCAATGTTGCTCCGGGTGACCATGTCATCTGCCACTATCCCACCTACCAACAGCTCTACTCCGTCCCCGAGTCCTTCGGCGCGGATGTCAGCCTTTGGAGAGCAGATGACCAGAATGGATGGCAGGTCAACTTGGACGATCTGAGATCGCTGATCAGACCGAATACCAAAGTCATCATCATTAAGTGAGTACTCTAGCAGCCACTAAGTTACTCCGACGTGAAGTGAAAGTGGACCTGACAAAGTCATAGCAACCCTCAGAATCCAACCGGAGCTGTCCTGAGCCGTGAAGTGCTGCAGGAGATTGTAGATATTGCGCGTCAGCATGGTATCATCATTCATAGTGATGAGGTGTACCGGCCGCTTTTCCACTCCCTGCAAGAGGGGCAGGACGAGCCGCCTTCCATACTCTCCTTCAATTATGAGAAGACCGTTGCCACGAGCTCAATGAGCAAGGCTTTCAGTTTGGCCGGGATTCGAGTGGGCTGGATTGCATCCAGAAGCCGGGAAATCATAGAGCAGTGTGCGACAGCTCGCGACTACACCTTGATTTCGGTCAGTCAGATCGATGACCGGATTGCTACATGCGCATTATCAGAGCCAACTGTGAGTAATATTCTCAAGCGTAACCTCGACCTGGCAAGAGGCAATCTCGATCTGCTCGATGGCTTCGTGAAGGAATTCGCCTGGGCTACGCGATGGGCCCGACCACATGCGGGCACCACAGCGTTCATCAAGTTCGTAAATAAGGACAACCTTGCGATTGATGATGTGGAGTTCTGCAAGCGCTTGCAAGAGGAGTTTGGAGTGATGTTTGTGCCAGGCAGCAGGTGCTTCGGAGAAGACACAAACTTCAAGGGATATGTCCGCATCGGCTATGTATGCGAACGTCAGGTCTTGAATGATGGTCTGGAAGCGTTGCGGAAATTCATGGCCGATGCTTATCACTCTCTGCCAGTGGCTATTTGAGGAGCAGTGAAGAAGATAGACGCAACTGCCAACTGATAGAGCACAACAAGAATGACAAATCTATGCACTTGCATCAAGTAGGAAATCATCGCAATGTCACACGAAATGATATCTGTTGTCCATGGTTTACCAGTGAGATGGTGAGACGAAGGTAGTATAAAGTGTGTTCAGAAGAGAACTAGTTCCAGCCCAGACTGCGAAAAGTAGACGTCCCAGCGCGAGGATGCGCCCGACTCCCAATAACGAGCAAGAGCATCCCTTGCTCTAGTAAAGTTCCCCATACCCATGGTCTGCATATTCACCATCCTTGTTTGGATAGCTTGGCGCTCTCGAAGATCATTGGTCTCACAACCGGCGCTAAAAATGGGCCACAGGATGAGGACATTTGCCGGGGAGAATGGTCTGATTGCCTGGACGTTGTCAAGAATGGCCGCGACCTGCGCCCTGACCTTAGCATGACGTTTAGGTAGCAGTTCGACTCGGCGATAGAGATGCAAAAGTGCGGAGTGGATGAAGGTGAGATGTGTGTTGTGCAGTTCAGATGCGAGCACTTGATCATGGGAGGCGAGCGTGGCCGCTGATGGAGCCTGGTTGGCAATGGAGAGTATTCTCCTCTCCAGATCCTGCGCGTCATGTGTCAATTCCTCGGAAAGGGCGGAGGATGGCTCAGTAAAGGTTTCTAATATTGACTGCTCATGCACATTCCGCCGCGCCAGCTGTCCGATTCGCGCCAGCAGAGGCATTAGCTGGGTTGAGTAGCCACAGATCTCATCAACGTGGCCATTGCCGCAATTGGGATTCCGAGTCAGGTTCCAGTACTGCCCATCGTTGACACATCCTTCATGTGTGCCTGAGAGGCCCGCCAGGATGTCGAGAGTAGCGAACCACTTGAGAAGACACAACGAAAACGGGTCAGTATCACCGTCGGCTGTCCTCTGCCTCTCAAGCAAGGCCGTGAGTAATTGCATTACCCCAGACAAATGGACCTTCCAAGTTCGAGCATTGCCATTACACACATCATTGGTACATAATACCATCGCTGTCATGGCGGTTTCAGGCTTGAGAGTCTCGGTAGGATCAGCCAGTGCAGCACGGAGACCCGTAACTGCGAGGTCGGTAAATTTCAAGATTGTCAGTTGACTAGCTGAAGGTTCCTGGACAAGCCGAGCGTGATGACTGCACGAAGCTGCGAGAAGTGCGTGCAGAAGATGCGGCGTTTCCAGCGCAGTGGCCACCAATGTCTGACCAAAGACAGGCGGGGCAAGAGGGAAAAGAACTCGAATCGTCTGAGTAGCAAAGTGATGCATGAAAAAGTGAGAGTCGGTGGGTGTCAGACACGCCAATGGATTGAGCGATGCTCGGAGTGGTATGACGCTCCTTTCGGCTGGTGATGGGTTTCTCGACTTGCCACGCACTGGAGATGATTTTCTACAGTGACTCCGAACAGCGACAAAGCTGGAGTCATATCTGCACTCTTTAGGGAATCGGATGCATCTAGAGCACACTGGCCTCCGGAGGTCACACTATTGTAGATGAGCGAGAGCAGTTATTGAGGGCAGTCACATGGACATACTTTCACTTTTTTGCGTCGGCATTCGGAGCAGCCATCGCGTCTGCGAGGCAAACGGAGGCTCTGAGGGTTGTTACCGGGACTTCTGCCAGCCATTAAAGGGCAAGATGATGGATTATGGATGGTTGACGGCTGAACGATAATTCTGCCAGTTGATGCTGGGAGGAATTGAGACGGCGGCTCACAAGAGCAGAGCACGTGCCCAGGAGACAAGACTTGATGCCTCAGGCAGTGACAAGCAGTTCTCTCCCTGACACTACGCACTCTTTAGCATTGTTTTACGAACACTCGCCGACTGTTCACTGAAAAGCCAGAATTACTGACCGACCCTTGTAGAGTAACACCAGGGCGCGATTGATATCAGATCGATTCACTATGCATCTCAATCAACCTATGGTGGAGGCAGGCATAAAATACTTTGGCTGCGGATCATCATTCGGCCATCACATTCACTCTTGTCACCGGCCCTTTATATACCTTTTTCGCATGTAATTGGTAATACACCAGAGAGACTAGAATGACGCCTCCGAATATTACCACGCTCCAATTCATTGTGGTTGGATTGACCTTCTCGGTTAGAGGGAAGAAGCTAAAGACCCAGATGATGATCAGAACCAGAATGGAGACGGTGTCGACAAAGGGAGTAAATCTCCCCATGCTCCAGCGGGCGGGAGGTAGAGGCTGGTGGCGCCAGCGACGCAGGCGAACGCAGGTGATGGAGATGATGTATGAGGAAAGGAGAGCCGCCGTGCCTAGAGACATGATGGCATTGAAGGCCACGGACGATCCAATATTAATCAGGGAGAGAAGGGAGACAATGACCAAGCTCACGCATAACGCGTTCAGGGGGACGGTGAAAGTCGGGTTGACCTGCGAGTCGTCATTAACACCATCCACCATCCACTGGGGAAAACACCGACCTTTGACAGAAAATCCGAGAATGGAAGCCCCTTGTCTCGTGCAAAAGCATAGACCTGGCGAGATGTGGTGGCAACGTTGCTGATGGCTGCGCAGAACTGCATGGCCATGATGACCACTGTCATCCCAGTAGCAGCTCTGACGGATCCTGTCGAGTTGAGGAAGACTTGGATGAATGCAAAACCTGTCTGGGATTCCAGCACATGGTCAATATCCCCAACGCAGAAGGCGAGTGTAACGATCATGACAAAGCCAGTAGATCCGTTGAGGATAAGCGTCCAGATCATGCCAAGGGGGAGAACTCGCGATGCGTCACGGATCTCTTCAGCTAATTCATCACATCAGTTGTCTATCATCTGTGGGGGCTCGGAATACACCTACACATGTGGACGGCTGAGTCAGGGCCTTTGATTTGTACTTATTGTCAGCAGATGACACCTCGCGTATCTTGGGATACCCGAACGTACCGATCAAGGCATAAATGGGTCCGACCAACCCAACCAGACAAGCAAGACCGTTATTTCCCCAGCCGCCTCGATCTTCGATGGATCCAAAAACTTCCGGTGCTGTCGGTCTCGGCGAAAGCACCCAAAGAGGAATCAAAATGCCAAAGAATCCAAAGCAATGGATAACCAAGATGATCCCCTCGATCAAGGGCAGTTTCTGCGCCAGCAAGGTGTTGAACAGCAACGCAACCAGCGCCACTGCAATGACCAGCAGTGTGACATGCCATGGCTCGTAGATATAGGTATCGGGGTAATTGATGGCGACCACCCCGACCATCATGTTGGCGACTGTATAGCAACATCCGGCAATTCCAGTGTGCCATCCAAGCACGCAGACCCAGCCGGTTATGTAGCTCAATATGCACTGACAACTGGGAGGTGCAAATTCGGATACCCAGTGATATTGGCCACCGGATGTTGGAGCCCTATTAGTCCCTTAGCAGTGCGCCTGTGGAAAGAGAATCATTGTAAGGGAATACATGGATGCCATTTCAGCCATGGAGAGAATGACAAAGGTGAAACCGGCGACAACTCCTAAATAAGTGTATATCATGCCTCCCTTGCCGCCATTGATCAAGCCATTGGATGCACCACTATTTCGATCAGTATTCCTCCTCATCTCACGTTTTCGAGCTGACGGGGGAGAAACAGACAAGAGAACTGCTTCCCAGGTACACATCAACACCGCCGTAAACCCAAGAACTGACAGAAATCGGAAATTGCGCTACTCGTATTCAGCCAATACTCGGTGCTGTTAGATGTTGTCCTATACATTCAATTCCTGCTGCCTTCCCACTCGCCGCATATCTTTACGATCTTGCGCTGTTCCCATCTTTGCAGACACCCCATCTTCATGGGCAGTGGTATAGACCGCTGACTTATTTTTCGCCCACATCCTGATTCGATAGGCAACCATTTCCGACTGAAGTCGACGAACAAACAAAAGAACCGCGAATGGTAATTGTGGATGTTAGAAAGAGAGAATAGAAAACAGATGAATGTTCAGGGGCGCCAGATGTCGGTGCAGAATTGATTGAACCACCATAGTGCAGAAGTTCTCACCGCACTCAATTGTGCTAAGCAAGGGTATAGTGTTCGTCGTCATATCAAGCCGGACAAATACGACCAAGTCCAATCCTGAGCCTACTCTCCTGTAGGGCCTTGCAGGGGTCGTGTCTGTGTTTTCTCCCGTCCCAGACATCTTATTGCACACAATGACCATTTGATATAAAGCCAGCTAATGGTTGGCTGAACCCCTGCCTAGTCTCCGCGACGGTGTTGTGACGGCTCCTCGTCTTGTCTGAATCAGTGGCCATTTCCTTCTAGGTGCGTCCTTTACAGGGAATTTTCGGTCCAAAAATGGTCGATCACTCGACTATCTCTCCAGAAGATTAACTGTATATTACAACCCCTGTTAGGCTGTTTGAGGAAGACAGCTCGAGGTTGGGCCGCGGGTCCCGAGATTGCAACGCTGCCCATCGTATCCAAATCCGAGAACACTCATTCTCGAGAAGGGATATCATCCTTGCAATGGCTGAATAATATCAAAACTCCATTTGTACTTCTTCTTCCGGCCTCAACCATGTCTGTTTGTACTTATATCAACCTCTAGAGAAGTTTGCGTTTCTGTTCCATCATAGAAGACACCCAATATGACGGGTGACGCGCCCTTCGTGATAACAGCAACGGATCAATCCGGTTCAATTGCGGTTGCAGCAACACTGTTCATGTCATGGATGGTCATTGTCTGCTTGATCCGTCTCTATATGAGGCTCACCATGAATGGGCCATTGGGAATGGATGACTGGGCTGCTTTCTCTGCCGGCGTAAGTCAAGCCTCAAAGATTAAACTTGGGCAGATTGAAGTGTACTAAACGCACTGACGGTCTTGCGACCAAGGCTATTGGGATAGTCCATGTGGTGATAATTATGAATGGACTTTCCCATAGCCTAGGCAGATCGCATCAGGCCAGTTCCGACTCCGAACTTGAAAAGGCTGGGGAGGTGTGTTTGCCTACGTTGTAGATTTGCAGAATATTACGAATTTTTTGCTCATAACTTACTTCTGTAGGCGTTGTATACGGCAAATATTCTGTTGTTCGCCGGTCATGGTTTAGCGAAGATATCAGTTTGCAGTCTTTTACGACGACTCGGTCGAGAAAAGGTGTATCGCTTGCTTGCAAAGCCAGCCTTCTTATCACGAGTCTCTGGTGCATCGCTTCCATTCTGGCAGTAGCCCTGAGCTGCCCCGCGAGATACCTGTGGTTCGCGGAAATTCACTGCCGTAATCTTGTAAGCTCCTCTCAAGTGTGGCCGGACATCATGGACAGAGCTGAGAATCATGATATAGAGTACTGCTTCGGAAGCAATTACAGCCTTTGACGTCCTAACCGAGGCTCTCCTCGTTCCTCTTAGCGTGTCCCTCGTATGGGCCCTTCAGATGCGTCGAAAAGACAAAATGACTGTCATCTTCGCTTTTGGTACTCGGATAGTGTATGTCAAGTCTCCCAATGCGCTGGACTAAAGAATTAACCAGATTTCCGTTATTGTCAGAGTGATCATTTTGACGATAGTCCGCCAATCCTACCTCAATACCGCGATCCGAGAGAGAGACCCTCCCTTGTCTCTGGCCCCCACACTGATTGCGACAGAGGTTCTATTGCACTCTAGCATCATGCTAGCAACGGTTCCGTGCCTGAAGCCATTTATTATTGCCTTTAATACGGGTTGGGGCCAGGGTGTCGCAGGGACTCCTGGAACATCGTACTACAAAAAGACCGAAACAAGCACATCCAGACACCCCAAACAAGGAGAATGAGTTAGATGGGGCTATGACCACACAGTCTCTAGAGAGTTATAACTCACAGCAACTGATCATACATCGAACGCAAGAGTGGAGTGTAAGGGAAGAGTTGGAGATGCGACCGATAGGAGGCTGATCTATATCACTCGGATAGAAGAGAAGACAGATCGATTCGTCTATATCTTCACTTATAAATCGATCTTTTCGCGAGAGTCCTTCCTTCGCAGGACACGCGAACCTTAATTCTTCAATTGTGACTCTCTAACCATCGGAAGAGCCCCTTGTAGATCGACCTCGACATCCGTTCGCTCACGGTGTTTGACTCCGACTCTGTTGACAAATTTTGACTTATTAGATTAGATCTTGACATGCTGGTGACTCATCCAGACTAGCGACGACAGGGCGCTGGATCTATGCTGATCCAATGGGGCTGTGATTGGGCTGACGAAGAAGGGGTTCCTGCTTATGTGGATGCGCACCAAGCTGCTGCTCCTCTTTATCGAAAGTTCGGCTTCCCACAATAGAACTGCTTTTCTCCGAAGAACTTGTTTCGCTCTTTGTCAAGCATCCCGAAGAGCGAATCGCAAGCCTGATGATCGGATTCCTCATGCCAGGGGGGAAATTGCGGTCCACTTTGCTGCGGATTCAGATCCCATTCGGCATATGCGACTATAAAACCAGGCGAAGCGACATCACCACCTTGAGATACCTTCTGTGTGGGTTATGCAGTATATCCTTCCGATGTGCTTCATTCCACCACTGCCGGACTCCTGGGGTATCTGGAAACATCTTCAGATTCTGCGGGATGTTGAAGGCATTATACCAGAGCTCAGTAATTGCGGAAATGTCCCCCGACTTGACGAGCTTTATTTCCAAGGTGGATATTGTGCGATGCATGGTGTCTTTGGTGTTCTTGATTTCCCCAGTGACTCCAATGGAAGCGTGAAGATTCAGCGGGAGGCAGGGGTATGATAAAACCTAGTAATTTATCAGTTTAGCACACCTGGGCTATATATCCGCTCATGACAAGGGTCTGAGACGCTAAACCTAACTAATATTCTCTTGTCTCCCTGTCTAGCTCCAGTTTTCTTGGATCAAAAAATGAGTGGGATAACAAGTACTGCCGTGCCAATCCTGGTACTTGTTTCTCCAAGTCCAAAAGACATATGCGATCCGAAGGTAGACATGATCGTCTACGGGGAATAACCCTCAAAGCGGGTTATCTCTAGATGTCAGCTGGGCTGAGCTATCACCATCAATTGTTATCAACGATAGTAAATGATTAGACATACGCAACAAGAAAAGCAACTCGATTTTGGAGATCTCTGAAACTTCTACCAGGATGGACAAAATCTGCGATCCCAGTGCGAAAGGTCATTGGAACGTCTGCTGACTGACTCGGAACGCAGCCAGGGAACTCAAGGAACTGTCAGCGCATATGCAGAGCCATGGCTGGAATGGACGGTCCAGATGGCATCAATTTATTCAGGTATCCATTTATACCTATGCACTGTATGCGGACGAATTTCGTACGCACTGTCGACAACCGCTGAAGGACAATATTGAAGAATCTGCCCCAGAGTTCAGCCAGGTAGCTGTGCAGCATCCATATGCATAGAATTTTAGGTCACAAGTAGAGACGTCTCCTCGATCGGACGGTGTTGCTGGAATATGGAAGGATATGTTCGCCCTGTATAGATCCAGACTGCACAATCACGAACGTTGATGTCTGCGACTATTCCAGCAAAACCCATGAACACATCCAACATAGTTAATCTGGCTGCTGCCTGGGTCATCGCACTCACTGAGTTTGCTATCGAGCTGGAATTCCGAGAGATCAATGGACCTACTCACTCGGCGGTGCGAGTTCCACGCACGCTGGTGAATGTAACTAATTTATGTCGAACTATGCGTATGGACATTGCAGAAGACCAGCTATCTGGCAAGTCTGAAACAGTCCAACTAATCCAGAGACACTCCAGTCTAGCAATCACCAGATGCCTCGATGTCTGCTTAGCATCATCCGCTGATCCCCAAGGACATTGACCTTTTGAATTCTGCTCCTATGTAAGCATCACTGCCGGACACAGTCCGAATTGACCAGACCAGATGGTTTCCGATTGTATCCAGATTGGCCTGCAACACTTGGGTCTTCCACTTGTAAACTGTCCGAATACGATTACCCTGTTGGGTGGACTGACCTCCTGTAGAGGCGCTAAGAACAACTGCTCCATGCATGTATGAGGTCAATGAGTAGTCCCACGGGTGAAACAGTGAAGCAAGGATGGACCCCCCACAGGCAATTATAGAGGTGGTTCGACAATGCAGCAAGGCAAGGGTCGCCATGGTCTGACCTCAGCGTATGAACACGCCATTGTCTCTCGACGGGGCCAGGACCCAGAGAAGACCGATCCTACCCGCACAATTGAGAAGACCTTCATTTAGTGGTGACTGGACGGGTCCCACCGGTTGCGGCTGTTGCCGACGGAGAGGCCGCCATCAAAGTGTGGGAATGTAACTATTCTTGCCCTGTTATAAATCGTTGGTAAGATGAATAGTAATCATTATCATATAAGTAATAATCCGGTAGGCATATACGGTGGAAATTGGACGGGTTGCACTATCGATCAGCTGGTCAGCAAGGGGCACCGTGAGAATACCACCACATTGATGGCTCTGTCATCTTCGACGGAAGAACAGATCGGTATGTTCTTCGCCGCTTCGGTTCCCAACCTTTGTCGTGGATTCGAAAGAGTCAGGTGCTTGGCAGCAAGCCGGGGGATATATGGGGACCACTCGAAGAGAAACATGTCTTACTCCAGTCTGCTCTATATAGACCAGGTTCGTGTTACTATTGCTGTTATTTAACTATGACAGAGAATGAACCTGTCTGCCCCTGGTCACCTGAATAATGACAAGCTGCAGATCTGCACGATGATGTCGACCTGAAACATATCAGCCAATCAAATTGTGCCTTGGAATAACCGAGGCTATATATAGGAGTGTCAGTGAGGATCATTTCCTGTCTAGGTGTAGATAAGTTGCGGGGATATGGGTAACTGCGGATTCCATTGGAGGATTAAAGCATTCAAGCCATCACGTACAAAGTAACACTTGACCAATCATCTGCTAATCTTGTACTTCGCCCAGGAAGACTGAAGAATGTACTTGGAAGCAAGAGACACCCATGGCGAGAGAACCACCTTCGGAATCATCATATCCAACCTCAAAAGCTCCAAGTTGAAGCTATCTAGCAGCAGAGGTAAAAAGGTTACCAATCATGTATGTCTCCCCGCGGGTCCCCTAGTACTAGTGTGTGGTTTAGGACCTCAATCCACAGTACTAGACTGAGAGTGCTCCGTAGATAGTGGATGAAGTACTTCAGACCAGCAGAGGCTTGTCTCACTCAGGTTACATCGACTAAAGGGCATCAATATTCCGGAGGCACTCGTAGTGAGTCTCTGTCATAGTATAAAGACAGCATCTCCCCATCCAAACCTCTCGATTCTCATCCTCATCACAACATCATCTATCCTTTCTACATCCTTGAAACTCCAGGTTCCAAAATCCTCACCCGCACCACTACATCCATCATGAAGCTCTCTACCATTGCCTCTGTTGGCTCTCTCCTCGTCGGAGCCAAGAGCCTGCCCACTGCCCCGGCCAGTGACAATGGTCCCTTCCAGGTCATGGCCCTCCGCTCCGCCTCTCCCATCCACTTTCTCGGCATGACCGCTTCCAGAAACAGCTTTTGGCTGGGCGGCGAGACCACAACCTACTGCCCTGACGTCGTTAAGCAGCAGGGTGCCTGCCCCGACGGCACTCAAACTGTTCTTTATACCAACGCTTTGGTGAGTCTTTCACCTCTCTACCATGGTATTGCTACGAATCTCACTAATCTTTCATAGGATGTCTCGGTCCCCGGTGGCCAGCAAATCTACGTTGACCCCTCTGGTGCCGTCAAGTTCACCATCGCTCACTCCGCCAACATGCCCCCTGGCTCCACCGTCGAGGGTTTCTCCTACACTTCCGGTGACCCATTCGGCCACTGGAACTTCAGCGGCCTGGGCGCCACCGGCTTCATGGCTTGCCCTACTCAGGGCGATGCTCCTGCTCCCTACCAGGTCTTTGCTGCCATCAGCTCCGCGACCGTTCCCACTGGCAATGTCGCCGACTGCCTCGGATTCGATGCGGCCGCTATTGCCTGGACTCCTTCTGAGGGACAGACTGCAGCCGCTTGGCAGTACATGTAAGACTGGGACGGCATCTGTATGTTTTATTAATAATTTAATGGTATGAGTTATTGTTGCACGGACGGGTCCGACTGGTGAGAAGGGAGGGTGTCTTGTACATACTTGCATCATGGATATATATCTTGCTTCATAGCTTTCATTGAGCAATCAAAACTCTACAACAAATCTCAAGACTCCATGTCTAGCCCTTTTATCGATGCATATTTAAAGGATCCGACACCATTAATCACCATTAGTTTCACCCAAGAAATGAATTATCCATGGATATTAAGGTACGAGTATATTGAATCATCACGTGGCACTGGGACGCGTGACGTCAGCGGAGGAGGAACCATCATCAACAATTAATTCAACAACTCCCAGATATCATCTTGTTCATCATTTCTCAAGATTATAGCTCGATAATGGGAAGCTGGAATCAGCAATGATTCACAATGTACCCAAATGCGGCATCTCCACTGTCGCCTTCACAGTCTCCCACCACCTCCGAAGCCTGGACCCCAGCTCGGAGACCCAGCCTCGAACCTGAGCGGGAGATCCTATCAACACGGGGCCATAATCTCCCAGGACTACTTCGCCAGCGATCGCTTTCACTCCCGCCTGCTACTGCTCGGGATGAGTACGTCGTTGAGCATGGTGATGGAGCGCCCTTCCGGAGCAGACGCGAAAGTCTTCCAGTCTCTCTCAGAGGAATGGCCTTGATCGGAGCAAGTAATCCGATGTACCAATGGTACGAGACCTCGCATCTCGAACATGTGTCATATGTTTAACTGGTAGGACAGGCATCGCTATTATAAATGCCCCGAGGAGCTGAAAAGCATGAAGAAACACCTGTACGTCGACGTTCGTACACCCTCAACATCGTCCGGCCCAACTGACACTCGCAGGCGGAAATACTACGAACGCACCAATGAGCTCGTGTCACAGTATCTATACATCGATCAATTACTGGACTCGTCGCTGCCACACCAATTGATAGATGAATACAATCATGATCACGATAAAGTCGCCCACCTCTCGAGCAGGGGCCGAGGGCAGAATGGTGAGGGACCACCTGCAGACACCTCAACCCGGAAGATCAAAAGGACTCCACGCAACCTATACCGTGTTCCAAACGAACGGTCACCGCTGCTACCGCCAACCATCGAGGAGGACCCCCCGTTTCCCGAAATCCCTTCCCCGGATGCTGCTGAGCACGTCAACAGCGGCGATCGCATCGTCACCGTCGCCATCTATATCAACTTGCTCGCCAATGTGTTCTTGCTGGGTGCCAAAATCGCCGTCATGAGTTTGACGAGTTCTATGTCCGTGTTGGCCAGTTTGGTGGACGGCGCATTAGACTTTCTGAGTACAGTTATCGTGTGGACGACAACCAAGCTTGTCCAGCGTCAGGACCGGTACCGTTACCCCATCAGTCGACGGCGCCTGGAGCCTCTCAGTATCCTGGTGTTCGCGGTAGTGATGGCGACCTCGTTTGTGCAGGTGGCCATCACCTCGTTGGGGCGGTTGCTAGGTCCAGACCACGAACTGGTAAAACTCTCGCTACCAGCAATCTTAATCATGACTAGCACCGTCGTGGTAAAACTTCTCTGTTGGTTTTGGTGCCGATTGATCAAGAATACTGGTGTTCAGGCCCTAGCGCAGGACGCCATGACGGACGTGGTCTTCAACTTTTTCAGTATTCTCTTTCCACTGGGTGAGTCGTATATCTCTATATGTTGCCGACGCGAGCTGACAGATAATTAGTGGGCTTCTTTGCTAATTGGTGGTTCTTGGACCCGCTTGGTGGTCTCCTGCTCTCCGTCTACATCATCTGGAACTGGAGCGGGACCGCCGCCAAGCATATCCGCCATCTCACCGGCGCCGCTGCCTCACCCACTGATCACAGCGTCCTGCTGTACATGACCATGCGGTTCTCTGAAATCATCACCAAAATCCAAGATTTGAAGGCCTACTACGCGGGGGATCACCTCAATGTCGAAGTGGACATTGTTGTGGACGAGAGGACGAGTTTGCGCGATGCTCATGACGTCGGTGAGAGCTTACAGTACATGCTGGAAAGCGTGCCAACTGTCGACCGCGCGTTTGTGCATCTGGACTATGACCCGTGGAATATCCCGAGCCACATGAATCAGTTGGAAGCATAGTCCGTGTATTCGGGAGATCGCACATATCTTCGACTCTATGACCGGCACCCTTTTGTACATACATTATCTGACCGAATAACTGGTATGTGGACACCATTGGCGATACGGTATAGACACCAGACAGCCAATCACATATTAAATGCATTAGATAGAGAGGCGACATATAAGCCCAATCGCGTTCAAGTATGAAGGGTTTACATCAATCTAACAGGCGATGAACTTCACAGGCAGTAGATACTGTTCGGGTGTGGTCCTAATGCACGACTCAAGCATTCCGAGCATTATTAGTCCGCATGCCAGTATAGAAACCTGTGACGTGAGGAATGCGGCGAATATATCCAGCCTTGCACTCACGACGGACAGGACTTCTATCTACTGTTTCTGTCAACCACGTGTCCAATGACAGGTGCTGACAGCCTGACAGGTTACTGATCCTATCCACTCAAGCACGAGCTTATGGATACTATGCTTTATGTTATACACGCAGCGGGGATGGAGATCAGATATTTGAATATGCGAAGGACTTCGCGAGTCTGATGGAAATCGGCTTGTGCTACTGTTTACTGTTTGGTACAAGCCAAGTGATGCTGTCTCTACTTTTCGCGGTTCCAAGATACTTCGCTGCCTACTCCAGGTCTATGGCTTCTTCTTGGTCTTGCTTGAACAAGGATAACCACTGAGCACCTCAAGTATAACCGATGGACTTCGAAAGATTTATCGAATGCACGACTCCATGGCTGTTTACCTCTCGCATGAGGTCCGAGCATCCAATATCCGCCACAACACATCGCATTCTTCTCTAGTCTCACGAGTTGTTTATGCATTCCGCACAGATTAGAAAGCTCGTGATTCGACTATTCAAATTCAGCAATGTCTGATGATGGAGAAACCCCTGTAGGTGGGCTGGCCCGCGACTACATAATTGCGGGACTTGTTTCCTCTAAAGCGGACGCCACCTGGTGGCAGCAATCTACGTTCCCAGGTATTCCACGTTCTATACTTGCAGCCACAGACCTCATCATCACGTTTACCATAGATAATGGTGCTCGGAACACCGTTTCAGACACCTGCCAAAAGAAAAGAGCAATGTGCGAACAAGAAGCCGTCGCTAGGAATACGCGTCCCGGTAATCTGCCTGATTCTCTCCATCCCATGCTCTCTCCATGCTTTCCCTGCGGCCGGGTATCCCTTCCCGTCCTAACTTTGCCAATAGGGGCAGAGGGCAGATGTGCGACGACCCACGGATTCACAAAAGCGGCCATCTCGTGAACCATTGACTCGACAAGTGAAAAGGATCAAGTCGAGCCCCCGGCAGATCCAAACGCCTCGGCGGCAACCAGCAGTCCGAAAGGTTGACGAACGGCGGCTATCGGGGGACCAGGGCTCTCGCGACCTCCAAGCCTGTTATCCAGCTGACAGAGAACGGCCTGGGGTACCTCTACAAGACGATACGTCGCCCTGTGCTCGTGCCGCCGGGAAGAAGGACATTTTCCGACGCCGCGGACTGGTGTCGAAAGCGAGGAGCAAATTCAGTCACGCACAGCTGGGTATGAACGGGGCCGGACTTCCTCAGGAGCTGTCGGGGAAAGAGAATGGAGGCAGCGAGTCTGTTGGGTGAATTGTCAAGGCGATCGAGTTTCTGCATTGAGACGTAATTTATATAACACTGAGAATAGTTTCATTTTTGAAAGTAATTGTACTGGTCATTGACATCTCTAACAGAGGCAACCAGTGTAACACGCAAATGGATAGCTGATTATGCCAAGGGCGTGACTCCCTTCAGGGTCATCTTCCAGGATGGTAAGGTCAACAGAGCAAGCTGTCTAGAGCATGAAATAACGGGAGGATTCTGTGCTTGAAGGCCCTGTTGATATACACATCCCATGATCCCCCATGTATGTCCCTCAGAAGCTCGCCTATCTCAACAGGTTGTCTAGTGAATCAATTCAAACGGGGACAAGCTCCGTCGTCACTGGAAGGGAAGATGATAGCTTGATTCCTGTTTATTCTCGCCTGAAAACTGTATAGCGGTGAGTGCTTTCGTCACCATCTGAATACAACCAACATGCCATGGCCAAGATTTAGTCACACGCACTTCCAAGCATTCTCATCAGTGTACTTGCCAGGCCCCACGTATCGATTCCGCTTGGGATACTTGCAGTGCTTGCGGCGGTACTCTGTCTGACCATCAATGGACTTCTTGGAGCCACGCACATATTCAGGCGCAATACCCTTTTCCACCCACTGCACCATGGCCATCAATACGTTGTCCTGCGGGTCATCGCCGGCATATGTGGAAGATCCCTGGCCGATGGAAGCAGCACCAGTCCCCGGCGAACAATGTCCCATTCCACTGATGGGGAAGAAGCGATAGAACTGGTCCAGATCCGAGGGACTCAGCCCCATGGTATCAGCAACATGCTTGTAGTACGCCTTGGAGCTATCCGAGGTGATGATCGCATCTTCCAGACCGTGATAGTGCAGAACCTTGCCGCCAGCCTTTTGGAAACCGGAGATATCTCCGTCGAAGGTGGAGATCTGGAAGGGATCTTGTGCATCGGCTGCCGCTGCGTCGGCAAGCGTCCAGGTAGAGTGGTCCCAGTTGCTATCGTTGTAGACGACGTATTTGAACCAGTCGTCTGAATACTTGAACCCGTTTCCGCTGTAGTAGATGAAAGACGCGGCGAGCTCAGAGCCGGGCTGCATGCGAGGGTATAGCCATTTACCGTCTAAGCCATACATGGCGGAGAAAACCTCGTTAACGGTGTTGGCCTGCACACCCGTCAGGCAAGAGGTCTTGTTCACAGCCGTGGAATTGCAAATGAGGGTTTCGAAGATGGGCTGGCAGAGATCGGTATCCTCGATGGTACCATCGACGGCGCCATCGAGTGCATCGCATTGTCGGATAATCTCATTGTGGATTATGGACCACTGTGCGCTTGTCACAAATGTATCTGAATCAGGCGGCCCGGTGATTTTCAGGAATCGAGATCCCCAGTTGCATAGATTGACAAAGTTGAAGGCCGGTGCTCCAGCCACCACGCCGTCAAAGTCGTCTGGGAATCTCTGGATGGACTTCCACCCTTGCCGGCCACCTGTCGAGCAGCCCAGATAGTATGAATTCTTGTATCCTTGAGGATAGAATAGCTTCGTCAGTGCCTTCCCCACCACTGTCCCTGTGTGCAGGGCTCGGTAGGCAAAGTCCTCAATGACTTCGGGGTTGTTCAGAAAGTATTGGCCAGTGTCGCCAAAGTGGCCGTTATTGGTCCCAATCGTTGCGAACCCGTACTGACTAGCATAAATCATGTCCCCGTAACCCACGCCTGATGTCTGGTCAGTAAACGTGACCGAGATGGGAAAAGCGTCACGAACAGCCATTCAACCCTCCATTCCCTGTGCTCAAGAACCTTCCAGTGTAATTGCTGGGTAGCCATGCCTCCATGAAGAACTGGCTCTTGTCCGAAGTGGTCACGTTCAGTGCAACCTGGCAAAATTCAATCGTGCTGATCGATGAGCTAGAGGTCCCACCGCATATAGGCGGGTTATAGGCCATGGAGATATTGGATCCGATGGGAACATAAGTGGTAGAATGCACATGCACATTTTGAAGGTGGATTTCCTTGTGAAAATGTTGACAACGAGACTCGAAGCTGGCAGAGCTGTCAGTTGCAGCGGCTGAGGCCAGCCCGATCAGAAGAAACCACCGCATCATGACTGCAGCAAAGACAGCAGAGAGTAATACTATTCAGTGGCAGTAATCCCCAATCAAGGGGGTCACTTATGTATGCATATTTGTAGACCTGTCTGTCCCTGACCCCTGCTCCACTTCCCCGCATTGATATATTAACGGGGTACATGGATGCATCTTTTCTGCATCCTCAATGGTGGGAAATCCGGAGACTAAAAGAACATTCTTTCCATCGGCAGATCTTCATCATCTCCTGCCGCCGTGCCTAGGCTTTCTGTCTCGGGGGAAGACGCGTTGCCGTGCCATGCAGCCGATTCTACAGTCGGCGTGTCCTCCGACGCCCTAATTAAGCGGATCTTTATCCGTAACGTGGATGATTCGGAGTTCCATCGTCATTCCAGTTCCTTTTTGCCTAATTGCAAGCTAGAGGAAATGTGATCCAGGCGCGGCACCTATCAGTTCATCGGCTGGTTTTACTAAAAGGGCCACATTGAGTCTTCTGGCATTCCAGCTATGTAGTGCCTCGGTATACAGGTAGCTTGATTAGTCAAAGGAAGGAACCTATGCCCTCTTATCCTTTTGCGTCTTGTGCGCCCACACATAAACAAATGGATAGACCGTCTCTGGAATGAGAGTGGCAATAATAATCCCAATGCTCCAGGGTGTCCAGACATATCTCCAGTTCTGAGGGACATTAAAGTATCGCCAGAGGAAGACTCCATAGGCAGTGAAGCAGCCCAAGTACCTCGTGAGCCTGATCATTAGCAGTGACCTTCGACGTCATGCAGTGAACATACCATATTTCTAGAGAATGGCCCTTTGTGCTATGATCCTTCCACAAATGATACAGACATATCCACCCAATGGGAAGTTGCAGGATGATACCGGTCCAATACGCAGTGACCTGCTCTCGCTCATCAGGATATCTCCGAGTCAGCATCCAGAGGAATGCTATTCCCGCCAGACAGCCCAGGATCATATTCCGACGGAGGACCCGTCTCTCAGCCGGGGTATGAGCCTTCCGAAGCGCAACAATCGCAAAGCTCAGATCAAGCTCGAACCAAGCCAAAAACGCCAGCTTCTCAAAGCGAGTAGACGTAGTTGTGAAGGCATAGAAGATCTCATACGCCATTGTCAAACAGCTGCCATGTGTCAATCATTGTACGCAAAGTGCATGGGGTGGACGTACAGAAATTGGATACTTCCCCAGCGAGCACCTGGGTAGGACTTATCGGAATAGGTTCGTATCATGCAGAATATGTAGCAGAGTGCATAGAGCACACCGCAGCTGATGATGAGGCCATCTTGGACGAAGAGGTAACTCTCGGGTGGGTTCTGTCGCTCGTCGGCGGGTTGAACGATGAGATGCCGGACCTTGTGTGCGAGCTCGAAATTAGACATGATGGTCCTTGTTGATTCTGAAAATATACACAGAGGGTGAGGAGTGCTTTATAAAGCCAGTGGGAATTGACCTGATTTCTTTGTTCGATGATCGGATGTCCGGACTCCGGAGTCGGGATGACATCAGCCCTCTCGGCGAGTCTTCGAGTTAGTTAGTATGCATCGAGTGATCTCACTAATACTAATCCGGCCATAGCCATTCAGGTAATGCTATGCTGATCTAAGAGACTATATACATGGGAATCTCTGTGGCAGTGTCTGCCTTCACCTGTTAATCGTACCACTTCTAAACCAGTGCCACCGTCGGGTTACTTTGAAGAATAAATGGATCAAGGACGAGACTTTCGCTATGCCCATGCTCCAACAAGGCTCATGCAGAAAGCGCCCATGAACACTAGTATACATGCGAAAACACGTTTGCGGCCCCTAAGAACACGCCAGCTTTCATCACTGAGAAAGTCCTCCGACATTAATTCGACCAGCGAGGCGAAGATAAGAAGACCAGACGAGATTGCATTCATGGTGCCCACCAGGAGCAGTCCTACTTCTGAATCTGGGCTGTAGAGGGTGTGCGTTGCGAGGCCTATTGCCTGACCGATGGGTGTCCTGAAGAGAATCAGCATCTCAAGCAACGTGAAAGAACACGAGATCAAGGACTCACGTGCATCCGTATGCCAAGGACATAAGCCATGGCTGGATGGCTTTCTCCGGCCAGTCGAGGGCAGCGATGCGAGAACCCAATGCGAGACCCTCGAATGTTTCTATCTGATGTTAGCTGGATTCAAACAAGTACCCAGGAAGAGAACATACGATGGAATACGATGGCGATCAACAGGATAACAAACTCGCTGCCTACCGACACACTGAGTGACATGCCGATGAATACGCTGTGAAAGAGGATGCCCATTTCCAACAAGAAAACCTGCATGACGGCCTTTTTGTGTTTTTGCTCTGGAGTAAGGGCGAGATCGTCGCTTCGTTCCACGTCCTCGATTGGCTGTGCTTTGCTTTCTGGAAATGTTTGCATACCTTCAGGAGCAGAAGCAATCCGCATGATGCGATCGGATTCTTCACCCATACGGTTGATCGTCCGACTCACGCTAGTTTGCCTGCCAATCAATGGGCCGAGGTCACGCAGGTGCGATTGACTTTCGACCCTGGTGCAGACAGGTCGTTTGACCTCATCTCGGTATTCTGAGTCTCTGGCGACAGGGACATGGGAGTTGCAGGCACCCCTTTCGGACAGAGATGTCTTTTGCTCGGAGACTTTGAGCCCTCCACGGCACACATGTCGTGCCGGACTGAAGACCATTTCGACCAGAGTCACAAGAAAAATGCCTGCTAAGGCAATGGCTCCCGGCATGGCGGGGTAGTTGGTGGTCCAAAAGTCAGACAAGCAGGGATTGTTGAGAGAAGTAAATGCAGTCGGGAGCAGATGAACAAATGCGGTGGCAATGAGGACGCCCGTTCCGAAATGGCTGAACGTAAAGAGAACTGATGGGGGGATGCGTAGACGAGGGAACCATGTTGCTAGTACAGGAAACGCACAGGCCAAGGTAGAGACGCTCAAGATGATGAAGAGCGCGCCAATGTGGAGAGAGGTGTCATATTCGCTGTTCTTGACGCCTCCTGCGGCGCATGTGGATCGTTTGATGAGTTTTGCTTGGGTTTTGACTGCTATTCCTGGTCATTATTATCCGGACAGTCTGAAAAGGGAACACTGTTACTTACCTGTTGTATCAGAGACCGAGACGGTAGAGCCGAAGTACCTTCCCAGGCTCTCATGGGAGATGAGCGCAGAGGTGAAGAGAACTGATAGCAGCCACCAGGCCCAGCTCTTGATCTTTTCAAGTGACGATCGATCAAGATGGCAGATACGATAGATTTGACTAGCAATGTTGTTGTTTTGAAAGTAGTTGGGGCGTCCTTTTAGATGTCAACAACGATGCATGATCTAGTGAGTCATTGGAAACCTACCTGACGGTGTCAGTGACGCCCCAAGAAACTTTGACGTATTCCCAATTGGAGTATTTCGTCGTTCAGGCATAGTTTGGGTGCCGTCCCAGCTCGTCGACGAAACGGCATCCAGCCCAGGGCCCGATCTGTACACGCGGGCATTGGTGATGCCGTTGAAGTCTTGGCGGGTGGTCAAATCAGGCGCCAGAGAAGGGGGATTCTGATTCCAGTCGCAGTGTAGAAGAGTGTCGTCGGTTCGGGAGGGACAGTTCATGTTGATAACCCATTTAAGACTTCTTCATGGTCGAGTACCAATCGATAGCAGTAGAATTGAAGGAGAATCCCGAGAATCCTGCCAGGCAAAAGTGTGCAGAACCGCCATCTTAATACGTAATATAATCGGAAGGGATTGATTCTTGGCTCCATCACCACATGGCTTGGCATCGGAATCAAATTCGCCTTCACAATAGATACAGAAAGATCCCGTATCTATTACTGCGGGTTGAAACTCTCTCGACTATGATTCAGCCAGGATCCCTTGCACAATATCACTCAGCTGGAGATGATACATCTCAATTATGCCCGGCACAATGTGTTGTCGTCCAGCCATTTGTTCTTTTACTGCTTCGACCCGAGGTCCTTGGCGTCCCACTCCGGTTTCTCCCATAACGGACGCTCACTTTCGCTGGATTTCCCCACAGTTCTTGTGGTGTGCGCGTGTGATGCTGCCTAACATTTAAATACTGACTGTTGTGTGTCTGTGGAATGGGAGCATGTTAGCTTGGAATGATCACTGCTTACTACATATTATGTTAATAGACCATTTATATATATGTCGAATCAGATGACGGTGATTAGCAACCAAAGGCTGTGCATGCGCTATACATTCAGTCATATTCGGAATCAGATTCCACAGTCAACCATCCATAGCCGATCAACACTTTGAGTATTGAACTCGCACTTAAACCAAATCTCCTACAAGGCTTTGAAAGAAATGGCTGTTGTGAAGCATCCGGAATGATCATGGCATCTGGCATTTTCAGCCACCCCACTTGCCGGACTCCATCCATACCATTGCCACGTAAATACCTGTCCAGCTCCACAAGACATCGGAACCAAGATGCAGTATCACGGACATTGCCTCGTTGATTCAGCGGCCACCGGAAAACTCCTCTACGCCAATGTTGGCCTGAGTTTCTGGGCCGGCGTCGACTCCCAGACTGGGGAGATCATTGACCGCCATCATCCTCTCCACGGACAATCGGTCAACGGTCGCATATTGGCCATTCCGTCCAGCAGAGGATCATGTACCGGCAGCATTGTGCTAATAGAGCTGCTGTTGAATAAATGTGCCCCGGCGGGGCTCATATTCCAAGAGCCGGAGCAGATCATCACACTAGGGGTCATCGTGGCCAAGACACTCCTCGACCTCTCGGTTCCAGTACTTGTCCTTAAACCAGAGGAATTCCAGTCGCTAAAAGAATATAAATACGCTGCAATTACAGGACCAACCCTCCAAACCGGAGAGCACCCCCTCCCACCACCCACCTACGAAGCACCTTCGTCTCCCCTATCAAGGACCCTGGACCTGTCAGAAATCGACGAGGCAATCCTCCATGGCGTCCGTGGAGCAGCCGCCCAAAAAGCGATGGAGATCCTCCTGAGCTTTGCCCAGATCCAAGGAGCAACAAGACTCATCGACATCTCCCGCGCCCACATCGACGCCTGCATCTACACCGGGCCCGCCAGTCTACGGATCCCGCAGACCTTCCTGTCTCTCGGCGCTCGCGTCGCCATCCCATCCACGCTGAATGCCATCTCCATTGACCGGCGCCGGTGGAGGGAAATCGGCATCAAAGAAGAACTAGCTATCCCCGCCGACCAGCTGGTGGAGACCTACCTGGCCATGGGCGCGCGGCCCGTCTTTACTTGTGCTCCGTACCTGCTTGAGTCTCCCCCCGCGGCAGGGCAGGATATCGGATGGTCCGAGTCCAATGCGGTGGTGTTTGCGAATAGCGTGCTTGGTGCGCGGACGCAAAAGTATCCCGATCTGATCGACGTGTGTATTGCTTTGACGGGGCGGGCTCCCTTGGCGGGCGGGCATGCGGATGAAGGACGGACGCCATCGGTGGTGGTTGAAGTCACGGATTTCCCTAAGATTGATGACGCAGTATGGCCGCTGTTGGGATACCAGATTGGTCAGTTGGCTGGGGGTGATATACCGTTGATTGTTGGGCTGGAGCAGACAAAGCCTCGTATTGCTGACCTCAAAGCGTTCGGGGCGGCTTTTGCGACAACGGCATCCGCCTCGATGTTCCATATGCGAGGTGTGACTCCGGAAGCGACCAAGTTCGAGGGACTACGGCAAACAGCGAAGCGGATTCTCGTGCACGAATCCGACCTTGTGCGGACGTGGGAAGACTTGAACACCGCTCAAGGCTCGTCAGTTGGGTTGGTGTCGTTGGGGAATCCGCACTTCTCGCTGGAAGAATTCGAATCGCTGTCTCATTTCTGCGCCGATCGCAAGAAAGATCCTTCGGTGCAGATGATGATAACAACCGGTCGGGAGACCTACGAGCTCGCGGCTAGCCAGGGCTATATTCAAACATTGGAAGCATTTGGTGCAGCCATCATTACTGATACCTGCTGGTGTATGATCCGAGAGCCGGTAATACCCCCACAAACTGTCAATCTTATGACGAATTCCGCCAAGTATGCGCATTATGCGCCAGGAATGGTGCAGCGAGGAGTGCATTTTGGAAGCCTGGCACAGTGTGTGGTGGCCAGCTGCACGGGCTATTTTGGTGGAGAGCCATCATGGAAGCAAGACTGTACAGCATGACTGTGATATACATGAGCTCAGCTAGTTATGACCCCGCATCTCCATAAAGCCGGGTTCGCAGTGCTGTGCCTGGCTACAGTCTCGTTCCACGGGTCGGAATCAGGTACCTGTTAAATGCAGTTACCATGCGAGGATGAGTTGTATACTTGATGACGGAAGAATTACCACCATACAACCTAACAGCCCACCACTTTATACAAATATTTGAAATGAGAATCGGGATATCAACCATATCCGCATCAAGTTAATATATTCAGTCACCCGTTTACACCCGTTTCTACCCTCGATATGCGCCACGGATCAGTCCTCGTGGCCATCATGGCTACCTTGTTTGCATCACAAGCCACGACAAAGCAGGTCCCCTCAGCTCTCAAAGCCTTCTACAACAAGGCCAGAAGCGGCGGCGACTGCACCGGTGCCGACGCTCTCCAAAACGGCTTCTACAACACAGAATGGAGTGGCGGCCACACAACCTACTGCACCAAGTACCTCCCACCCGGCAAGGGCTTTTACCTCAAGGGTCCCGGGTCCGACCTGGCGAACATGGACATCGACTGCGACGGGAAGCAGAGCCGCGGCGACGGACGCTGCAAGTCGTCGACGGACACCCAAGGCCAGACACGGTGGGGTTTGAAACACCTCGAGAAGCACGGGGTGAGGGATCTCAACGCAAACATCCACCCGTATGTCGTCCTCGGGAACGAAGGCAGCTACAGCCCAACGTTTGATCCGCGCATGGTCGGCGTCGAGCCCCTGAGCATCGTGGCCGTCGTGTGCGGCGACGAGCTCGTCTACGGGGTCTGGGGCGACACCAACGGGGACGACAACGAGCACCCCATGGTTGGAGAAGCCAGTCTGGCGCTGGCGACCGCGTGCTATGGCCCGAGCATCAGCGGTAACAGCGGTCATGATGAGGCCGATGTGCTGTACATTGCTTTTGCGGGCATGGAGGCAGTGCCTGCAAGGGCCAAGTGGGATGCAGACAGCTACGAGGCGTTCGAGGACAGCATCACTGCGCAAGGGGACAAGTTGGTCGCGCAATTGTTTGGCGATAAGTCAACAGCGACCGGTGGCTCTGATCCCCATCACACCTCGGCTTCCTCGATCGACAGTGACAGCGACAGTGGCAATGACGATGATGACGACGATAACACAAAACACAGTCACAAGTCCGGCGGTGCACGACGGAGCACAATACCACGAGTTTGCCACATCATTTTGATCGCCTTGTTCGCCCTCGCCTGATTCGTCGATTCGCAATCTATGAGATCTGCAGCGGCATGTGCGATTTGCTTTGGTAGAAATGATTGAAATTAAACATACACAGAGGTTTTGTAAATACTGACGATCTTGCTGCAAATTTTGATTTTCATGTGAAATGGGCTCTGAATGATTTGCTTGTGTGCCATCCTTTTGCTCAGATAGTCCATAGTCGATGATGTCTTCAACGTTCCTCGATCTCCACATACATCACCGGCCTTTCCGGGCGTGCCGAAGCCTACAGAATGGCCAGCAATCTATGATATAATAGACTGCAGCAATATTATAAATAGACTCCGATTCTACTAAGGTCCTCATGTTTATCCTCACCGTCAAAAATATCCGTATATAAACGTAAACGAACAAAATGGGCATCGATTTCACCGTGTACAAAGGCTCCTCCGATGGCTCCATCAAAAAAGCCACCACCCACCGCGATGACCTCCAAGGCGACTCGGTCCTCGTGCGCATCACCCATTCCGGTGTCTGCTTTACGGACGTGCACTACATGAAGGCCGACATGGCGCTCGGCCACGAAGGCGCAGGGGTGGTCGAGGCCACCGGCCCGGACGCCAAGCACCTGAAGAAAGGCGACCGGGTCGGCTGGGGCTACGAGCACGACTGCTGCGGGAGTTGCAAGCAGTGCCTGACGGGATGGGAGACGTTCTGTCCCGAGCGCAAGTTCTACGGATACGCCGATCAGGACCAGGGCTCGTTTGCGACGCACGCCATCTGGCGCGAGGCCTTCCTCTTCAAGATCCCCGATGCGATCAGCAACCAGGACGCGGCGCCGCTGATGTGCGGCGGCTCGACGGTGTGGAACGCCATGGTGGTCAGCGAAGTGAAGCCCGTGTCGCGCGTGGGGATCGTGGGAATCGGGGGCCTAGGCCATCTGGCCATCCAGTTTGCGGCCAAGATGGGCTGTGAGGTGGTTGTGTTCTCCAGCAGCGACAACAAGAAGGAGGAGGCGATAAAGCTGGGCGCGTCGGAGTTTCATGCAACCAAGGGCGCCACGGAGCTCAAGGTCAGCAAGCCGCTGGACAACCTCATCATCACGACGAGCGCACAGCCCGATTGGAAGCTATACCTTCCTATTCTGGCGCCAGGCGCGGTCATCTCCCCTCTGACGGTGGACGAAAAGGATCTGCAAATACCATACATGCCTCTGCTAGCCAGCGGGATCCGTATCCAGGGCAGTATAGTTGCAGCTCGCCAAGGCCATCGGGACATGCTCGACTTTGCGGCACACCACGGCATCAAGCCGATCATCATGACGTACCCGATGAGCGTGGAAGGAATCCAGGATTCTCTCAAGACGCTGCAGGATGGCAAAATGAGATATCGTGGGGTTTTGGTTGCAGACAAGCAGTAATTAGCAATATCATTACGGCAGTGAATATAGTTAGAAATTATTCGTTGCATTCCGTTTGAAGCAATTGTTTGTAAAGATCTTACGCAGAAGCCCAGTCCGTGGATTTCTGAGGATGCTTGTGTTTACCCTATATACTTTTAATATGCAACAAATCTGCAACAATGGCCGGTTGGTGTAGTTGGTTATCACGTATCGTTAACACCGATAAGGTCGCCGGATCGAGCCCGGCACTGGTCATTTCTTTTTCGACCTTGACTTTTTGGCCCCATCGCAGCTTGGATCTTTTTCTTTTTTATTATTAAATTATTATTGGCAATTGATGATGCTGGATCGGCCAGTTTTCAAAGTATATTCCGCTACGAGATCAGGGAGGCAGATACCTATGTTGATCCATCACCTCGTCCTTTCCTTCATCCTTCGTCAAGTACATCAGGTCGATGCTTGCATGAATTAAGCAATATTACCACCAGCGCAAAAAGGGAGTAATGCATTGATGTCGCACGAAGCTCCGGAATGTGCAGTGTCTACGGAGTATACGAAGATAGATAAGACAAGCATGTTGAAAGGAAACGGTGGAACCATAGTCCAAATTAGCCTGGACCATGTTGCAGATCCCCAAGAAAATGTCGACCTGTTTCCCCAATTTCTAATCAGGGGTCCATATCACAACTGCAGAACGAAGGATCCCCAGAAAATCCTGCGGTTTCAAAAGGTCTAACGCTCTGCTCTGTTCGTTACTGGGTTTCTGATCCTGATTCTAATTGAGTGGGTACTCTTGAAGTTGTCTGCCTATCAATGGCGTCATAAGTATGACGGTCATCAGAGGCCAGAACTTGGCCATCCATGAACATCCTTATGGGGATGAACAGCTTAAGCGGCAGAAATGATCCAATAGGGATGAGTCGTTACGCACGCAGTCTGAAATAGCGCCGGAGTATTGGGGCTGCTCCAGATCCCGCTGGAGTCGATGGATGGGGCAGACGCTATTATTGGCTTCGGGAAGGCGCCACTTCAAGGTTATTGCTGAGTGGCACGCGTCCTGCGGGGCCATGGGACAATCAGACCTGTCTCGTTTTGGTCCTTAAATGCACCGAGTGAGCGTCAACTCTGCTGTCGTGTGGGTGTGTGGATTTGACAGCCATCTCTCCTAGTGACAGCATTGCGCTGATGCCGCTTTTTCAGCCTTGGACCCGTCCTCCATCGCGACGGATTTACCTCCTCTCACCTGTCATTGGGCTTCTTCTGGTTTACTTTTTCTTCTCCTTTGACACGGACGTGTTCATTCCCCAGGTCGTCGTCACCCCGATCTCACCACAACAAGAACAAGCCACATGCCCCCCACTCCCAGGCATTGAGGATGTTCTGGTTATCCTGAAAACTGGCGTCACAGAAGCACTAGATAAAGTGCCGGTTCACTTCCAAACAACCCTGCGATGCATTCCCAATTACGTGCTATTCTCGGACTTTGAGGAGGAAATCAACGGAACCCGCGTGCACGATGTCCTTCGCAACGTCAACGAGACTATCAAACGCACCAGCCCGGACTTTGATCTCTACAACCGTATACATGAGCATGGACGCAGCGGACTCACGCCGGCCGACCTGAGCCGCGTCCCCAACACCGCATTCGGAATGCCCGACAACCCCGGCTGGAAGCTGGATAAATGGAAGTTCCTCCCAATGATCGACGAAACGCTTCGGGTCCGTGACGATGCCAAATGGTACGTCTTCATGGAGGCCGACACATACTATATCTGGTCGAATCTCCTGCAGTGGCTGGCGAAACTCGATCCGAACAAACCTTACTACCTGGGTAATCCGACGCAGATTGGCCCTGACATCTTCGGTCATGGCGGGTCGGGATTTATACTGTCGCGCGAAGCCATGCGTAGAGCGTCGGAACTACGAGCAGAAGACCTCGACGGGTGGGACCGATATACCGGGGAGCAGTGGGCCGGTGACTGCGTGCTGGGGAGACTACTCCATGACGCGGGTGTACCCTTGTTATGGTCGTGGCCCATGCTGCAGTCAAATACTCCCGCGGAGTTTGATCACTTTTCTGAGGCTTATTCCAGAAAGCCGTGGTGTTTCCCTGCGGTTTCATATCACCATGTGACGCCGGAGGATATCCAAGAGCTAGTGAAGTTTGACCAGAGGTTCATGCACAACGTAAGTTCTTCGTCAAATGTCATGTGAAGATTCAAAATTACTAACGGGAGTAGAATTCTGTCATATTGCACAGCGACGTGTTTCGTCATCTCGTCCACTCACAGTTCAAGCCTCTACAACCCGACTGGGATAACCTCTCTGACGAGGAGCATGTCATTGGTGCGGCTAGCTGTCAGGAGATTTGTGCGAGCGAACCTGGATGTCTCCAGTATTCGTATGATGCTGGGAAGTGTCGAACTTCCAAAATGGCCAAAATAGGAGTCCCCAAGACTGGAGTTTCATCGGGGTGGATGACTGACCGGATTGACGCCATTGTGAAAGAGCTGGGCTCTTGCACGAAACCACAATGGGTTCTCCCATAGCTCAATAGACAATTTGTACATACTCGGATTCTCGTCAGGCTGGCCCTGTCTGTTATCTATCATGTCCTTACCACTCTTCTACATTATAGCATACATACAAGGAGCAATTCTGAAGCCATCATTCTTTCTCTCGCTTAGAGGCGACCAGCCTTTCAAAGTTCGATAATAACCGATGTCTGATGGCTTCGACGCTTCATCCGCACTTCAGTATCCTCCCATCTGTCGCAACACTCATAGCCATGCCCATTAGAATGCTGCCTCCTGTACACCAAGCGCACCACAGGCCATCGGGAAAGTGCTATGGGTTTGACACTCACCCCATATAGGCACAGTCGGCGACGTATGCATAAATACCGTGCCCACCATACCTATATCGAACGCTTTCTGTACAACGCATGCGGACAGGCTCAGGTGACTCAGTGTTTGACAAAACCCCTTAATTGTTTGCTATGTTGTGGCCTTCTCCGGCTACGTAAGTCAGCTCTTTGCTGCAGTTTCCCTGTGCAACCACTAAGAATATGCGTCACGGTACAGGATTAGATATAAAACCCAGCTTTGATCTGATCCGGATACAAAGGAAAATGATTGGGGCCTGTGTTGATCTGCAGATCAGCGAGTGCACGGTTCCACTCCCACGATGCGGGCAAAAGGGGTTGGGAGCCGCGGGACTTTATGGACTGCTAGGACGAGCTGGACAAAGTGCTTGAGGTGTTGGCATGAATAAATAGATTCGTGCAACTGCCATGATCATCACCTATCCGATCTAAAATATCTTAAGAGCTGATGTATTCATCAATTCTCTGCAGCAGGCAGCAGTTCAACATGTCGCACCTAGACACTGCAGGTTAAAGATATATAATGTTACGTTTCAGCAATCGGTTGTGTCACTAGCAAATTCACGAAGATGGTTACACTTGGGAACGGGAGACCCACGGAAGATAGCATTTCTAAGATAGAAACTGGGAGCTAAATCCGTGTGCTCATAGCAAGAGAAGCTGGTGTACTTGTTTTGCAGTGCTCTTAAGCCGGAGTGGACAACTACCTAACACCAAGAATGGACTACGACCTACGAATCAACTACGCAAGAGTGAAAATCTCGGTTGATCAATTGATTGATTCCAAATCCCAACTAGAAGAAACAAAATCCAGAGTGGTATAGCTTCCTTCCTAAACTCCCATACAGTCCCCAAAGGCAGGCACCGGTAAAAAACCCTTTGCTTGTAAAACCTCTGGAGTAAAGGACGTCTCGGGAGGAAACCAAGCAAATGGAAAAAGGTATGCCTGCCTGTTCGATTCAAATTCGAAAAAACGATTAGATGTCGTTCTGATATGTCGTTGCTGTGGAATGATTTCGCAATCCGTCGTATGATCGGGGCCAATTTGAATTGTTGTCTTTCGATCGCTATTCTGACCTCAATAGAGGCGAGAAGGAGAGATCGAGGGCTTGAATCGAGTACCAGGAATTGGTGTGATTCTTCGGTCCATAATGTCGCGGAAGAACCGACGGAAGTACGAATACACGTCGTTCGTCTTTGTACCGCTGTTGACTCGCAGGATGGTTCGGTGGAATGAGATCTATTGAATGTTGGCGTGCTATTCATGCTGATGCGCGGAAATCGGGTCGTACCATGTCGTTGTCGTCCATCTCGAGGAAGTAGAATTCTTTACCGTTGGTCGCAATGCCGTAGACCGAGGTGAGCCGTTTGTTTTCGCTCTTTCGAGCGTTATGGCAGAGTGCTATAATGGATTAGCCACTTTCCCATTAGATAGATGCGTATGGTACTTACCCATGAATGAGATGCACTGCCAGAGAATGGTCGACGGCCACGGGTTGACGGAGATGACAACACCGATGCCGTTTCCAGGCTCCGCGGCGTTGTTCACAACAAAATCAAGCTCTCCTTCAATTGGGAATCTGACGCCCAGTGCCTCAACTTCTTGTTCAAAGCCTCTACACCGAGGAATGGAAAGAACCGCCGAAGAGCGGTTGGCGGGATTCTGTTTGCGATAGTCGAGCTCCTCCACATAGCAGTGATTTAGGATTGCTCTGATTCGTTTGCAGGAGGTTTCGTGATCGAGGAATTGCGGGTCTTTCTTGTCTAATATAGCTAGATTGCGTACTGATGATAGTCGGTCTCCGAGTGTTGCTGATGATAACGAAGGCGTGCATGCTTACCGAGGCTGATGGGGATGGGGGCCTTTTCGTTCTGTTCGAGGGTCCACAACCCACGTGGATTTGGATGACGAGACAGGCCGAACAATGGATAGAGCGTATGGGAGAGGAACTCTTCGGTGACCTCATCCGGAGTTGGAGCCCTTTGTCGTAGAGGAGGCGAAGGAGGCCAGGGCCCCTTTCGTCCGACAAAGGGCCAGTCGGGGTCCTCCTCTTCGTTCTCTGAGGGTGGTGTCTCTGTAGGAGTAATCAATGACCACGCCTGTGAAGGTGATGTTGCTGTTGATGATGTTGCTGCTGACGAGGTCATTCCTGACCATTCTTTCAAGGGTCTAATTGTGCTGGCGAGCTCTGTGAGGATCATGTTCATAGTGGAGAGTTTGTCGATGACTATGCTTTTGACGTCGATGTTGCTGTCGGCAAGATTGTTGATGACCGTGTCTTCGATTGCCATGTCCATGTTGGTGAGGTCGTCGGCGATCTTATTTCTGAGGAGGATGTTGCTGTTGAGAAGGTCGTTGATCAGCACGTCTTCGAGGGTCATGTCGTTGATAGAAATGTGTCTGATCGTCATGTTGTTAGTCGTTGTCGTTGTCGTTATTTGTCGGTGTTGTCGATGTTGGCGATGTTGTCGGATGGATGTCTCGAGCAGGAGAGCAGAGCTGGAAGACGGGGTTCTTATAGTGCTGCCTGTTGATGATGGGTGTGCGCTCATTTCGTCTCGTAACCACGGTAGAATATGTCTTTTGCTGGTTGGCGATCTAAAAATAAGATATTCTCAAAGTTTCCCAGCGCTAGCCACGAAACCGCTTATGAAAATGATGCAAGTATGAGCGTATATGCTCATGATAATGTTGTTCGAGAGAAGCGTTGCAGGCAGAGGTTCGTCGCCATTTCTTACGATGACCAGCTCAAAAACGCCTGTCTGATACCCTTCCTCATGTCAACTCCGTATCTAGTATATTCTTGCTCAGAAAAGCCAAATGATCTGCAGAAGACCAGAAAATTCTTCTTGTACAAGAACACGTCTTGATGAAATCATAGCCTCATTCGACTGGTCTAGTCAACAATAGACTGCAGTACCCTCCATTTTGTCATGAAAGAAAACTCCAAGACTGGTCAGAGACATAAAGTGTTACCATACTAGATGCTGCTATGCTGGGAAACTACCAAACATTGGCTCCATCATATCAGTTCTCCACAATTACAATTAAAGTTATCTCCGTCTCCCCGCATACATAGATTGTCCAACCTTATTCTGCCAAGCAATGTCCCTCCAAAGCCTCATCTAACGCCACCTAGCCTGCAGCTTGGAAGGCATCTGGCTCGATACGCTGTTTCCTCCTCTTCTCCGCTGGCCAACAGCTGCGATCATACGGCCGCAGGAGCTCCGCTGCCACTATCTGGCACTCGGAGCCACGGACGTTGGAAACCGTTGCTAGATGTCGGTCCTCGCTCAGCTGCCTTCGGGAATTGACGTTAGCGTGAGACCTTGTACCTTAGGCCAAGTCGTAATAGTGGAGAGCTCTAAGCTTAAAAGTAGTGTTTTGGGGTTCAACACAAAACGAAGCCATGTGCTTCTTAGAAAAAGGGCCACGTCACGTCTGAAGGCCGCGTCAGCATCGTCGGAAAACAGTATGTAATTCCGTAAAGAGCCTCGAGTGTGGATATCCCAACTTCCGGTTCGACAACACCGCTTGTGCTATTTGGTACTATATTTCTCGTCCATACAGTGAGGAGCACGTTGGTTATTAACTATCGTTAATCAGGCACCATCCGTTGATCTACCGAGAGAGCTAGATCCTCAAGCAGTTAGAGCCCTACGTACACTCCTAAAGAAATATGCATCAGGCAATATCTAATCCAAAAGCTATGATACAAAGCATGCGACCAGGCGAGGTTTAGTCCACCAGACGGTCAGATAAGAGAGATCCCTAACTAGCAGAATCCAAGATATAAAATGGGGGTGTTTCCCATGTCTATCAAGCAGATAGCATTCGAACGGATTAGCCGGTTCAAATTGAATTCAGCCTTGCGACTGTATTCAAGTTTTATTCATCCATTCTGTCGCATATTACAGACAAACTTAGCTGACTGGTATCTTCCAGTAGCATATCGATCAGAAATTCACCACATCTACGGTTGTCCCAGAACGAAGCGACTCATGGAAGGTTTCCAGATGTTTCTAATTTTATTCCTGGATATCTTCACCGCCTACGAAAGATATACCTTGGATAAATGGTCAGGGCTGGCAAAGTCCCGTGTGTTGTGCTCGCATTCAGTCTTGTGGATCGAGGTTGTGCTGAATACTCTGAGGCAACAACTGTTCTGACGACCCCCGCTATAAAAGAGTGGAACAATGGCGAGCATATTACTGTCTCTTTTGATGTGATGAGCACCGAGTATGCATCCCAATATATCAACAGCACGGATGATACTCTGGCCACCAGTTGCAAGAGCATAACGATCCAAAGCAACAAGACGACTATTGTCATCGGCGCTGAGATCATTCCACCGCAAAAGCAGCAGTGAAGGACTGGGGGTTTATTACCAATTATTGAGAGGAAGAGCCTACAGACCATGGTTTAGTGGTATAACACTAGATTCATATATATCGGTCTTGGAGAGACCCTAGTCAATTCCTAGTGAGTCTACTCTTTTTATCGTTTCTTTTTAGACTAGCAAAATTCTTTCTCTACGGCTACTATAGTTATAGATTTAGCTAACTAGTTATTGTATAAGATATGCCTCTTAAGACTTTAAGTCTGCATTTATTCTGAATTCTTTAAAAGAGAATTGGATATACTCTCCACGGGCCAACCCGTCTTCTGCCCCCAAATACTCATCTCATCTAAGATCTCGCTTAGTTTCCGGGCATCTTTAAGCCACGGCCCACCTAGTATTGTAAGTATACTCCATCGCGCAAAGGAATGCAAAAGTCATACAAAAAGCTATAGGCCCAAAGGAATTAACCCAAACAGGCGCAGACCTACTCGACAACGCCAAAGCGCAAACAATCGTGGCGTGGTGCCCTAGTTTGCCTTCCAGGTTGTTTATTCTTTCGATGTGCTGCAGAGTGTTGACCAATGAAGGACAAGGTTCCGCAAGCCATAGGATTATCATCGCTGTATGATAGTATTGTAATCCGGCAGCTGCTACTATCAGTAAACCAAAGGGATTCAAATATAAGAGGTATCCGTACCGTGCCAGCCTGACGTCGTCCACATACTCGGAAACTTACTATTGGGGAGCATATGCGGTGTAAGGATGGGGTCAAATGACGAAGGAAGAGATGTCCTCCAGTCCTCGAGCTGATCTCTCAGACTCTCCCACTCGCATTGGTCCAGGGGAACAGCATCATGTAGAAGACATCTGTTGATGACCCTCCCTAAGAGATAGGTAATCCGATTTGCGAGATCGTCGTCGCATTCAGTCTTCATAGGCAGTGGTTCATCCGGGAGCTGAATCATAAGGCTGCGTTTTTCTATGAGCGCGACTGTGATATCCTCTCTCAGGTAGTTCCAGAAGCCGGCACTCAACAGTCCGGACTCTAGTTCTATCGGATGGCTCGCCAGCAACGAATAGGACCCTTGAAGGTGGTTCTGGCAGGTAACATTTTCTGCCATCGATCAGGATTAGAGCATGAGCTGGAAGATATGCATTTTATCACAGTGATCGTACTTACGCGAGATAATTTCGTATGAGCGAAGAAGACATATCGCAGCCAAGGTCTCTCCTGTTCGGAACTCATCAGGATGCTTCGTGAGAGCCAACAGTCTTCTCACGCTCTCGAGATGATATGCATCAGCTAGATCTTTGTCGTGAGTTGATCCGGATGATGAGCTCTGGCTGGCTGCCGCGAATGCCAGTATTGCACTGAGGAGCAAGGCATTCTTTCTTGCGAGGATAGGAACTACGTCTGTGAAATGGCGTTTTCGATCATTCAGATCATACCAGCCAGCTAGATTATCAATATAAGATCGAAATATGTGAGCTACTCGTGGGTCCCCTAACGCTTTCGTGGGGTCGCTAGTTGAGACATATTCGTCACTCCGGGATATCAAGGCATCTAGGCTTTCTTGAACACAAAGGTTAGGCGATCTTGCAGACTGGCCGTGCTGGTTTGAGGATGCTGCTCTCCGGGGAGGCAGGCGGACGCCATCGCTCCATGAACAGGGTCGCGAGCTTCGTTGACAGCGATGGCACCTAGGTCGATTCCCATCACCTGAAACAAAGCGTACAAGTGAGCTGAGACATCCAAGAGCAAGAGAAGAACAGGCTTACACTTGATCTTTCGCAAGCGACACGGTTGGCTACGGGAACAGTCAGCTACCAGCTTGACAACTTGGTGTCAAATTATGACGAACCAGCCTGACAAGACGATGTTAGTGACTGCGCGCAACAACAGAGTTTAGAGGGAGAACAAACGATCTGTGCGAAATGGGCGTGGCATCGGTGGTTGCGTTCCAAGCTTCAGCTCGCATTATTTATTGAGAATTCGAGATACGAACCTTCGCAATTCAAATGCGGGGGACTTGAGAGTGTCCCACTAACTAGGTGCCATATAACGAAATGAGTAAAACTGCCCCTCCTGTTTTCTTGAATTTAGGTTCTAACCCACATATTCCACACCCTTCTGTTCCTATGCACTCCATATGAGTGGCTGCTTACCACCCCACATATGACTCCGCCTTAATGCGAAATGCGAAAGGCGAAAGACGAAGAGACTTGTAACGACTTCCTGGGGTCTGGGGTATAAATATGCGGTCATTGACAAAGATGAAGTAGTATTACCATGATCACTCATACGTCAGCTTATAGCTAGCGATGCAAAGACTTGCTTTTTCATTAACTCGTTGGTCTCGCTCCGCCCGCACGATAAATAACCTCCGCCTTCGGGTACAGCAAAGAATGGCTTCCAGCTATCCCACCAGCATTCGCCCTTCTGCAACAGAGATCACGAACGGTCAACTCACGCCTCAGAACCTGGAAATTGCCATCCGCAGTCTGTACCACGATGGTCTTGTCGTGGTCGAAAATGCAGTGCCGCATGCCGCACTGGATCGACTGAACGAGAAGATGGTGCGGGATGCATATACCCTGCAGAGCAGAAAGGAGAATAGTCCATACAATTATAACCGGGGCAATATACAGCAGGATCCTCCGCCTGTGAAGAACTACTTTGATCCCGATATTTTTCTGAGTAAGTGCCGTGCGCCACGGCGAGATCAGATCCTGCTAACAGCCTCTTCCCAGACCCAATTGCCACGCAGATAACAAACACTGCCTTGGGCCCTCGTCCGAAATGGACGTTTTGCTCGGGAAATACAGCCATGCCTCCGACAGCAGACTGTCCCCCGACATCGCAGCCGGTCCATTCAGATGCAGACTTTGATCACCCAACACACCCCTTTGCCTATGTGGTCAACGTCCCTTTGATCGAGATGACCCCGGAGAACGGATCCACAGAGATCTGGCTCGGAACACACATCAACTCGGGCCTGCATGTCCAAGAAGGAATGCACGGTGACCGAGCAAGCGGACGCATCAAGCTTGACGAGCTAGAAAAGCGTCGAGCGGTCCGGCCACCGTGTCAACCTGTCGTCCCAAAGGGCGCCATAGTACTTCGGGATCTTCGACTCTGGCATGCTGGAGTCGGTAATCAGACTGATCAAGTCCGCGTGATGCTGGCAATGAGTAGGTCCTCTAGTGTCATTCGAGCGGGTCAAAGCTAATGAACAGTTCACTTTGCTCCCTGGTACCGGAATCCGATGCGACTGGAATTTTCTAACAGCGTACGGCCGATTATGGAGAAGCAGGACGGCCTGGACGTGCCGGTTGACTGGGTGACTGAGGAAGAAGCGATGTCGCGTTATCTGAACCGCGCATTTGGCAACGCATATGACTTTAGTCAACGGCCCTGAGGGTGAACATTTACAAAGAGTGACGAAGCATGCAGCAAAGCACTTCATTGAACGGAGCTAATGGTCAGCATGGAGACAGCCGTTCAGGTACATATGTACATATGCTTAGAAAGTTATGAAGATCCTTTCGTATTTCAATGGGTAATTCGAATGCCTCGTCTCGTCCTAAGTCCCTAGTTTGATTGGTTGGATGCTGACAATGAGAGTGGACCTGGGGCTGTGATATGAGACCGGCAGATGGCGGAACACTGGAAGAGTCCTAATTTAGCTAAGACTTGCACGGCGAACAAAGAACGAGTGTGGATCGCCTCGCAAGACCTGACAGGGATTGAAACTTGCTGCTAGTAGTCGAACTGTCGAATACTCCTGATTCTGGTCCACAAAGCGATGTAAAGCCCGATCGCTGATTTCAGGAGTCCAAAGTCTCATATCAGTATCCAGCCATTTTTGTGGGCTAGAAGAATGTATAAGAGTGTCCTGAAGTGGTATTGGGTCGATGACACTGCACAGCCTAATAATAATAATCGTGTGGCCTTTAACCAGATCGGTGTTCGCCTCAGACTTGATTAGTTACTTCACACCCACTCGGCAGTCGGCACTCAGGCTCCAGGCAATTTCCATATAGCACTAAGTACATCGGTCGTCTGGATTTGGTAAAGCGACAGGGACCAGTCCGGTCTACCCACCAGCATGACTGCAGCCAATGACGGCACACAGTCTTGGATGGGCGCCTCTGACGCTTAGTTAGTGCTTACAAGGATGACCATGACAGACCTGGCCCAAGGCTGAAATGGCTTGTCCTGTAATTTGTGACCCTGATCCATCCTCAGGCTTGCCACCGATTCTTTCCTTGGCAAATGTCTTTGTCACCGAAGCTGATATGACCGTCCTAGGCACCACGATAAAAGAAACCGTATTAATTCAGAACGTCGTACAATATCTTCGCGTCTGAGTTTAGCGCCAGCAGCTGGCCCGGCCTCCGGCATGGCTGTTTCGTTCGGCTGGAGACCCTCGCCGCGAGCCACCAAAGCTCTCTTTATCTCGGCTTTCGCAATCCTTTCGCTATGCACACTCTGGACACTTCGGTATCATGTCTCTTCAACCTCCTCGGCAGTAGCCGCACCAATTGGTCTACATGACAGTGAGGGAAAGCTTTCGGATGAGCAACGCGAACGCCCTAGTCCCTCCGGTGCCGAGACAGTCCCCGAGAAGGTGCCCCCGCGGCAACACAGATACGCCTTCGCGACGATTTTGACAGGGGAAGACGATACTGAAACTGATATAAAAGACCCTTACTTTACCGCGGCACGCCTACTCACATACCAACTGCTCCACAGTCCGCACACGAAAAGCAGTACTGATATACCCTTTCTGGTGCTGGTCACCGAAGATGTTCCTCAACAGCAACGTGATATACTTAGCCGTGATGGTGCTATTGTCGTGCCAGTGGAAGGGTTCTCCCGCGAATGGATCCAGCCAAAGTGGGAGCGATGGAAGAGCGTGCTCGCCAAACTGAACCTCTGGAAGCTCACGGAATATGAGAAGGTTACATTTCTGGACGCGGACTCGGTCATCTTCGAACCAATCGATGGGATATTTACCGAGCGAGCCACAATGACGCAGATCACCAGGCCCTCGTCGGCGGCTATCAGTACGCCAGGTCCAATGCCCGACAGCTATATGATCGCTGGAATGCACGATCGCTGGGTGGAGGCCGCGCTACCACCAGTTCCTGGGAGGGACTTTTATGCTAAGGACAATTATATGAACGCCGGCTTCTTCGTCCTTGCACCATCAGAGGCAATGTTCAAGTACTATTTGTTCCTGCTCGACCAGCCCGGTTTATTTGACCCAGCCTACCCCGAACAGAATCTTTTGAATTATGCACACCGAGTCGATGGACGGATGCCGTGGCAGGACATTGGTCCCCTTTGGAGTCAAAAGGGCAGTAGCTTTGAGCATTACGATCCGAGACTGAAATCACTCCATCAGAAATGGTGGAAGACAAGCTATGACCAAACATTTGACGAGCGAATTGCCAATGCCATGGCTGAGCTGAAGGATTATCTGGGAAAACACGAGGAAGGCACAGTGCAGCCTCGCTCGCGTTGAGGATACTCTGCTGAAGCAACTGTGACAGTCTTGTATTTCCTGTTTCAACGACTACTGCACCGTAAATAGATCTAATGAGCATATAATGATACAGCATTAAATTCTGTTGTCGTCACTCCGTCTGCTCTCTCGGAGTGGTTTCTGCCATTCGCCATAATCAAGAAACGCCTAACATTACATGTATACAAGCGACGAATTTGAAACAAAAGAAATGTGTGCCCTGAAAAGCGAGTCCATAAGTAAGTCTTGTTGTTAAATCTTTTAAAATGACCGCTTGTCGTCAAGTCTTGGCCTGTCCGGGGTGTCCGACCGTGGGAGAGCGAGACAGCGACGGCCTCGTTTGATTGACTTTGATACCGCGAAAAGAATCATCAGCAAGACGGCGAAAAAAAGTAAGCTGCCCATAAATGTCTCGTCGCCCAGATGTAAAGCCTTTCTGGCAGTAGATATGATGCTACCCTCGCTTGTGACGGGTTTGGCCGGGGCTTTTGAGGATACAAAATAACCGTGCGATGGGGGCCGGTCCTCTACATAATGCTGTCCATGGCGCAACTCCTCATTTATTTCTAACACATAGTCATCCGTCCGATATTCGTTTGGCGGTCCGTATTGTGGTCGTCCACCAGGTTCGTAGCTCTCGTCTTGCTCCCGCTGCCATCGTTCATAGTCGGTTTCGGGTCGCTTGCGCTTCCAAACGTTGTCGGATAGGATCTGTTGTGTGGGTGTGTCTTCCATGACCTTATGTGGAGCCATCGAGTGTTTTTGGACAGTACAGACAGAAGGAGAACAAGTCTTGCTGGGAAAGCTTTCAGACGTCGAAATGATTGAAGCTTCTCAGAACATGGAGGACGGCGATCGATGATAGATTGCGATAATGATCATATGTTCCTCGATGATAGTTCCCATATGATATGGAAGGAAGTACTTTTGCGAAGTGATTTCGCAGGATGTCCTGGATCTGTTTGATCGTCCATAGCATCAGCCAGTCCCAGGCTGAGCCAGCAACTCCACAATGTGCTTACTTTCCTAACTTGGGTTAAGGCTTACTATAACACACTATGGAGATCCCGACGGTTATCCAATGAAATAGTCCAGCGATATTGGACCCTTGTCAGTACCAGTAAGTAGCGTCTCCTGTAATCAACCAACAGCAGGGGTGTGTTTTTTGCAAAGCGCCTGTTTGGCAATAGTGATGTGGATCAGGCGTCGGGCCTGTCCGTCAAGCTCTGTCCAATGATCCAATTTATGGACGAACCTCAGGGAACAGCGATGTCTCTTTAGTCCTGTCAACATCATGTATCTGCAAATGAGTTGTCACGTCCTAGATTACCAATCTCGGTCACAAGGGGAAAGATGATTTTACCTCAGAGTTGTGACTCCTCGTCCTGTGTGCCCATTTGGCCCTCTTTTTTCTTGGACTTGGTGCAGCCGCCGACGTCTCCGCCGAGCACGCCTAATGCAGCTATCGCCTGGATTGGCCAATGGCGATCCATTTCCTGCGCATGGCGGCGCAGGTTCACAATGAAACCAACGTGTCCGGAGTACCCATACACCCTATGTCATGGAGATGGTAATGCTATCGCAAGGAGCAGCGGGACTTGTCAGTGACCTCCTCGGTACGTCCGTGGCCCAGTCATGCAGGGCTAAAATTCCACGGCCCACCCCTGACAACTGACCAGGTAACTCTAAGGCAGACACCCTCTGATACCAGAGGTGAGCCAAGACTGGACTTTCCAGCCTCTGGCGTATACGTAAGCCTTTGAGGACCCCTTCTCCACGTTCTGACACGGATTCGATCGGACTTTTCTATCCGGGTTGTACGATTACTCAAGCCAGCATCAGAATCGCGATTCGCACGCGCTTCATCGGGGGCAACAGTCAACACAATCTGGCTCTTGTTCGTCGCCTCGTTGCTTCTACTGTTCTGTTGACGACAGAGATGCCCGAAGGCTATGCATCTCGCAGGAATGTATCCTGCAATACCGACGTCGAACTGGACTGCGGTAAAACATGGGGAGCGTTCCATGCATGCTGCCCGCTCGACACTTACTGTCCACCAAACCAGTCGTCTACTAAGTGTTGGAAAACACCGACGGAGCCCCAGGAGAAAAGATGCGCAAATAGCACTTGGAATCTCTACTATGCGTCTGACTTTTTCTGCTGCGACCAAGGATTAGGAGCCTTCAAGTGGGTATCAAATGGGTTTGTCGGCTGTGCGGACCCAAGCTATGCATTGGACGACGGGTTGGTTCAACTTTCTGTTGTTGCGTCTGGCACAGGTGTGTTCATTCTTATCTCCAATCCTTTTTTTTGATACTTGCTTATGGCTCATTGCAGTGACTCCGACAGCTTCAATACCTTCGACTTCCACTCCAGGATCTTCAATGTCGACATCGGCATCGGAAAGCACCCAGACAACTGAACCGACTCCCTCAGTTACGTCTTCACCATCGTCGGGAACAAATGTCGGGGCCATTGCAGGCGGTGTTGTTGGAGGGGTCGCAGGAGTGGCCATCATTGCTGGATTGATTTGGTTCTTTCTGCTGCGGCGCTACCGAACGTCACAGAACAATGAATCGGCAACGCCCTTGTACGAGCTTCAGGTCTCTCACCAAGATGGGCCCAAATTGGATCCTTACCCCCACGAAATCGGAAATACCTCGAACGAACACCAGGCCGTGGAACTACCAGCACATCCATCGCGTTGAGCGCTCAGTCTTTCTTCATTTATCACACGGTACGCATGCATAGTATGCTGTAGTTGGATGGTTCTGTCCATGATACCATGGATGGCAATGCGGTCAATGGCCGTATATTGAGGATTTCACGGTCATCATGTTCGCAAGCGCGCCTCTTTCTTCTTTCTACTTTCTTCTTTCTGGATCCATATGTATTCTAGGTTTGCCTACCTTTCTTCCATGTTCCCAGCGCTTTTTTGTGGCTGTGTTATGCTGCCTTAACATCACAATCTGACCCGGGCTACCAGTGCTCTTTGTTCATGATGTGATGCCTCTGTATATATATTTAAATAGAACTCTTTAGTAGGGGCACGATGAATTAAGTGCAATCACCCTTCCTGTGTGACATGAAGTTGACACTCCATACGTGACTTTGTCACCTTGATCCTGGAAGAGTGGAGTTTTATACCCTGGACCATTAGGTAATTATTAACCATGCTTCAAAGACTGTTACAACAATAAATAATAGGTGAAGTGGGACATTAACTTTATAATTCATGCACAGAAAGGTTTAGAGAGGTTGAGTACGTCTATTGAGTTCCTATATTTAACCTAAAGGACCACTAAGTGCTGGTCCCACAGGGACCTGCACCCTTGTTTATTCCAGTCCCCCTCTTTCCAAATACATGAAGTAATCCTTGCCATAGGCCATTAGTATCTCATTCAGCGACGTTAGTCCTGCTTCAAACCAGTGAGGTCGATCCTCAGTTTAACTACCAGAGGAATTATATCGCACAATGGCATTTGTTTACATCTTCCACGATATTATGCAACACAACAGCCATGGGCCAGTCTTCTGTTCAAGTGCTAAGATCTACGGATGCAAGGATGGCCAGTTGCCAGGCTAACAGCGAAGGAGTTCTTAGAATCAGAGCCACTAGTCGTGTTCTTCCAAACAGATACCATCTACAGATAGACAGGGTAGGTTTCATTTACTTGACAAGAGCATCCCAAGTTAATCGAATGTGAACATGAATTAAGACAAAGCATGCAGTGAATGGGGCTGTCGAACCTAAGAACAGAAGAACAGAAGAACAGGAGAAGACAAAACCATACAACAGGCAGAAGATTCAACTGGTCAGGGTCACTTCCAATGCACCACCTTCTTATATTCCTTCTCTGGAATGTCCCTCCCAGTAATCACATCCCTGGCATGAAGGCCTGTACTGGTGACTGCCCCATTACTCGCCCTCATAGCCTTCAAGTCCACATCGAAACACCCAGTGGGAGCAGCCTGTGAGCACAATGGCCATAGTTCTCCGGTGCACATGTCGCAGAACAAGCCTTCCTTGGTCGAGACGAAATCCGGCCCCGCAGCCGAAGTGCTCTTGCACAGCTCGCTGGCTGTGTGGTCTCCATGTTTACTCACGACCACAACTCGATGATCCGCGAAGCAAACCCGGCCATTCTGTCTGGCTTTCACAGATCGCTTTTTGACGCCGTACGTCGGCGTCGAAACGCGTCCACCGGTCCACTTTTGCAGCTGCAGGATCTGCTGCGCGGTGGGCTTCTCGTTCGGACCGGGATTGCACATCACCTGTCCGGAGGTTTTGAGGGCAGCAAGGCTCGCATCGGTGCCATCGTCATTATATGTCAATGGGGGGTTGAAAATCGGAAGGCAATTCATCTCGGTCAGGGAGGGATACAACGAGAACCGGGGCGCGCTGGCGCACATCGTGTCACGGGAGTTCTGATACTGCTGGACGCGGCCCTGGGTGGCTGCGAAATCAATCAAATGAATGCCCGCCCCCTGGGGGAAGTTGCTTGTGGCCTTCCCAGTGTCATGCTCGGTAGATGCTGGGAGAGGATGAAGATACTTGTACTGCTAAAGATTGACTGGGTTACGATGGAACGAGCAACAATCAATGGTTTATATAGGTCTGCGATGCTCCACCACCGATGTTTTCTATAAACAGGAACACCGAGTGCAGCCTGACATCTCGAACTGTTTCACTGTGGTATGTGAACCAACCAAGATATCGGGGCTATGGAATGGAGGAACTCCCCAGGATACATGTTCTATGTTTAGCACGCAATTGTTACTATCTTGAAGAAATCCAACAGTACTCAGCAATGTGCATATGACCTTGAAACACTTCTGCCTGAGCGTGTAGTGATGTGACGCTGATGTTGGAATCTGTTCCAGGCGCTCATCTGTCCTGTCTGCTCAACCAACTACAATAGCACATTGGAAGGTGCGCCCCAATTCAGAGCGGCGCAACTAAATCGACTGTTCATGAGCTCAGCCTTCTTTCGGGGGTACGCCACCACTTCGGCTTGTTCTGTTGGCATCATGCCGGCCATGCTATTGGCAACGTAGAATACTCAGCCCTGATCCCTGGGCATCATGAAACTGGCCTAGAGATTGCTACGCAGTTCTTTTGGGGCCATGCACCTGCGCTCAAGACGAGAATAGACACACCCTCGTTCGCATGTAGAACCCGCTTGCAACAGGTTTGTTGCTCTATTTTGAGCTTATCATTGACTTGAAACGCGGGTTACCTGTGTCTATGTGCATTTCCTTGCGCGGGGCCCCGTGTCTGCCTTGTTGGTGCACTAAAAGTTAAAGAGGACTACTGGATCAGACAACTCAATGCTCCTTATCAAACGCAGAAGACCGACGAGATCCCATGGACTGGGGAGCATGGTAGCAGATGCACTACGCCTCTCATATCATTACAAAGTAGACATCCAAAGAAACATCTTGAAGCATCTGGATTGGAGACGCTGAAGCTGCTCTATCTCAAAGTCTCCATTAAACCCCGTGGAACCTTGACACACAGGGTTTGATGGCTATTCTACCTGTGGCTGACTTCTTTAAATGGCATTCCGGTGGTAAATGCACGGTATCTGCACTGGAACAGATCCATGCATGGTATATCAACTACGGACTGACATGTTCGTTCTCTCTGTAACTGCTGTCACCACATTTCATGCCACTAAACACCTCTGCACATATAGGAGAAGCTGCTTCTTGGCCCAGTCAAGAAGGCAGCTCGTGACATCTCTATGGGGAGGTGGTTTGTCCACATAATCCACCCACGAGCCTGTGCATAACGAAGGTGCGATACTCAATACCGCGGCCGGACCGAGGGTAAGTAGGTAGTCAATCCATCCTTCTGTTGGAAATGAGACATATCAGCTTGGAACGTGTATGGCGGAGGTAAAGACGCGTGGACGAAAGAGAGAGACGGACTCAACACCAACTTTTCACTTCATAGCTTGGTTAATTTCACAGCAGCGGAACGCCTCTGCGTGTACGCAGGTGCGGGACTACACATCTGCCTCAACACTGTGGATGCACGTGAGGGAGTTCTGACGGAATGTGATGACGCTATCAGTTGGGTTTTCTGACTTGAGCTGAACTGGACAATGGGTTCATCTGTTGAATCAAAGAAACCCAGACACTGTCAACTCCAGAACACTTTCTTTTGCTCCTGCCGTGTTGGTTGGCCACTGCCAAAGTCTGCTGCGTGCATGCTGAGGAGCGTACAAGTTCCGGGGCCAGGACGTGAACCGTCCGAGACGGCTCACTCTCCAGTGTTGGCTTCGTCACTGTAAGATTGTGCCTGGCTTCCACTCCAGTGCCAGAACGGGTTCCAGTTGTACAAAGAGGGGACTTCAAGAGTGTGGAGGCTCCTTGCCTGTCGGCCTTCACACTCGGAGCTTTCTCGTGGTCTATCAATAACGGTCTGGGTTAGAGCTCTGCTCTCATGATTGCTCGGTCCAGAGCAGCGAAATGTTTTCGGCTGGTTTGTGAGGCAGGGGGTAAAGCTCCAGCTTTGGCTGTGCTTCGGGCTGAACGTCAATGACTCGTTGCTCCGCACAGCGAGGGCATCGTTCACTGAGCCGATCTTGAGAGGACATTCTCGCTAGCTCTCTCTCCCTCTCCAACAAGCCCGTCTTAGCGAACGCCTCCCGAGGCAATGGTGGGAGGGGTTTGTCTTCCCTCGTACGTCTTGATAGTGGATTGATCTGATGGCTCTCCTGCGATAGCGACAGGGCTACCGGTGGGTTGACTTGTGTCGTTTGTGCCATTTCGATCGAATCCTAATATATGCCCAACCCGTTTAAAACTTGGCTCGAACGAGAGGATGACAGTTCAGACTCGGAGTCGTAGTTGTTGGGCTGGTGTATTCCTTTAGCGCACCGCTTATAATACCACTGTCATCTGAACGGAATGCTCCGTGGCTCATCGCTTTGTAGGTCTTAGGGAGCGGTACAAATTCCGGGGACCTTCAGCAGTCCAAGAGTCTCGGCTGGTGGGATATTTTGATGAGGCCACCCGCTCTATCATTATCAGATCATAAGGGCCCCTGTGGTACTGTACCAAGTTAACAGAGAGGAACCGCAATGGTGTAACCAGGCGATCTCCGGGCCTAGAATGGTTGCCAGCTGCTCATAGACCCCCGAGAGCTTGTACTGAGAGAGGTTAGGCATGACAACGCTATATTAATGCTGGGTAGCTATTGAACTAACCTCATTACTTTCAGGAGTGAGTACAGGCTGCACAGCCAACACTGAGTGTTGGGACCTGCTAATGATCAAGCGCTAAAAAGGGCGGAGTTGGAAAGCAGGGGGCCAGGGAAGGCGTTCATGTGGGGAAATGTATCAGGTACACCTCAGATGATGCCTGTAAATGCCAGGGATTGTCCTGTCAGAAGGATGTGTGCCCTTCCGCTTATCACGCAAATCCATCGATATGATGTGTTGTTGAACTGTTGGATGACTCCTGCGCCGCCGTTGCCCTGTTGCCCCGCGAGTCACATGACTCCGATGTATTTCCTCGTCGCTGGCTTGATTTCAAAACCGTTTTCTTTACATCTGCTATGTTTCTCTCGATAACAAAATCATGGCGGCCTATAGTCCTTGCACCCTTCCCTTGGAGCTCATTGTGATGGTCGCGGACTATTTGGGACCTTTGGATCTCCTAAATTTGATTCAAGGCCATCCCCACATTGCCCCCCTTCTCAATTCTCAGCATATCCAGGCCCACGATGAGAATGGGCACACCATCCTGTATCATATCGTGGAACAAAGGCTTGAATATCTCATCAAACCTCTCGCAAAATGGATCCCGCGGAGCTCCATTCCCGACAACGAAGGATGGACGCCACTTTTTCAAGCAGTCAGGAACAGTGATGAATTGATGACAAAAGCACTGGTTTATGCTGGTTCAGATGTATCAGCCAAGGACAATAGAGGAAAAACTGCTCTTCATCTTGCCTGCTATGAGGATGCAGTTGGGATTGTCCAGATTCTCCTGGACCACGGTGCAAACCCGTCCGCGGCGGATTGCGAGGGACGCACGCCCTTGCATGAGGGATTTGGACGAAACACAGTTATCCTACAGAAGCTGATCAAAGCTGGCGCGGACCTTAACCCCCGACTGATGCCACGAGGCTTGACTCCCCTTTATTTCGAAGCTTACCTGGGTCGAGCGGATGCTGCTAGAATCCTTCTTGAGGCTGGAGCAGATCCTTCCATTCAAACAGTGACTGGGGAAACCATACTGCAGCGAGCAATTAAAGGGTCCCACACTGAATTCGTGCAGCTCTTACTTGATGCTGGGGTTGATATCAATGTGCGAGATTTCCAGCATGGCGTCAATGCGATACTGACGGCTGCGTATTGGGGAGCAGATGATTGCATTCGACTGCTCCAGAGGGCTGGGGCGGATGTTTTCGCAGTGGATTACCGTGGATGTAACGCACTGCATCGGGCGGCTATGGCGGGCAAGGTGTCGACTGTCCAGCTGCTTCTGAAAGAAGGAGTTGACAGCTCTGCAGAAGACAACCGGGGTTACACTCCACTACGATATGCAGTTGAAGGGGTATATAGGCATGGAGGGTCAGGTGATATTGACTGGGAAGGACTGATTCGAATCCTAGAAGATGTGCATAAAAGTCCATTTTTCAGGTTTTTACATTGGATGCGCGCCAAATGCTACTTTACAACAAAGAGCTGAAGTGATAATATATTGAAGCACCGAGTTGGGCTCCTGGGCAATTTCCAGCCTTTATCCAGACAAGCCTTATATACCTCCTCTCACCAATACTCTCCATACTCTCCAGGGAACCCTTCAGTTAGGATCCAGCTGCACTGTTTTTCTCTTTTTTCTTTTTTCTTTTTTCTTTTCTTTTTTCTTTTCTTTTTTCTTTTTTCTTTTCTTTTTTCTTTTTTCTTTTTTTTTTTTGGTGGAACCCTGACGTTTAGTTTAAGCTTAAGAGCCGCCTTGGCTACATATGATATTACCAGTACTTCTCTTGCAGCTATGGCATCCTTTGAACTCCATTATCATCTGTGACTGAACTGTGTCCGGATCTCCAGTTTCCAGCCCAACCGCTGCATAGTTGACAGCCCTGTGGACAACCAAGCCGTGGCGTCTCTGGCTTATCATGTAACACGGTTTAGGGCTGTTCCTGAGGTGCCAGAAACAATGGAAGAAAAGAAGGCGACAGTAATATAGTGTTGATATTATTTACCGTTTGCCCTATTCGGAATTCACATTAGCTGCCTACTTAATATTTCTCGCTGCCGCGCTCACCCAGCTAGATCACCCAAATCTAGCCCCTGGACAGCTGAATGTAATATACGTACAGGCCTTATCGCTTTAGATGATGCCCTTGGGTCTGACGTTGGGGGGGTACGTCTTGGGTTATACATTCTGTATAAGAAGGGTTTTACCAGAATTGCTTCAGTCTGGTGATATCTCTATCCATGATTGTGTTTTAGTCCATACTGCTTATATTAGTAGGTCCCTCCTTAGATATGCAGATTCTCGTTACGGCCTGGCCGCCATACTCCCCTAAACTGAATTCAATTGAGAGTCCATGGGCCCTCATGAAGGGGATTATCAACGAGCGCTATGCAGCGCTTGAACCTGCATCGTACTGAGAATACCCTACGCCATCTTATAAACGCAGCAAAGGAGACACGGCTTGTAATAGATAGCAGCATCTATCTAATACTATGCTTCACCGGGTGCAGGCTATCCTTGATGTAGGACTAGATACAATTAATAACGCGCCACCGACTGTCTTTCAACTCTGGCCCGAAGATCTTCCAAGAGGCCCTCTTACCATAATGTACCTTTGTTTCGGATCTCGTGCGCTTTCGTTCTTGTTCAATCAATATCAGCGATGGATTGAACTCTCTTGGCTTGCTTTGATCCTCTATCAGTTGGACGCATCTTAGTCGATTCCATGTCTCTTACCAAGCGCCCCGCAGCCGTGCTACCATAGACTAGAGGCGGAACGTTACATCAAGACCAATGTGTATTTGAACGCTCGAGTGCAGTTAAACTGAGATGATTAGACCTTCATTATTTGATCTCCCTAGTGAGACCTCGAGATAATACTAGCGAGCCCGCTTCACGCATACTGGCCTGCACTCAACGCACACTCCAGCTAACTCTATTTGGAAATTGAACAGTCCTGGTCATAGATCCTGGGTGGATTGGTAAAGCAACCACAGCAATAATTAGCGTGTTCCTAGAGTCGATCTGATGCTACATTCCGCTTTAAACATTTCAAATGTATTGTCACCAATTAGCGCTGCTTCTCTATGAATGCGGTGAGTTCTGTATACCTTACGACCTTGATCCCACGGAGTAAACATTTCATAGATCACACTGGCCGAGACAGAAGTCAATGACATTGCCCTATTCCTTGTGAAATTCAACTACAAAGGCCTTGCAAGTAGAAGAATTCCTTAAGTTCCCATCATTGTTGCTAGGTCATATTGCACGAGGGCAAGGACGTCACCTTAATTCAATGTAGTCGGCCTGACGGCTCCTTGTAGGAGCTAAGCATCAAAGTGTTATGGAGACATATAGCATGCCCCCTTAGTAGATGATCTCCTTCAGATACTCCGAGAGGCCAGCAGTAATTGCACCTCCAGCCAACCAGATTTCATTTCTGAACCACCACCAGCAACTTTGCTCATACTTCACCTGAAATATCATCCGCCCTAATGATCCTTTCGCTGCAATTACCGCGATGAAGTAGTAGAAGAATCCAAGGTTACTGGCATAGCCACAGTGACCTAATAGTAGCGCCAGAATAACCAGCGAACCCCATAATAGAATCTTCGTCTGTTGCCTCCACAGTACCGCGATGCTCTTTATGCCCGTCTTGAGATCATCCTCAATATCTTGATGGGCGTAGACTGTGTCATACAGAACAGTCCAGAGAGTATTTGCAATAACAAGGCTCAGAATAGCGGGGTTTACATGGAACTCACTGTGGATCAAACCTTTCCAGTTCCAGCCCTGGGGAAACAAGATCATCTCTATGCCAAGGGAGAGTTCTCCTATCACAACACCCCATGCGAGCCACAGACCTAACACCACCTGAGGGTAGTTTGTATGCCGCGTAGCTCAGAGGTAGTACGTCCAACCGAGGATACTGCGCAGCGCGTAGAACCACATTTGAGAATGCGGCAGCAATGGCAGGAATAAGGCTGCTGCAATAGCCTGGGTAATAGTGTAGACCAATGCAGCGGTGGGTGACACTGCGCCTTGAGGGATTGGACGGTGCTTCGTTCTTGAGATAAGAGCGTCAAGGGGCGAGTCGATGAGGTCATTCAGATATAAATCGCATCAGAGAGAAAAATGGAGCCGCCAAAAAGCACAGCACCTGCACGCAGAATATCCAGAACTGGGGTCGACAAATGCAACGCTGCATGCATAAACCCAAACACATGAGGGAAGTAGATGAGGAAAAGGCCGGCAGTTGGTGACAGTCGGGCGAGTTAGGTGTAGGGAACCCATGACAAAGGAAGCTGAGATAATGTCCCTGCCGTCGGAACTTGGTTGCCCGAGTAATTGGTCAAATCAGGCTCTTTACCCTGCGACTTTGACTTTTTGCGTTTAACTGAGTCCATAGAAACGATTTAATGCAAAGAATCTTGACTGCTAGAATAAAAGTGAAAAAAAATTGCTTGGAGCAGATTGGGCGCCCAAGAATTCTGGGTGTGGGACGCCATTGATCACGTTCCAGCATCAACAACGGGGAGCGGGACGGCCCACGGCCGTGAAAAGCTTGAGGGCTTCTGATAAACTAATACCGTACTTACTACCACTGTAGTTACCACCGGTACTATACTACCTGCCATAACTGTCACTAAAACTTTAGATACTACTCTTGCAGTTGTGTTTACCTACACTCACCTCCGTGGGTTTGAGTGACAAGCAAATACCGCTGGGCCAGCTTGGCTTGAGCTTGAGGCGTGACTTAGCTTCTATTCTAGTAAGGAGGGGAACCCTGTATGTACTTCCCTGTGAGAATATCGTGTTCCCGCACGGTGGCACAAACAGCCTGCATTAGTGGTCATACTATCAGCAATACGCTACGTTGGGAGGCGCGGAAAATTACCTTCGCAGCATAAACAGGCTTCAGGAATGGTGTACCATCAACCTAGTGAATGATTGAGCATATACATCTATTTAAACTTGTTGACTGGCTTGATATATGATGAGAAGGGGTAATTGTCTCGCAACTCCAAGCTATCCGCGGTAGATGGGCATACTCGCAAGTCGTGATGAAGCATAATGAAACAGAAGAGACCAGTGTACCTAAGAGATAGAACCCTTGCCTATAATCAAAAGGCCCCAGTCAATAATTGGTTGGCAGGCAGTATTTGCTCGACCTCCACCCAAGCTACAGCACCAGCGTCCAACCATCTAAAGGGTCCGAAGCAAGTAATACGCTGCCTCATACACTAACATCTGGCAAGCGTGGTCTTTTAGCCACAGAGTGTTCGGTGAAGTGACCGGAGACTGACGTCCTCCAAGCACCAGGCGTGAACGCCACTGATGTCGCCCAAGAAAAAAGACATGTAATGATGCCTGCCCGCTATTTTCTAGCTCACTACTCCGAGTCTCTGAATCAAACATATGTGACCACGAGAGGAGGTAAATATAAAAGCACAGGTCGCACACTGCCTGTCGACGAGAAAGCATGGACTCAGGACAAGAACAAGACGGAATCCATATCACGCTCACCGTGCCTGTTCCCATCGAAGACTCGATCATTTGTGATATCACAGAACATCTTCGCAAAATCTATTCAGGGACTACCCTTGTCTTGACTGACAAGGACAAAGGACATCTTTTCTTTCTCTGTGATACTGAAGACCCCAGCATCCGAGATTCGTTTGGCGATCTATTTCGGCAATGGCTGAACACCCAAGCTATCCCCATTCTCAATTATCGCTTAATTCGCGGCCGAATCTAAGGCGCATCCGCTATGCCGCAATGGTCCTGCTGCCCGTCGCGACCGCCTCTCCTATTTCTGTTAATTCTGTAGCCGTCGTCGTCTTGTCTGCCCTGTCTGCCAATCCCGCTGATGTCGCTCTATCGTCGCTTGTAAAACGCGCAAAGTTATGAATTTGATTGTTATGGCGCTGGCCAGGCCTGCCGCGGCTTCGGCGATACCAGTTAAGAGGGGAATTCTACTCTGGAATGTTCACCCATTAGTGGTAATGGCTGTACCCAATACTCCTTTAATGACGGTGGCGAGTGGTGTCAAGAGATCCTTCATGTGAATGGGGGCTCCGAGACATTCAACAACCTCCCGCTTCTTATACAGGCGGAGAAAGATATGGAAGAGCACTTAATCAGGGTTAGGAAGAGAATATTTGAGCTGGAGCAGGCTGGTGAGGTCACCTGGAACTCTGTTTCAGGAGGGAAGAAGGAGAGATGGACAGTGGACAGTGGATGGTGGATGGTGGGTTTCATTCTTCGCCATGCCAATCTCTTATCATCCTTGTTTCCTGTTTACCTACTCTTCATCACAGACAGTTTGTCTTCTAGTTCATTTATTCTATCCTGTCTTCCATACGCAGTCAATGAATCAGCAACTGCCTTCACACCTGCTCCATCAATGTACTTCCAATTTCATTACGCATATGCGGATGCCATCACGCTTCCCCATCTTGATTTCTCATCCAAAGGCCTCCCTACTG